TTAGCCAAGCGGGATTCGAACCTGGGTCACAGTGGTGGAAGGCGAGGAAAGTACCCCTATGCCAACATGACTACTTGAGTATTACAATGTATTTATTCCCTGTAGGCCTATACTCCATAAAACCCTACAGTGCTGGAGCGGTTTGGTGCTTTACACTATAGTATAGGAAGTACATGTACATGTAACAGGCATGGCAGTTCCGGGGGGGGGGGGGAGTACAGAGAGTAATGGGTCTTGCAGTGCCAAAACTGCACATAAAGGGCCTGCGTTACATTTACAAATGTATGTACCGGCACAGTGCATAGACTCCGTGCACCAAGTACCCCCTCAACAGTTAAAATGGGAGAGTTGGGGGAGACACCACTGTGAAGGATATTTGAACGCATTTCCGACAAAGCCTGACTGACAGCCACGCAAAGACGCAACTGGTTTGTGCCCACTCAAAATAACATAAGTCGTGTGTACGCCATACGCACACATGTGAAGCAGTTTGTCACTTCCACCGGAGCTATCCAATGTGGTAAAAAAAAAAGGGTCATTTTAATGTCTCAATCCAGCAATGGTGAACACAACAGGTTCATGTACATGTACATGGCATTCGGATAAAGCACAGTGCACCGGGATGGTGAGGACCAAGTTCAAACATTGTCTGCATCCGAGCATATAGCTGGACTTACATACTTACTTCATAAAACACATGGAGCTGTGCATTGTACACGGCGAAAGAAAATGCACTATGTTACTAGTACAGGCCAATATTTCACAGGGAGTATATTGTATCATGATTGTATGTTCACATGTAACTTGGACTACTCAATACACAGGCCTAACGGTACATGTATATAAGTACATGTACATGTACACTGGTCCAACAAACAAAGCAACTGTGTGCATTGGACTAGGAGTTTTGGGTTGTGACTGAGACAAAGGATATAGTTTTGATAATGACTCACTACAGACCAGCGTTATCTATTTTGGGTACAATCCATGCACGAGTACAAAGTAGTGCACCATTGTATGAGTTAAAGACATGCCAAGTTTCACAATGACATACTACACGTATACATGTACATGTACATGTACATGTACATTGTGCATGTGACATACTGTGCATATTTCAAGCCAAATGCGAATTTAAAATTCCATACATCATGTATCTCAAGCACTCTCCAAAGATTTCAAGGTGGATGTGGACCTCATTGTGGTACATAAATTTCTCATTTCATACAGGAAAACAATTTCATGACCTGATTTTTCAGATATTTCAGGACCTAATTGGGAACGCTTTGAACTCTGATTTACATGATCTTTACATGTACTGGTAATTCAGAAATTAAAGGGACACTGCGTCCTGGAACAGTCATGTCCGATGTAAACAACCGGGTTTTTTTTAGTCTTTTCTCAGAAACGGTAAGACATTAGGTTGGTTTCCTTTCAACCAGATGTTTAGAATAGGATAAGTACGTGTAAACGATCCAAAACATGAAATTTTCGGGGATTTCAGGACCTAGTGCCCCTTTAAACAGAATACCATTAAAGGTACTTAAAGTAAACAAAGAAAGTTACAAAATAAAATTGTTTTCCGTCCTACCTATCCAGATAATTTCTAGGGCGTTAAGTAACACACACAAATATTTTTTTCAGTCTAAAAGGAATTAGTGCATGGTGAACGAGTTGCCTCAGAAACGCAATGTCGCCAACATCTACCCTACCGAACTTGTCCACATGTAAAACAAAAAATAAAATACAGTTGAATTTATTTTACAATTGTATGATCTTTTATTTCTAAATGTTTATAATGTCTGAACAAATTTTCTACAGGAAATTGCACTTTATACATTAATTAATTATGAATTGCTGTTTTTAATTATTAATTGGATGATGGACTGTTTCAGTCTCATTACACACAGACTATCAAACACGTACACGCAACTGAATGTGTACATTCAATTTGTTAGCTTTGGAAACTGTAGCGGTCAGACGGAGGGTAATTCATGGTGATTCTATACAGGCATGCAACTGGCAATTTAGAAAAAAAAACAAGGACATTCCAAACCCCACAAGACATTGTACCGTATTTTTCAATTTGTAATGGCATTCAGGAGAAGTAAGAAACAAGGAGATCAGCCGATCCGAGGAAAAGTTGCATGCCTGTATATAAAGGAAAAAAATTGCCTCAATAAAAATGGCTGGTCATATTTTGTACAGCACTTTCCGAATCCTAGTGGACAGAATTTGACAATGTACCGGTATGGCAGCACAAAAAACACTTGTGCAGTTCACTTCATCTCAGCAGTTTCAGCATGATTTCATTTTCTGACGGCTCTGCATAAGTGTTATTCTCTGAAACAGGCAATGTCCCACATACACCAATTAAATATGATTGTACCGTGCATGTAAAATTCCCCAGCCAATAATTACATGTACGTGTACACTGTACATGTAGAGTGTACCGGTACATGTATGAACAATATATTACCGGTACTTTATACAGTGGCTACATCAGTGATCTACACAAACAAATCTTTATTGTTCAAAACTCAATCACAATTCAAGATGCCTTGATAATTAAATTAATACAGACATCTTTTCCTCTAATTTCTATGTGTCAGGAATGCCCCTAAATAGTGACACACTGTACATACTCACAGTCATAACACTGTTTGACCCTATTCTTTCAGATTACAGAGTCCAATGGGACCAATTAAACAAGAATTATTGTTAACCCATTAGGAAAAAATATTCCATAACAAGGCCTTTTGGGGGTCTTATTCTGATGTACATTTTTGTATATATGCACAAACAGCGTCATGCACTGTACACATCCATTGTATGATAGTTCATGGTCAGTGCAACACTGAACTTTATACAATCAATAGGCCTACTGGATCTATGCATTCGTACCAGTATGCTGTACGTTAGATGGTGTGCACCATACAATGTATATACGTACATGTACATGTACATGTATACCAGTACATGACCATAAATTTGCACGTATACAGACCTGTAGGTTCATATGTTATGTACATACAACAATCATAATATTAATAAGCTGTTCTGAAAGTTGTTGTTGTGAACATGCGTCTTTTCCTGGTTACAAAATTGATCAACAATTAGTTTCCATACGATAATCATTCTTGCAATGATGAATCTTCCTTATGTGTGACTGTGTATTATATTTATGATTTATTCATAAATACCTCAGACAGTTTACGCATTCCTATTGGTCGAGAGCCTGTCACGTGGCCAGTCTTACACGGATGATAAAGACATGGCTAGCTGGTCTTAAACACTTTTCCAGTGTCACAATAAAATGTGGACTCCTAAAAATCCAGTGCCTTACCGTTTCATTGGTTGAACGTTCACAGTCCTCACGTAGGCATGCGCAACACTAGCAGCGAGTCAGAATTTTATAGTTCTAAATTCAAAACGCAACGCCCCAGGTGCGTTCTGCGCGACTTCGCGCAGAACATGCTACGCGCGCGTCAATCTCCATAAAAGGGTTGTTTACATGTACATCTTACTCGCCAGCTGAACACTCCATTATTTTGCTAGAGGGATGTTTCAAAAAGCATGAAGTGAACTTGTTGAACAAAATCAGGATTTTTTGAACGAATTATTTGATATTTTTTTACCAAAAAGGTATTTATGAATGGGAATAAATATGTGCTCGGTCAGTATTTATCACTCTGTTTAAGACCGCTTAGAGTCTGGGTGCTGATAATTACCCTCGCCTCCGGCTCGGGTAATTATCAGCACCCAGACTCTAAGCGGTCTTAAACAGAGTGATAAAAATCTCCGGAGCACACATTTATTCCCTTATTAAAACCCAAACCTGCCTTAAGGTTTTAGGATTTGACGAAGGCACATGCAGTGGCCTGTCATTGTTACTTTACAATTAATACGTTAATTTTTGTAACGTTTATGGTTTTTTTCATCTATCTGCATATATATGCTGTTTGTGTTCACGTACAATTAATTAATGATCAAATTTTCAAAAATCTATACAAAATCATGTGATGATGTCATAAAGATGTCAGTTAAGAAAAAAATGTGTACAAAGTATGGGGAATTTAGGATAGAACAGTAAGAATGTTGTTTTTTTGAAATCAGAACAAAAGGAGGTGCAGAGTAATGCTGTGGATTTTCGAATACTATTTGCATATTTGATTATTCTAATTTGGATTTGATCAAATATTCGAAGATATATGTACATGTAAGAAAAGTGCAAATTAAGTTTTACATGTGCCAACCTGGAAGCCGATCAGGACCTGCATGCACTTGTAAGCACTTGTGGAATATTAAGAAGAGCTTATATTTCATAGATTTTTAAAGATTGAGCTGATATTGCTTTCATTGTGCTACTGATGACAGTGAGGCACCCAGGATTTGGCTTGGGGGGGGCTCACAATTTGTTTTTTTTAGGAATCTGAATTCTTTCAAAAAATGTTGCCCAAAAATTGTGGCCGCAAAAAAATTGGGGTGTTTTTTTTTTGGGGGGGGGGGGGGGGACTGACTATATTGACGTTGGTGGTGCCATTTACACCCCAATTATACTTTTCAAAAATAGGCCACATACATATCACCAAGGTCAAATCGTGTGACCAAAAAATACATGACCAAAAAAAAATGACAACCTCTGGGGGGTCAAGACCCCCCCCCCCCCATGGGTGCTCCACTGACTGAGCACAGAAATTCCCTAATAAGCCTGGAAACATTTGCTAAGCTGAAAAGGGTTACCAGTCAAAAAGTCATGTGATATAGCATGTGACTGGTTGCCCGCTGATATTTGATTAGCAAGAAAACTTACTCGGCCATATTGACTGAAAGCCTGCCACATATGCAGCTACCGGTAGCTGTGGTACCATGACCCAAACTAGTTCCACTTGTAAGCAGAAGGCTACATAAGCTTAAGATGGATGAAATCACTGTTGGATTTCATCCGTCTATGACATCCACTGTATTCTCTATTGTGAGTGTATGGGCCACAATCTTACCCATCGCGGCCTTTGCTGACGATAGTGACTTCAAAATAATAGATTCCTGTGGAAGCTGGGATGGGGTGCGCTGTCGTGACGGAGGCTGCGTCTTTGTGTGTCTTTCCCACGCCTGAAAGAGGGAAAATGAAAACACAAATGCTGAAATACAATGATTATTAAAAAAATAAAAAAATTAACAGGTATAAAAATAGTCACTCTTTACATTGAATTGGCATTTTGAAATATAAGTGAAGCTACCATACACTTGAAAAAAAAAACATAAAACTCTTTCGAATTATTACTATGTAGGTGATATGACATAATTCTAAGTTTATGTACCGGTAAGTGGCAAAATCTTCCCTCATACAATGTATGTTACATAGAAATGGCCCCAACAACATGTGCAGAAATTACCTCAATTAATGGACTGTCCCAACTAAAATTAGAACAATCCCAACAATACATATCTTGGATCGTATGATGCTATAGTTGGGGTGTAACATTATAGAGGGCATATGGGGTAAATACAAGGTCATCTAATGAAAAGAGACATGTATTAGTGATATCTTTCCATGAAGCAAATCTTATGTACATGTGTGTTCATCAGATCATTTGATCAAAGCAGTTAATGAATTACCGTCAAAACCATCCATTCTCCCTCGGTTCATCCTTCCCCCCCCCCCCCACCTCAAGTCCCGCCTCTATCTTGTCTCTCAATCCCCTACCCCTACCGTTGTCCCTGCTGAGTATACATGGACTATTGTTGATGAGGCAGTCTCCCTCCTGGCTGTGAAACCATTTCCTTTGTTAAACTCAAGGCTTTTCCAGAGTTTTGTTTGTAAACACTTTCTGTTTACGTTGACCCCTTTAAGGCATCCCCCCCCCCCAAAAAAAATATTTTATGAGTAGAATATCCACATTATGTTAACTAACTTTTCACAGATAGATTCTTAAATATCACAATTAGGGCCAATGGTTTTCCACAATTGCGGAAAACGGACAGAATTCGCAGAATCTGCTCCTCGAAACAGAAAACGGAATTTGAATCTGAAGAAAATAACTTCTGCAAGTGTATTGATAAAAAAACATAATTTCGTTAAATGTATTGAGTCCAAAACGAATTGTTGATGATTGATTGAACAGACGAGCCATATAAAAAATGAGCGGTGTTTATATCACAATTTTGGGGGGACAAAATCGTTCAAGATCAGAGCAATAAATGTTATGAGATCACTACCATAGTATGCGTAGTCATGGGAGGGACAGTCCCGACGCACGCCGTAGCTGTCGGTCAGCGCACGGGTGAAAATCATCATACTCACGGTACGCTCTTGCGGGTCTCTTTTGCTCCATCGGCAGGTTTATTTTTCTCCGTTCAATCAATCAACCATTCATATTACATCTAACTTTGGCTCCATTGAAATGCACGTTGTGCTTCGGTCAAAAAATGTACCGTAAACTATCATATTTTGTCGCTAACGTTAGTGCGAAAACAAAATGACGGACATGAATTTTGCTTCGGCCACGCGCCAGCTGATGTGTGTGATGTGATGGGATTGGCCTGTACGGCTTTTGCATGTTTCTTGCGTGTGTGGCGGTGGCGGTGCAGTATACGACTTGACTGTGGTGAAGTTAAATACAACGTCTGTACATTGATCGGCCATTGATAAAATAGCAATTTTTGGGGGCAATTTTCCCGAGTTCCAACCAAACGACTATTTTATTATCGTCTTGGAATTATTATATATTTTTAAATGCCTTTTTATGTATTGAATAAATGTGAAACAGAATTTTTCAGCCTGAAACGGAATTTAGGATTTTTGAAAACGGAATTTGCACTTTTCTGAAACGGGAAAACATCGGCCCTATACAATGTACACTTCAATTGCATTATTTACATGCTGGTGTCATACTCTTTTTGACATGTTATGATGACTGCACTAAATAACCCAAAATGTTGCCACGACCTTCGAAATGACAAGAGATTCTCTTGCTTTCCCAATGGTCATCCCCGTGGAAACTGCATCGCACACATCCCTCTAATGGCAAACTTCCAGTTTATATAAAAATTGATTCATGTACAGTAGCATTAGTTCCATATGATAATGTAACAATGAAACTGTATCATATACCGGTATCATATTAGGATGTTCAATCCAGCTACATGTATAACTGCAAAACTTGTATGTGAGGAATTCCAAACTAATGGGCCCAAATGTGTGACATTTGAGAAGGACTTCAAGTTTTGATGACAAAACTACATGTACGATCTTGGTCTCTCAATTTTTGCTGTAAACATTGCAAGCTTCGAACAAATATCCTCACCTGCAAATGACATAATTGGTGTTGTATTTTAGAAAATATAGTGGAAATTGTTTTAAAAAGTGTTACATACATACATACGTAACGAAGGACAGACATTTTAGATAAAGTCCCATACAGTGCGTTCGATTACTACCCCCACGCTTACTCACGCAAGCGCGACAGCGTTCGATTTAACTCTCACATGACTTCTCGCGCTTACTCAAGCCTGGCCTAAGTAACCGACTCGCCGCGCCGGTTCTTTGGGTAAGTATCCCATAAGGCCATGCAACGTCCGGCGGGCGCCTCAGGCAGTGTCCGAAATGGGCTTCCACGGAGCATAGAGCTAAAACCCAACGTAGCTCTATGCATGGAGCTACGGCTACGAATTATTGTCCGCGTGTCCCCGCATATTTTCACTGGGTGTGGACGTGCTCTATAGACAGTTAATTGATTCGGATGTAGCGTTGGAAAAATGTTGCAACCTGACACCACTTCCGCAATTGTGTACAAAGTCTATGCACAGTCAAGACAATTTTTTCCGACAAAAATTGGAAATATTTTAATGTCCCAGATTCATGTCTTATCATTTTTGCAATGAATGACCTTCATTGAGATGATACATGTATATGAAGAAAAAAAGTGGCATCAGGTTGCAACATTCCCCCCCCCCCCTCGAATAGCCCCCAAAAAAGGACCAAAAAAAGAGAGAAAAAACAAAAGAGGCGAGAAGTCATATTGGTATAAATTTGATGGGGGGGGGCAAAATGTCCCTACCCCCCTCTTAAACTGATAGTGATAAATCGAAAATACGTTGAGAAAAACAGGATTTTTTTTGGAAAATATGTTTTGCCCCCTCTAGACAAAAATCCTGACGACGCCCATGTTTCCAGCTCTTGCATGAAACTTTACCCGAAACCTTTCGTTTATTTAGCTCCACTACGCATGTCTGTCATTACACGAGGAGCCAGGCGAGAGTAAGCTGGGGGAAGTAATCGAACGCACTCAAAGTAAGCATAAAATTGAATGATCCCCTAATGATGATTTATTTCAGAAGATGTACCTTGGCGGAATGCTATCAGTCAAAACCTAGAAAACTCAGAGTCAATTTGAAGAATTATTTGATATTTGAGTGGTCGGGCACAACCCAACCACTCTTTGGATCTGTTACAATTAATCTTTCTTTCTTTCTTTTTTTCCGTACAGCACGTTTCCGCGGGTTTTCTCCTAAACGGTTTATGATAGGAACTTGTAACTTTCAATATATATCGACCCTCATCCTAAGTGGTGCATATTACTCTGACTTCATGATTTCGTCATCGGGTGTCAAATTACAAGTGATTTTAGGTGGAAAAGTGACCAATTACTTTCACCTATAACTCTTGAACTAAATAATCAATGATGTTTGTATTGTGCATTGAGATAGACCATTAATTGCTTAACATTTTTTGTCAGTACGTAAACTCGCTTGACCTTTACTTCTGGGTCTACTGGAAGGTCAAAGTTAGGTGAACTCAAAATGAAGGGACGTTAGCCTGAAATAAAAACAAAGCAAAATTTCTTCTGAACGGTTTACGGTACAATCACAAAAACTTGTGTGAGCTTGTACCATATTACGAAGATGTTACACATTTGTTACGTCATCATGACGTCATCAGGTATCAAATTACAAGCGATTTAAGGGCAAACTTTGACAAAACAGTTTGTGCTATATCTTTTTAACTAAATAGAGTATCGTGTTCGTTTTTTCGTGAGGTTGTAGACTATGCCGTGAGAAACATTTCTTGTTCCCGGACACAAAACCGCTTGACCTTTACTTCCGGTGTTACCGAAAGTGCAGTGAAAACTGAATATAAAACAAAAGTGGAAGCATTTTACTACAGACATATAAATTATGCAAATGTTTAGTGAGAAATGCAAGTCACAAAAAACAGTGATGACGTCATAATCCGAAAGGGCGCCCCCTAGCGGCACATAAAATTGTGTTTGTTTTCTTTAATCTGAAGAACATCGGTTCCAATTTTACCAAACCGCCCCTTGATGTTCTTTGATTAACCACAGATAACTTAGCAAGGTTTCAAATTCATGACGTCATCAGATCGGAAGTTACGTCGATGAGAATTTAAATATGATCATATTTTAAATTGAACTCTATCATTTGATCCATGTCGTATATCTTCGTAGCCCAACTAACGATACCATAACAATTAATGTTAACCTTTTGCTTCCAAATTCTAGTGACGTCATGAAACCGGAAGTTAGGTGTTATAAAAACATAGTTATATTTTCCATATTTGCATACGTTATTTAACTTCACAATAAACATTGTGAACTAAATCAGTATTCACTTCCCGTTTTTTTAATAATGACGTCATCAAGCCAGAAATAACTCATTTGTGTACATAAAATGTTTACAGAAATTTAGCACACCGTTAAAGATGCAGTTTTCAACAAAATAATTTATTGTGATGGAAAGGATTTAATTTCGTGATCCTTTGTTGTTACATAAACATATTCATAACTTAACTCGGCAGTGTTTCATGAACAAATTGCCTGCCCGACCACTCTGCGTTTGTAACAACAAACGCGAACCTCTAGTTTATAATCAGGATTTATACGTAAGAACAGACTGGACATTTGTCACAAAATGTCTATCCCTGTTCGTACGTAACCCTAATCACTCATAAATTTGAAGTCAGTGTGAAAACCGTTATATTTTTGTTTGATAACAATGTAAAATGGCTTAATAATGTCACTGGAAGTGTCTATTAGAAACTGAATTTGTCCTAAGCACTCTTTTCCTTGCAGTGTGTCTGTCCACGTTACATATGTATCACACAGAAAAGATGTCTGCTATTTTCTCAAATAAAAAAGATATCATCTTTTGTCATGTCTTGTCCTAGTCACTTTCGACTTAGCAAGATATGGGGAAAAAACTGAAAAAAAATACTAGCTCATCTTTTACCTTTATATGCAACATCCATAAACTTATCTAATTGGCCCATTAGCTAGTGTGGAATTGCCCATGTGCAGCAGTGGAGGAACATATCTGATGGGTTTACCATTGTTTTCAATGGCCTTGCCAATTAACAACACAGAAAACTTGATCTTTTGAGATGACAAACCATACAAGTGTAACTTAATGCGTCAACACCTCCAAGGCTACAGGTAATGTTTTGCTCCCAACTTTATCAGATCAATTTTGGTTTAGAGTTTTACAAACCTACAGACAAGATAAGTCCAAAATACACCATCCAGATATGTTAGTGTTACAAAAGTTTACCATTGGTATTAAAGTCGTTCTCTTTTGTAACCTGCTCTTTATTGTGGTCAATTATTATGTGGCAAGGTTTTGAGGCCATGCAATTTAAGTAGTTTGCACAAAATATATCGTCATGATGACTAAGCACATATTTGGGACCCATTGTCTACAACAACCCACATAAAAAGCTGTATGCAAGCACATTTAACAGTGTGTTGTATACCATTTGTATATCAACTTTATTGGCTATATTTATACATGTACACAGTTGGGTTTGACCAGAGCATAGTTTTTCATAACATGAAAAAAACAGCTTGTTCATTTTGCTCGGTCACAAGGTCTTAAATTGACCTTTGCAAGGCACAACAATGGCTCTGATACTGCCACCGTTTAACCAAACGAGGCAAACAAATGTAGTGTTAATTTGTGGATGTATTTTCAAAGAGGAGTTGAAATTAAGGGCAGTAAGTTGAGGGAAATTTCAATTTAAGAAATCAAACTGCATGAAATGCAAAGATGTATGATTTGGTCATCCTGAGCAGGAACCAGGGGCCAATTTCACGGCACGGTAAGCACAAAATTTGCTTAGCACCAAAAAAAGTCTGGCTTATAAAAACAACTTACCAGCCAAAACTCCATGTGATTTGCTATTGATAAGTATTCAGCTGTTGTTTGCTTAGTATAAAAATCACATAGACTTTTGGCTGGTAACCTGCTTTTATAAGCCAGACTTTTTTATGCTTAGCAAATTTGTGTGCTTAGCAGCGCCGTGAAATTGGGCCCTGCAGTTACCTCCAATTGTTTGCAACTACCCCACCATCGTTTGGAAAGCAGTTACGGGTGTTTACAGGCAGACACTTGATCTTAGTTTTTTGGCTGTTAGGGTGTAAAATGTGATAATTTTGGTGGACTCTGTGAAGTTTTTTTTAACATCATGGCATGGACTTCCCTAGGGCACAGCTATCACTAGATCATGTCCAAATGTTAATAAAGGTGATTCGTTGAGTCCTTCTTACTCAAACTACATCATTGATATAAATTGGACAACACAAACAATATTCCAATGGAATCGTCAAGGCAATTAATCATATCAATATACATGTACATGTACATACTAGCAATGACAATATTAAATGTATCAGTCAATGACAATATTGTTGTTTTGATTGTGTAGTTTAGGACCCCTCATTCTTCAGTGTTATTTTTAATTTGTTGCGTATTTTTAGCATTTGAAATATGACGTTTGCAACGTTTGCAATCCTCCTTCCGTTTTATTTAGGCAGTGGCTACTGAATCGGTACTGGTCCATGATTTCACGGAATGACGTCAGATCTTGATGTCAACATTATAAAGTTTTAGTTTTTGGGAGCGATTGAAGCACCTCGATGGTCAATCTGCCTGCCTGCCTGACTGCTGGAATATATAATAGCTGGAACTGGTTTCCGCTGATAGATGCCCTAGTTCCCGACTCCCTATCATCGTTCGAAATGCACTTGTGTTTACAAACGCGATCCAGTCTATTCATTATCATAATCGATGCATCGCGCTCAAAAACGGAATCGCACTCGGGATACGGGGACCATCGAATATACGCTGGGCATGATGACCACATCGCATCATTCAAACATTAACACGAGTCAGAAATTTTACGTGTTCACGATCGCGAGGGGAGCTCTCGAAATTGAACGGGAAATTTCACTTTTCATCTGGATCATAAGTAAACTTCAGTACCACCATCTTAATCATCGATGTGTACTTGTACCTCAGGTGGTGTATCTAATTACTAATAATTTGGAGGCCGTTTTCAGGGTGAAATCTGATGTTTTTGTTGGGTAATGTCGGGTTTTGGGGTCAATGTGAGCGTTGTGTCGCCCGGCATATGCGGTTTAGCATGGACCCTACTATGTCCAATGTTAAAAAGGCGATAAGTTGGGTACAAGTTACTCAGAGACTTGGACTAACAATTCCCTATATTACTTCCCTTAACGTGCTCAAAAACTGAAACTCTACCTGTACCATTATCTTAAGATAGTGTCGTGGATACATTGCTGGCGGTAATCCCGGCAAGCTAACGTTTACTAAAGGTTTGCCGTGGGCAATCCCTATCAACAGAGGGCACTGTACTCTCTAAGATAGGGCTGAATTATAAGATTAAATTACCACCAACAGTTGTGTAGCACCTGTGGTCTAGTGGATAAGCAACAGATCTCATGAGCGGGAAGACCCGGGTTCAATACTCACTGGCGACATTTCTAAGGTTTCTTTTCCCCATCCCCCCAAAAATAAGAATATTCTTTTTTTATTATTTTAACATGTCTCAAACATTTTATTGCAGAGTATTACATTCTCTTTTTCAGATTTGTGGCTCTGGAGGATTTTTTTTAAAGGGAAATAAAGTCCGAAATTGTAAAATGGTCTGATTCCCATCTTGTGAATATTACGAAGTTACAACGATAATGTTGGCATGGAGCCAGACTAAAATTTGTCACCGGAAAATGTTCAGTGCATATCCGGCAAGCTAACGTTTAGTAGTATAAAGGTTTGCCATCTCCGGCTAAATTAAATATCCACTGCCTTATCTTACAATTACATCATGTCTTAATTACACTGTCATGACTGTACTACTTCACTTGTCATGCTTGTCACTCTTATCAATATCAATATCATACTTGCTAAATTTGAATGTTGTCACTTATTTAGTCTGAGTAATAGGTGTCCTAAACTACACAATCTCTATTCTAGTTCCACTGTCTGCCTTTATCATTCGATCCTGATCAGGTGATCATGCAATAGGCCTACAATGTGATCAATATTTGTGTTGGTTGTGTAAAATAAAAATATTTTGGCCTACCTTTGTAATGAACTCGAAGGTTGTTTTGATGTAGCCCGATGAAAGTAGATTTATTCCTGGAGTTCCATATCCTAGGCAAGGGTGTTTCCTCTTCATTTACAGCAGGATAAAGCTGTTTCAGTCTGTCTGAAGGGTCCATATTTTCATTGTTTTGGCCGGTGCAACTGCTAGTGCTAGTTCCTTCTCCGTGAGTCGCCATTTTTTGCCCATATGATGTGTAGGTCATTTGCATACTCAAGAGAAACTACATTATCACGGCATAGCATTCGTGGGTACCCGGCTCCATGCGGTGTAGCATACGGATAATACGCGCGGAACCATCTTGCAGGCAAATTGAACAAAGAATGAAGATTGATCTGAATCTTGACTCCCATACCAGTTTTACCGTAACAATGTGCGATAAGTTATCACTAAACAGAAATAGGTGACATCCTATTTGCAGATTTTAAAGTCCAGCGCCAGCAACAAAATTATGGAAGTTTTCGCGGAGTAGTCACGAAAACGTCTATCTTAATTTTATTTAAGCCTTTGACAAATCATTTCTTAGTGGAAACTTTATTGGACATGTTGAAATCAAATGTTTTCCTTCATTAAACTAATATTCCCGATCTCATTGTCTGATAAATTTGAGAAAAAAATACTATTATGGCGAAATAACCTTTGGTCCATCTGAAGAATTGTTCACACTTCAAAAAAGTTCAATATTATTGTGCTCAATGAAACCTATGATGAAACTCAATTTATTGGGGTGTATTTTTCAATACGAGGTTTAGTGATGAATCATACTCGGTCACCGCCCAGTTTTAGCCTAAATGCTTCTTCAAAAATGTTGACTAGATCACAATGTATTTTTTTGTCATTACTTCCAAAAATAGGCGGTGATGGAGAACGAGCGGACCCCCCCCCCCCAAAAAAAAGAAATCCCCATGCAATCCGCAATTATTTTTTTTTCGGCTGGGGATGCTAATGTCACCAAATATTCTATCCCAACTTTACACAAAAATACTTTTTCATTTACGATATTGGTCGTCCACCCATTTCAAAATAAACAAAAATAAAAAGTGGATGGGATTCAACTCAACCTCGTCCCCAGTGCTTACTTTATTTCCAACCTCGTTTCAGGTAGTGATGGGCGCGTACTGCTCGACATCCTGGAGACGAGGTTGGATTTAACTTTCGCTCGTACCCCCCGCCCTGCAAACAGGGCGCTGGTAAGGGCTGATGAGCTTCACAGAATCTTGTGAAGGAAGTACAGATTGACCTTCGCATGCAGCTAGCGCGCGCTGCGCATGATGGGCACCGGAAGCTAGATTGTGTGACGCGTTCTACGTCACAGTTCACGCAAATCTATCCAATGAGAGCTCAAATGACGGCAGCCCTTACCAGCGTCCTGTTTGCAGGGCGGGGGTACGAGCGAAGGATTCAAGGTTAAATTGGATAGTACGCGATCAACTGCCGCAAGAGGGCGTTTTCACAACGAATCATTAGCGCAGTACTAGCACTCGCGGCGGTTCGCAATATTGATTTTCTGCAACCAAGTGTAGTCAATGACCACATGGTAGCGTCGGTTGGTTACAGCATGGAGGAATAAAACATCCATGGTTACAGAGTGGTTCCCGGGCCTACATACATGAATGAACATAATGTTCCCATTTCCCCACCAAAAAATGTGCGTACCCCGTGCTCCGTTAACAAGTAGAGACGACCCTTTCTAAGGGACAGTTCATTTAAGTTCTCGGCAAAGATCCCATAGCGTGTTCATAGTTACACCATGTCCATGTAACAAATCCCTTTTTATTCACAGACAGGGGGAAATTGCCCTGGTTTTCAAGCCAGACAAGTGGATCGCGAATTCCTTCTGTAAAGAGTTTTCACAGTGCGAGTAAAGTGATTTAATTCTTTCACAGGTTTTTCTAAACTTCACGAAAACAAAAGAATTTCCACACTACGTATTTAATTAACGTCCATGTATGCATGGAGGAATGTGTGTGTTTGTTGTATTTCACATGCTGTAAAGTAGTGCAGCCATCAATCTCAATCAAACTTGAAAGGTGGTCTGTGATGGAGAGACTGGTCGCGACGTCAAAAAAATCCTTTCCAATATGGATATTTACGAGGTCTCTGGAGAGCTCAGCTCAGTATACTATTGCTAATGACTCTAAGCTGTTAGTGCAGTGTCTCACCCAAATTCTCCATTTTCAACCCAAACTCTCCATTCAACCGGAACCCAAAATCACCATTCAAAAGAGAACTGCCAGTGCCGGGTGGACAATCAAGGTCGTCGCTGAAAAAAAAATATTGTCCTTACTATAACCATCCTACGAAAGCCCATTAGCGCCACTGCAAGTATATATGTTGCGGATTATTTAATTCGTTATTACGGATTATTAATTCGTTATTACGGATTACTAATTCGTTATTACGGATTATTAATTCGTTATTACGGATTATTTAATTCGTTATTACGGATTACTAATTCGTTATAACGGATTATTTAATTCGTTATAACGGATTATTAATTCGTTATTACGGATTATTAATTCGTTATTACGGATTATTAATTCGTTATTACGGATTATTTAATTCGTTATTACGGATTACTAATTCGTTATAACGGATTATTTAATTCGTTATTACGGATTACTAATTCGTTATTACGGATTATTAATTCGTTATTACGGATTATTAATTCGTTATTACGGATTATTAATTCGTTATTACGGATTATTTAATTCGTTATTACGGATTACTAATTCGTTATAACGGATTATTTAATTCGTTATTACGGATTACTAATTCGTTATTACGGATTATTTAATTCGTTATTACGAATTACTCATACGTTCTGAGTCATTACTCGGCAAGCATGGCACAGGAGTGCAAACGTTGTATGCAAAGATAGCGCCGCCTAGCGGCGCTATATACATAGGCCCCTGGTCACGTGCTCTCCACGTGTGAGAACATCAGACCTTATTCGTAATAACGAATTAATAATCCGTAATAACGAATTAATAATCCGTAATAACGAATTAAATAATCCATAATAACGAATTAATAATCCGTAATAACGAATTAGTAATCCGTAATAACGAATTAATAATCCGTAATAACGAATTAATAATCCGTAATAACGAATTAATAATCCGTAATAACGAATTAATAATCCGTAATAACGAATTAAATAATCCGTTATAACGAATTAATAATCCGTAATAACGAATTACATAATCTGTAACATATATACTTGCAGTGGCGCTAATGGGCTTTCGTACCATCCTTTCTCTATGCTATAACATACAAACTGCGGCCAGGATGCCAGGGGATCGCGGAAGTTTTACTTGCAGGTTTTTTTAGTTTATTAGGTTCTGAAACTAGAATGAGGTAATATAAAAGTACATGTTGTAGGAGCGGTGAATTAAGCGTGGATCATGGAGACGGTAATGGGCAATTCTTTCCGGCGAAACGTGACCAAGCTGGGGCAGGGGCCCGCGGATGCTGGATCATGTGGCGGAAGGGAGGTTGCCAAAGGTAGATAGACCAGACCCACAGGCTCAGGGGTATAGAATTACACAGTGACGAGAAACCATAGCCAAGGAACAGAAAGCTTCCCATGCGGGACACTCTGGGACCCTCAGAGAGGATGGGGCGTCAAAAGTCGTTAATGGGGGGGGGGAACAACTTTTTTTTTTTTTTTTTTTTTTTTTTGGGGGGGGGGGGACCTTATTGAAGATGTTGAAGGCCTTCGGATGCGGCGTGGACGGAAACTGCCAGTGCTCTTACCGATTATGAGGGAGACTGGAGTTGAAGTGGCATAATTATTTGAGGCAAACGCGCTTGGTGGCGCACTTCATGATCGTGTATTTCATTTTGGGAATCGAATCGGATCTGTGGGTGTTGTGTATCTCTAGCTCTGTGGGTGTTGTGTTGTTGAGACGATCCCTTCTATTTTTATCATCACAGTTGAGGTCAAATTTGGGTCAACTTACGTTACGCGTACACGCGCCATAGCAACTACTGCAGTGCGTGCAGTGCTAGTGCTAATGCAGTGTACATGTACATGGTGTAGGCTGAACGTTCTGAACGAATTCAATCACATAAATTCAACATAAAGTTAATGTAAAAAACTGCAATTGCTAACAGGGAAAGATGACTACAAAAGCCGTGGCTTTGGCGAAGTTGCCACCAATTGGGAGGTAGGCTTTTCTTGGGATTTTTTGTCATCACTTCAGCTGACACTAAATAACTGACTTGGCTAGGCCTTAAACTTAAAGCTAGACCCGTAACGTAGGGAGGAAAGGGAGTCCACCAGGGCTAGACCCGTGAACATGGTGAACGTGTATAGGCCTATAGCCATGTTGTGCGCTTTCTTGAAAATCACGCATTCTTAAGAATGCGCATGCACATTCTTATGATTGCGCAACTGGATCCTTGCGCAATCTTCGCAAAAAATAACTCTTCCAGATTGAGCGCACATTCTTAAGAATGCGCGACAAGATAACGGTCTTGTTGATGCCGAGCACCGGCTGCGCTTGGCAAGTCTAGCTGCATCCTCGTTCACTGATTCTTAATAATTATACAACGCAAGGTCACTTACTTAATGCTGAAAAGTAGAGTGGATATGAAAGTATACGCGTATTGGGGGGGGGGCCGGGAAAAAAAATAAGAGACATAATAATAGTGTATTGGAAAGAATTCTGATTTTTGGGATAATAAAAGCGGGGGGAGGGGGGACGTAAGAATGAAGAATGTGAAGAATGAGAATGAATACTGTGACATCCCATAGTCATGATAGTGCTAATGCTATTTCCCATTTAAATTGCCACCAATTAATTGTTCACACCCCCACCATTACGCCGCACAGCTGGATTCTATCTAGTCAGAAGAGCAATTTTTGCAGCTTCTGGACATCGGGGGTTTTTTTTCGTGGCATGCATATGATACATACAGGGACTTGTAACTTGTCTAGCCTAAACAAAGCACTTCTTCCCAGACTAGTTCCCAGTCCTCCGTTATTACAAAACTTCCCATAGTGGGCAGAAAAAAAGCAATAATAACAGGTTTAATTTGATTCAAATTATCGTAGTTATACGAGTACAGAAGCATAGAACTTTTCTTTCCTCTTTATATGAATCATTTCCCTTTTAACCGCTATACATTTCATTTAACATAATTATGTCGTGCAATGTTTGTTAAGATTGCGCAAAGTTCATAAATTGCGCACGTGATATTCCCACGCAATCTTAAGAATGAGCGCTCATTCTTAAGAATGCGTGCTCATTCTTAAGAATGTGCGCTCATTATTAAGAATGCGCGCACATTCTTAAGATTGCGTGATTTTCAAGAAAGCGCACAACAGCCACGTTCAAGGGTTTAGATTAAAATTAAATTAAAGCAAGCATCAAAATGGGGATTTGCTCCTTTCAAAGTTTATAATTTATGGGATTTTTTATTAAATAGGCCTAACCTGTATTTTATATGTAGTATTCAAGTACCGTCAAGTCAAAATCATATTTCTATGATTTTGACTTGATTATTGTGTGCCACACCATGCACACTTTGACTTGTCTTTGTTTAGGCCCTACCATGTTTACAGGTAGACCTACATGCGCTCTTCCTATGAAAAGTATGACAGCCAGGTGGGATGCTGTCATCTCGTAACATTGCGCCTATTGGTTCCCCCACCCCTCCCCCCCCCCCCTTCAAAAATGCACATAACCATGGCACAGCAGCAGGCGAGTCACGTGACATCATCTGGAAAGCAATAAGGTGTTTCATGGTAATATGTGCCATCTTATGATCATGATGATCTTGTTCGCAGGGCAAAGAGAACTCACGTTGCTAGACGCGGGCGCATTTTGGAATGACCGCATGATAACTTGGAAGCACCACAGTGTTCCATTGACAGTGTGTATACAGCAAGGCGTTGAAATTGCCCCGTGGGCAAAATATGGCGCATATTTCCGTGAAACACCTTTATTGAAGTAGAAAAATTTTGTTTTTTTATCTGACCAAAATTACTGAATTAGAATTAGCCTACCATTACACTTCCTACACAGATTCCTTTTTGGGGCTCTTGCATTTGTAACAAAATTTTCTTGCATTTTATTTTATATATGTCATGTCAATTAATATGTAGGCTATTTTACAAAACTATGTGTTTTTACTTTTAGTTTTTTAACCTAAGGACTAGGGAGAACAGATCTTAGACAACTGATGGGGCTACCCCCACTGATCTCTGTTATACTGACTGGATAGCCCTTTGGGCCGTGGGGGTGAAGTCACTGGATGCCATTTTGACACTCCCTTTGGCCACGTAAAAGTATATGTAAATACATAAAATATAATTATATATTTGAACAAATACAGTCGTTTTCCTAGTTCCGGATAGCAAACATCATTCAGGCTGCTTTTGGCTCAACTACTCCATGAATTCAAGTGACATTGATTATAAAGTTTACCTTGGGTGATGGGGATACAACAAAATAATTTTCCAAATTTGAGCTCTTTTTATTTTGACTTTACGACGTCAAAAGTACCGACGCCACTTTTCCTAGTTCCAGATCGGTTCAATCAGTTCCGAATCGATCAAAACTGCTTCATGCGAAAAAAAAAATCACACAAGAAAATCACTTTTTCAGCCAGAACCACCCGGATTCAAGCACATTTTCTGATAAAGCGTTATTTTCCAAAAAAAGTTTATTCAAGAGAATTCCAGCAAATTTTAAAAGAGAAAAACGTAAATGATTTTGAAACTTTTTGTCGTTAGCGCAACGGCACAAACTCACACAGACAGAAAACCTTTGGCCCAGCAACAGAATTTGTCACACAAAATCAATTAACGCGCGTGTAGTTGGGTCATAAGTGCAAAAACATATGGTCATTCATTGGCGAATTTTCAAATATTAGAGACTCCACAACTTATTTTGATTCAACAAACATTCGATGGAAGAGTTTGTATGACTAGCGTATGAACAAAATATTCAAAATCACATGGTACGAGTGATGTACCGAGGAGAAAATTTATCATCGATTCGCCGCTCCCCTGATTTTCTACAAACGGTCCAAACATGTCAAAGTGCGAGTCAGAAATCTCGCCAAAATCATTTTCTGAAAATTTTATCCAAAAGATTTTTATGTATCAAGAAGCTTACATTTTTCTTTTCAAAGTGCACTTTGTCAAAAAAAAATGATTTGAGACTAATCCAAAAGAGGTACGTTTTTATTTGAAGCTATACGGATTAGGAAAAATCCGAAACTACATGTAGGAGAACGACTGTATTAACATGAGTAAAATAACACTGGGGGCAAAATTAATAAATAAAATCGTGTTTGATGATCCAAAATTGCTTCCTAAACTATTGTTATTCTGTGCTTTTTACATACGGATCCGTGCGCTGTGGGGCTTTTGAGGGAGCTTCAAAATGGCCGCCAGTTGTCATTGTAAAGAAATCGGATGGCTTTAATCGATTCTGTATCGACTATCGCAAACTTTACAAGATAACAGTGTTCGATCCTAAACCGATACCCAACATAGAAGATATGTGTAAAGTAGGCAAGGGACAATATTTCTCTAAGCTGGATCTGACCAAAGGATATTGGCAGATACCGGTAGTAGAGACAGACAAAGTCAAAAGTGCCTTTATCACAGCAGAGGGATTGTATCAATTTAAGGTTCTCCCATTCGGCATGGTAAATGCCCCAGCCGTGTTCACTCGCATGATGCGAGGTTGTTAGATGGTCAAACCAATGTTGTTCATTACATTGATGATGTACTCATTTTTACTGAAACTTGGTCAGAACACACAAAGATATTGAGACAGGTTCTTAAAAGGTTGAGGGATGCAGGGCTTACTGCAAAACCCAACAAGTGTAAGATTGGATTTGAGTCAGTAGATTTCCTAGGCCATATTGTTAGCAAAGGGAGGGTGCAACCACAACCAGATAAGGTATATCGTATACTCACCTCTAAGAGACCTGAAACAAAGAAACAAGTTCGGTCTTTCATTGGCCTTGCCAATTACTATCGTAAGTTTATTCCAAACTTGGCTGCGATAGCCGCATCCATCACAGATTTGACAAAGAAAGGTCAGCCCAATCAAGTGCAGTGGAGGGATGTGCAAGAAAACGCATTCAATGCACTGAAACAGCATCTTGCGTCTGCGCCAATCCTGCGATTGCCAGACCCAGCGAAACCGTACGTGCTGCACACAGTGCATGTGTGCAAGGGCGTCACGGTCTTGTGCACACGCATATGGCCGAAGCGCTATCCAGTCAGTATAATAGAGATCAGTGGGCTACCCTAGCCTGGTCAAATAAAACATTAAATAAATAAACAATGACCATTTCCTCACTATACAGCACTCAACAGACAGCTGGAGTTGGTATCTCGCCAAGGGCCGTCAGGCAATATGAAGGCTTACAAGGACCAAGTTACCAATTAAATTCGGTCAGCGACAGGACTAAACACAAACTACCTCAACCTCAGGTTCTAAGGGTAAGCGCCAAAGTAGCAAATGTTTGGGCCTCTTCCGCTTTATAAAGGGGAAATAGTGTGATGAAGTAGTTATAAACGTGTGGTTTAAAACCAGGGAGGGGTCTGATCGCAGATAATGGCCTGATAATGAGCCAAAGGTGAGGGCTAATTATTGGCGACCAGGCCCCTAGCCGGTTTTAAACATTTGCATCAATGTTGTGAGATGCACCCTCTTGCCTCACAAACACTCGCGCATAAAGCAGTGATCTCCCGTGTTAGGCTTGTGCCGTATTTGATTTTGAGAGTCCACGTTAATATCATCCAAGAAGTAAATGTAGTATTCCCTACTACCACAGTCTACCAGGTACTTTTTTTGGCAGACTATCATCATTAAACCATCAATATAGAATAAGACTCGTGGTGATATGGAAACCCCAAAACAGGTGATACAAGACTCGTGGTGATAAGGAAACCCCAAAACAGAACTTCAAAGGCCCTGCTGGAAAGCTAGTAAGCAAAAGCATTTAGTTTTAAGGCCAGCTGCGCAATTTTTGTCTTATCTAGATATCAGGACCACAAAGAATTCAAACAATAAGCCATTATGATGTGCATCTGGCCAAGTTGTTTGGAGATTTTTTTTTTTCGAAAGGTTTTCCCACACATCTGGCCACATTTCTGAGAAATCATTGTGGTGTTAAAATTCCATACCAAATTTTTCGGTATTTGGGTATTTTAGCAACATCCTTTGGTATTGTTCGGTTTCACAATATATTGTCACTGTATGGTATTATTGTACCCCCTGTTTATTTCAACAGCCATTCGTAGACACCAAAGCAGGCACCCTGGATACCTGGCCTGCTCATGCCACAGCCCAAGCCACAGCCAAGCCGGGCATCCCCAGCCACCGGCCGCGCTCCAGCCCAGACGGCAGAATGTCCTCAGAGCTATCCGAGGACCCCCAGCGATCCGTCATCCCCAAGCCGAGGTTCCTGGAACAGCTGGAGATGTTCCTGAAGAAGGAATTACGGAATCTGGACGGGAATAAAGAAGGCCCCGGCGAACTGCGGTTACAGGTAACCGAGGAATTGCCGTAAAGCCACGTTAGATCATTTGAAATTACCTGGAAATGGACCTACCAGTTTAATGACGGAAACCTTGCTCAAAGTGAAGATGGGACTGGTATCAAATACTCTGTGAAATTATTCCACCTAATGGTATGGTCCAGAAGTAAACAATCATCAAAGATGGTTTAAAGGGGTTGCCCACAGGCACACTTTTTTACACCGCCTTTGTTAAACTGAAAACCATTTTGTAGGAGTGCTTTTTAAAGAGGGACGCCTCCTGCATTGAAGACTATGACACTAATTATGTGGATCAGTTGTAAAGCTTAACTGTGGTCGCCCGAGTAGTAGTACTACCTAGCGTTCTCACCTGATACCATGTTAGAGCACAGACATTTACTGAACAGGTTTCCAACCAACATGCCATGCTGTGTATATTACTAATAGTGACTGCTATGTATTTTACCAGTAGGGACTGAGTGCAACAATTTGCTATTAAAGGTACAAATGTACAGTGGACCATTTGTAGCTTTTCCAAAAAGTAACCAACCAAATTATTGTTGAAGACTTACTTAGCTTAAAAGTAATAATGACACTAAATTCCCTGTAAAATTATTCCTTCTGGCAAGACTGGCATGTTGTCATTTTGAAGAAAATAATAAAAGAAGTTCATTTTCAAAGATGTGTCAAGTGACACATTTTTGGAAATTTCCGTTTGTAAACGTTTTTATAGTTAGGCGAATCTGTGAATGGGTGCAAGCGTTGACGCAACGCACATGCGCGCATGATTATTTGTTGGTTCTGTGTGTGACATCACGTAACTACAATCGGCTGAATGAGAATCATGTCCTGAATGCTGATTTCGGGATTTTGTCACATGAGGGGGCAATTTAAGGCTACATTCCATCATTTGCAGCTATCCAAAAAGTAACTGACGTAATTACTTTTGAAAAACATACTTGGTTAAAAGATAGTAAGGGGACTAAACTCCCTGTGAAATTATTCTATCTGGCAAGCTGTCATTTTAAAGAAATCAACGAAAAAAGGCCTTTCCAACCGTTGAAAATTTCCGTTAATTGTTTGTATTTTATTTGGCGAAGTGCGCCAAGCATTGGCACGACGCACACGCGGGCGGTTGCTGTAAATCGTCGGATGGGTGCGCAACATCGCGTAGCTGCAATCGGCTCAGTGAGAACTTGTCTTGGACGCTGAATTCAGGCCCAATTCAAAACATGACTCAGCAACTATTGATATGAAATCGAGATCCTAGAATGCTGGTTTTTCTCGAAATATACAGCTGAAGCTGAGCTGAAAGTTCATCAGGTTAGTTGTTCAGCACCCTTCTTTAGATTTTGAGCACGTTTGTTGATTCAAATGTACAAAATGCACAAATTACAAATGATGGACTGTACCTTAAAATGTGACTCGGCAATTTTTGAATTGAAATCGAGATACAGAGTATTGTGTTTTCTCAAAATAATCAGCATACACAGAGCTAAAACTTCATCAGGTTAGTTGTTAAACACCCGCCTTTAAAACGGAAAAAAAATAAGCACAAATGGCAATTCTATTCTACCTTTAAAAGCATTACTGCTTAGAAGTTTCCCGAAATTTGGCCTACGTGCCGATGAATTCAAATTTCAAAACTCACGTGCAATTGTTCCTTGAATTCCAGGCTTACCGTGAGGTGTTTGAGTATCTAATAGAGGATTTCAAAACCTACAAGCCCCTCCTGTCGTCCATCAAAACGGAGTATGAGATGATGCTGTCGAACCAGCGGGAACAGATCAGGGAGCTGGAACCGCTCAAGGTAGGTACATAACGGCATTGGCCGTGTGGGACAACCGTTAAGGGCCCCATGGTCCAGCGGTTACGGTGTTTGACTCGTGTACGATGGTGCGTGGGTTCAAACCACTGATCTCTATATAAAGACTGGATACCTAATAAAGAGCCGCACAATGAATGAATTTGACGCCATATTGGTGAGACCGGCTGGTGATCTACAAAGGACAAGTTGCCGTCTTTATAGACAGCATGATTTCTTTTGTAACGTCGCGGTTCACTGGACTTGTATTTTGGCCACCACCATTGACCAACTCACCAAGGTTTACTACAATTTTTCTAACGTCGTGGTTACTTTTATAATGCCGCAAATCACTTTTTCGGCGTTTTTGAAATAATAATCACTACGGAAATATGTCCCTTTTAGAACATCATAATATGTGTACGTGACCAAAATGCACGTCAACTGTTGATACAACGCGCGCGTATTTACGCGTAGAACGTTCGTATTATACGCGGCCATCTTCGTGAGACCGGGGGCGAATTGGTCAATATGCAAAGTCTACTGTGTGAATGTTGTATGCATATCCGCTATCCAGTCTTTATATAGAGATCAGTGGTTCAAACCCAGACAGGAACATGGTGTTTGTGTCCTTGGGCAAGACACTTACATGTGTAACTATAATTGCCTCTCTCCACCCAGGAGTATACATGCACATTGAAAATGGGTGCCAGTGGGGGTAGAGGCCGAAAGTGCGCTGAGGCCATCCTAAAAAAAAAAGTTGTTTCTTGTCCAGCGGATGGGGGAAAAAATCCAGTCTGGAGGGAGGGATTTTTTTTTTTTTTTTTCCCCTTCTCAGCAGTCTCAGTGGTAAGCTCTGAACTTCAGCCTTTGCTTATTATTTATAAGGTTATGTTTAAGTCAAATACCGGTTTCTATTCACAGTGTGGATATATACCAGAAGGTACATATAAACAAAAATAGAAAAATTACAGGTTATAAAACAATGCACGGGGTATCATGGGGTTTGGGGAAAAAAATTGCGAGTTCACTGGTGTGCAAAATACCGGAAAATAATGCACCTGTTAAAAAAAAAATGATATTCTCTTTGTTTTTTATCATATAAACCAATAAAATGTTTCAGTACAATTCTTGTCAGTGTCTCGGGTGGTCTTATTTTATGCAAACAATTCATGTTTTATTTAAATAATTAGCGTTCATGAGTCCAAAATGACGTCTGACACCATAGTGTTTCCGTGTACAAATGTACAAAGTCATGGGGGCCATCACAAAATCCAACTTGGCGGCGCCCATAGAACGCAAAAGTGATAAAAACTATTAATAGTACCGAGTAAAAGCTCCCCCAGCATCGATTACAACTTGGCACCGCCGGCTCATTGACCATGACAGATTGGCAAGGATCTGATTATCTAGGCCATACCAAATCCGCTGAAGAATTTGGTACAACTCAGCTTGATTCCGTGGCCGAACTTACAGAGGCGAAATGAGAAAATTATGTACAACGCTGACGCGCGAGACATATTGTGTAGCAGCACCAGACTGATGGTGTACTTCCGTATGCACATTGTATGCAGATAGCATTGGTCCATTGCCAGACTTAGTATGGCACGCGGTTACACAGCAATAACATGTGCACGCATGTTCCGTGTTGCCAGCTGCATTGTACGTGGAGCGGGATCGGAGCTGCATTTTGCCCGTGCCTAGACGGCGAGCCATCTGACCATTGTCTGGGTCGCATCGGTGAACAGTCAGTGCAAAGGTCCAGGGGGAAAAACATCATAACGTTTTTGTTATGAGCGATAAAAAGCTGATTCAAAAATCATGTTATCGTTTGTTTAATGGGGATTCCTATGATATCAAACATTTTGATAAGTTTGGAAAATTTAAAAAATGAAAGTCGTTGGAGTCTGGACTCCGTACCCGGAGTGCAGTGGCGTGGCATCGGCGCAGTTTTGGGAGCTTTTAGAAAGCATTCGCATGAACATTCTAGTTTCAATATTTATTAATGGTGGCAGCATGTGACCTGCTAAATATTCATTAAACGGCCCGAAAAAACGGCACCAAACGGCCCCAAAACAGCGCGCCTTCCCCCCATTGGTAGTTTAAATGCCGGCGTAATGATATTCGTGACCTCATGAATACGTAATGAAGCAATTCAAGATGGCGGTTTCACATTGTCGTAAAGTGGTATTACGAAGCGGCATGTCCCTTCCTCTGTACATCCATGTCAATGAGGGAGAGGATGTTTAGTGTTGTAAACTTGAATATTACCGACTTAAATAATGACACAAGACACAGCTTTGAACATTTATTTAACATCCGTGATATTTTGAAGTCAAGCTTGATGTTGAAAATTGAACAACTGGTGCATAAATACTTTTGCACGCCAGTTTAGTGTACACATGTACACGTGCAGGGCAGCCGTACATTTGGTAAAATGGCTCCACACAGCACGTGAGTACGAGCACAGAGTCTAGTTTGCGCGCCCCACATCCCCTCCAAAGTCTTCCGTGTGTGGCGCATCGAGTCAGTTCTATCATAGAGCAAGGTTGGTTTGGATTTCACAAGCGATGTGGCATCACTTAGTTGTGTTTTACCACTGTTTTCACCAAACGTCAAAATAATACTGGAAGAAGAAGGATAATAAAAAAAATTCAAAGTGCGGGCGGCCCGGTGGGTAAAAAAAATCCTCGCGGCCGCTGGACCGGAAACAATCAATCTTTTTATTTTGGCCTGATAGCGGCTGCCGTGTGGTCTCGTGGCATGATGAACAAATGATTGTAAAGCACTTTGAGATTAATGCTACGATTGAAAGCGCTGTATAAGCACTACAATTATTATTATTATGTCTGAAACAGCGACCAAATGTCTGATAGGCCTAATCACCATTATTCACAGGCATTTTCAGACATTTTGTCTGGAACAAAAGCATTTCAGGCAATTCTGGTTCATAGCGTGATGAGATCTCTTACGAAGGACTGATGTTTTCACAAACTTAAAACTGACGTTTGCTTTCAGTCCATGCTGGTGACGGTGTCGGAGCAGTGTGACCAGAAGGTGATGGCACTGAGAGAGGAAGAGAGACAAGAGATGCTGGACCTGAAGAAAGACAAGAAGATGTTGCAGGAGAAGATCGATGCCATGAAGCAGCACGAGGTCTCGCTACAGATGCAAATAGACAAGGTAGGCATCGTCTATATCAGTCAGTAATATACAAGGTGGATAAAAAAAAAAACCGAGATATTATTGCTAATTGGAACAGAAGTGGGGCACATGTGAATCAAAGGGAGATATCCTCTGTTAGGGTTGAATCTCCTCTTTAAAATGACACCCTGATCATGTCCTTACATTCACGGTTGACTGAGCAGTGACCAATTTTATGAAAGGGTCTATGTAGAGACTTGCCCACTTTTCATGGTGATCTCTTTTTTCCCTACCTGTCTTGATTGGCAACCATAGCCTTTCACTCTGTGACAAATGACACTACAAAAATCACAATTGAAAAGTGGACAATTCTCTAAATAGACCTTTCGTAAAATTGGTCACTGCTCAGTCACTGTGAATGTAATGACATGATCAGGGTGTCATTTTAAAGAGGAGATTTAACCCTAACAAAAGATATCTCCCTTTGATTCACATGTGCCCTTCTTCTGTTCAAATTAGCAATAATATCTGCGGGGTTTTTTTCATCCTGTATAAGTCAGTGTCATTTACAATTGTCGTAATTTTGTGAAATGGACTGATTCAAGGGCTATTAATTTAAAGCAGACATTCTAGTGATTTAGTCCCATTATATTTATTCCCATTCATAAGTACCTTTCGGTCAAAAGTCAATACAAGTCGAAAATTATAAATTTCCAACGATCTTGTTCAATAAATTTACTTTATGTTTTTTCAAACACCCCTCTAGCTATGTTTATGGTATGTGCCTCTCGCAAGTAGTACTTAAAATCTTCTTATATGGAGATTGGCGCGTGCATGGCGCGTACTGTGCGATGTAGTGTAGTGCGAATATAGGACTCTGAAAACTACCGACTCATTGGTAGTGTTGCACATGCCTAAGTGAAGATTGTGAACGTTCAACCAATAAAAGGGTAAAAGGGACCAGATTTCATACGAATCCAAATTTCATGTGACACCGGGAAAGTGTTTAAAACCAGCCAGTCGGGTGTTTCATCAACCATTTAAAATCACCCACGTGACAGGCTCTCAACCAATAGGAATGGGTAAACTGCCTCAGGTATTTATGAATACGAATTTAAAGTAAAGAGCACATCACAAACTGTTCATATTGAAAAAGGATCAGCACCGGGTTATATCTGTAGAAAATGATCCGGCCAGTTTTTCTCAAAGCGTAATTAGATTTGTATCTGTTATTTGCCCTTCTAGTTGCAAGAAGACGTTGCTGCGGAGTACTACAAGTACCGCAATGAATGTGACGCTCGTAAGCTACTAGTGTCAGACATCAATGATCTCCGATATCAGCAAGAAGACTACCAGAAGTCTCAGGGTCAGGTCAGCCAGGCAGGAGAAACCAAGGAAGATCCAGTCAAACTCAAGATTGCATTGAGGTCAGGAGATGCAAAATAAAAACTGAGGACCAGTTTGACTTAAATTTTCTGCTGGAGGGTTGTTAAATTGACCAATCTATTTGGCCGACCGTAAGGGTGATAAATGTCCGGCATGCATGCACAAAGGTCCGACGTGAGTGCACATGTATGCAGTGTGCCTGGGACTCACTGGATCTGCCTATTGATTCGTGGGTGCTATTCACATATGTGATGCATCAAGCTAAATGAGTCGCTCGTCAGGAATTTGGAGATTCAGGCCAAAATAGGGCCACTTCATCACATCACTTCATCACATCTCTTGGTGTCCCGACTTCCATAATTTGTTTAACTAAAGATGTTATCAGCATGCGGTTTTTACATCAGTAATGCTGAGATTGTGCTCTTTTCAAATCTGTAACCAAAAAAAATTTGACCAGGGTCGACAGACGACTCATTTAGCTTGATCACATCACATATACCCTCTTATTCAGTTTCAAAGAGAGAGTTAGGTGGAACTCAAGTACATTGCTGCTGTGTGTCTAAACTCAGTGAATCATGTGTACTTCACGCCATTCATGTGCGTGAATTACATACCCCCAAGGACAGACAGACATATTTAGGGAGAACAACATATTCATTGTTGTCCTCGATAGTTCATCTTTTGTTGAAAATGGTCCTCGATCGTGAGTTTGTGCGTTTAGTCTACGGAAAAGTGTTATTTTACAGGGACAAAGGGAAAGACAATGCCTTGTCCTTTAGAGTTATGTAAAACACGACTGTGTGCACTGAGCGGTGTATGCACATTGTGTGTCCCTCCAATGAAGCTCTTGTGAGTGTTTCCAAGTACCCCCCACTCCTGTTTGTCCATATGGGGCTTTGCCTTTCACTGATACGCTGTGTTTTTCAACAAGCTTGCTCGGATGGAACCCAAACCTCCTGCTTACAAGTGCAGACGTCTTAACCACTCCCTTATTAATCTTGGCAAACTCAGTTGGATGGTTCAAATTTGATGTATCATTCTGTGTTGGCAAACTAAATGTAATACAAAAAACACACAGAGAATTAAAAATTGTTTTGACCTGATCACTTATTTCATTGTCTCAAATTTCAGGAAAGCGAGGGAGGACTTGACAGATGCCACCCAGCGTTTGACTGAGATGATTGCCAATTATGGAGACGTAGTACCGAGGAGAGACTATGAGGGGCTCAAAGTACAGCATGAGGTGAGGGCGGCATTCATGGGAAAAGCAAAGGCCATATACAAATTCCTAAGCTATGACAGTAACACAGGCCGCCCTGGATCCCCAGCCTATTTCAGATTCTTTCCCCTTAGGCCAGTTTCATCTCTGTTTGAGTTTTTGCAATACAAATTTGCACAGATTACTATTCAATTATTATTGTTATTTTTATTATTATTTTTTGGGGGGGCTGTACAAAATACATGAAGCGTAGCAGCTTGCTATACAAAGAATTTTTTAATTAAGCCACTCAAAACCAAACAAACCCATTCCTGAATATTTGTTCAGGAACTTGTTCCAAATTACTGGTATCTATGAAGTGCCACTTCAATTCATTATTATTTTTCCACTTCACAGAAATTACAAGAAGAAATAGCCCAGCTGAAAGACGACCACGAAATCCTGATGTCTGAGCATGAGTGAGTTGTCAGAATAATTCTGTAGCCTTTTTTTTTTTTTAGTTTTCAGGATACAGTGCATTCGACAAATTATTTTATATCTAAAGGGTTTTGGATGTGTTAATCTGAAAACACGTTTTCAAAACCCAATTTCTTCTTTATCTTTAAATAAGTTATGATTTTTTCCAACGAGACATTGTACCAAAAATTCAACTCTGGTAAACCAAATAAATAAGTTTTAAATTTTTTTCATTGAGGAGCATTCCAAGTTTGAACATTTGTGATCCCGATTTGAACAGGGGCTAAAACTGCTTAGAGATTTTATTGTGCTAAGCAGAAATTGGCAGAGTACCAGTTAGCAGCAATACACCTAACATAACAATTGGTTGGTAAACCTGTTTTTGGTAAGCAAATCTTTTGTGTGCTTAGCCAAACTCTTTGCTTAGGACCTCCATGAAATTGGTCCCATAAAAGAACTTTCCAACCTGTCCGGAATTTTAGGTTTTTTGCCACGTCTGAATTACTTGGCTGCAGCTGGAAATGGCTACAGCCGCTTACGTAGGTGCGTGTGTAAATGCCAGCCGTAGCCAGGGTGATTCGGACACGGCCTGTGTCTAAGTTGTCTCTGAAAGATTCATTAGCGATTATGTTGTTATTGATTTCGTTGGTGTGTTTGTGTTTTCAGCACTCTGTTAGAGGTCAACAAGCAAGTTGTGACGCAGAGAGATGAGTTCTACTCAGAGCTGGAGATCCTGAAGCGATCAGCCACACCAAGGTGCTGTAGTCAAATTAGCTGTTTTGGGGCTACGGCTTCTGTATCTGCTATTGGCACACTACATTCAGCATCCTTAGCCATACAAATAATTGCCTGCTTTGGACGTAGGCACAACTTCAAAATTGTTGTTGATACCATATGATACTGAAACCCATTAAGATTCTTGGCATGCTCGTGGTGTTATTGTTTAGTTCACTTTTATATCTGAATAACTTCTCATAAGCGCTACTGAAGGAAACTTGAGGACCATTGCCCCTTTTCAATGGTACCAAAGGAAAATAAGTTGTGAAAAAACGCAAAGTCCATAGTCTCAAAAGATTTGACACCAAATGCAGTGCCACGGTCTTCAATGCCTTACCGTCACTACCTACAGACCTGACTGGGACCGCTGCGCCGATTTCATGGAGGGGGGCGAGGAGAGATGGAAGACCATCTCTAAGGACAAGAGCAGCGATAACAAGGTGGAGCTTCTGCTCAAGGAACTGGCTGGAGATGGGGAGGGACTTGCCTTCTTTGAACCAAGGGTGAGTGAACAAAAGCTGATATCGTGGAAGAATGTTCTTTTACGTTGAAAGTTATTTTGAAAATAATGCGTTTTTGAACCGGAAGCCAGTGAAGTGATTGCAAGAGTGGGGTAGAGGGATGTCAGCGTGGCACTTGGAAAAATGATACGAGCGGCCCCTATTCCGCTGCATCCAGCCAAAAGAGAGTTGGCATAGTCTAGTCTAGACAGAATTAGGGCTCTCGATTGAAGCGACGGATTCTTGAGATGTTGTGTAAACTGAAATTGATTGACTGACAGAAGATCGAGAGGACATGGTCATGGATGAATCAAATCCTGCTCCTAAATCTTTCACTAAAATGGATGTGGGGACACAAACTCATTGTCAGTTGGGAAGGTGTAATTGATAAGCTTCGGCCATTCGCTTTGGCAGCAGTAGTCACAGCTGTGATTGGTCAAAACATTGTGGGGTGGTAATTAGAATCAGCTGGTTTCATGTGGGAACATAGTTGAAATAGTTTTATACTTCCTGTTGGGAATGTGCATTGTTCTAGGTAGCACTTTCTACAAAGAGCAGGACAATTCTGTGTTTTTGAGATGCTCCCTGTAAACTTGAGAAGAAAGCCTCCTGAACTCAAATTTTTATTTTTGTATTTTTTTCCCCAGGGCTTTGGGGAAAACGTGCCAGTCTACCTGCAGACAGACATCAAAGTCAGGAACAGGGAATACACCAAGGGTGAAGCATTGGAACTCATTAAGGAAATCTGGAAGGCAAAGAACAAACGGGAATCAGAGGTATGCATGTCAGAATAGGGTAAATGTTTTGTTCTAATCCGTAAGATATTCCGTGCCTTGCAGATGGGTAATTCTATGAATTTAGGGTCCACTTTTTTTCCCTGTCCCTGTTACATCTGACATTATGATTTTATAATTCTGATGCACTTCTTCATGCAGTCATCCTCCAAGAGTGATTATGAATAGCAAACTACCTACCCAACAAATGAAAAAAAGTTGGAAGTGGTTCTTCATGTCACTTGAATGGCAAATTACAAAGTACCAAGGTAAAAGGGACAGGAAAAAGGTCACTCTTTGGATCCTAAATTTATAGCGTGACACAGGTGTGTGCTCATAGAGTGTAGGATCTGAAGGTCAACTGTGTAATCAAGCATGGAACTTTTCCTCAGTTCAGCTAAATTTGTCTTTTGTAAGTTCTCTTGTATGCCATTAAAACTTGAAAAGAAAGAAAAAACAATGCAAGAGAGTCTTGTAAAGATTGAAATTTCCTGGTTTTTTGGTGACTTCCTAATAAATAGCTGTGTACTTTAGACTTGGTGACCAACATTGCCCTCTGGGGTAAAAATCCAAATATTACTGACAAACCCTTTAGCTCAATTTCCATGATGGTTGAATACTGAGGTGGATCCTTGTAATGCAAGGACACTACATCCTGCAAGAGATGACAAAATGCCATTTACTGTTCCAAAATGCCATTCACTGTTCACGCGAGAAGTCCATGGGCTGCTTGTGAATTCCATTGATGCTATGTATTTTATCATCCCACTATTAAATTTTGTCTCTAGAAGGAGAACGCCTCTACTGAACCGATGGACACCTTTGTGGCCAGATTTCTGGACGAAAGGTACAGAGACAAAAAGATGATTGCGGAGAAGGCCTACAACCTTCATGATGCCTGCGAGAGGTACCGAGACATGGAAGGCATGTGCGAGCTCTTCTATCAAGTATTGACAGACGAGGTGTGTACACGTGTGTAGCAATTGTATGACTGAGTTCTGTGTTTTGTTTAAATTTGGTGCATTTGAGAACTTTTTCACAAACAGTAGTGAAATGTTTAGTTGAGTTATTGAACACATTATTCCCTGTACCGCCCTAAAGCGCCCTGCCTGTTGTTCCTTATACCGCCCCCAGCACTCTGTGGTTTTACAGATTCACCAAGGAGTACATACAATGTATTACAATGTAATACAATTGCTAATATCTTAACTCATTTTTGTTTTTGTCATTGAAGGTGATCGAGCAGGTTTACAACCAGGAGATGGAGATGTTGGAGCAGTTAATGGAGGCCCTCAATAAGGCCTCGGAGACGATCGAGGTTCCGTCGACAACGCCGGCTCCGGCCGAAACGGAACCGGCGGCCGAGGCACAAGAAGGGGAAGAGCCTCCCACTGAGGTATTATGTCACCTGACTTGACAGAATCAACAAAAGTGTTTCCCTACCCGCCTAATTATCCCCAACTAGACTTGGTCCAGGACTGCATTTAGAAATTGTGTTCCCCAAATTCAGCCAGTTCCTTGCAAGTGGGGTACCATCATGCCAATCAAGAAGATAATTCAAATCCGGTCTTGGGAATTTTGGCACTATGAGATGAGAAATTCCAAACATGCTTCACACCTTGGCCCAATTTCAAGGCGCTGCTAAGTACACAAATGTGCTTAGCACAAAAAAAGGATGGCATATAAAAGCAGGTTATCAGCCGAAACTCCATGTGATTTTCATGCTGAGCAAATTAAACAACAGCTGAATACTAATCACGAGCAATATACATCACTTGGTGTTTGGCTGGTAACCTGCTTTTATAAGCCAGACTTTTTTGTGCTAAGCAAATTTTTGTGCTTAGCAGTGCTGGAAATTGGCCCTGGTGCTCATCATCTTTAATATTGTGCACATAAAACGTGGGTCTGAATGGAAAAATCTGCAAGCCTGGTTTTATTAATTTTGTTGATAATGCCCTCTGCCACCATAAATGTAGCTGTATAATCTACATGTTAGAGAGTATGTCTCCAAATTCTGCTTAGTCAGTCAAAAAATCAAGTTCTTATTATTATTTTTTTATCATGACATTTGGCTGAACAAAGAATTTGTTCAGGATTTGAACCCTTGACCTGTGGCAAAAATCAGAAGCCATTCATTTGAAATTGTAAAGTATTAATTCAATAACTAAACATGGGCTGATATTTTTGAGTCTGTGTCTTGTTCAAAAGGGAATAACTTTTGTATTGCTAGAAAAATAGCAGTTTAGAAAAGGAATCTATTTTTCGGGATGAAAGTCGAAAAGAGCACAGGGAACGCTACTTTAATCAGTGGCTATGTGGAGAGTGGAGCTTGACATCAATTGAAAAAAAAAATGAGATGCGATCAATCTAAATGAGTGGTTTGTTGGGAATTTTTATTTGGAGATACCTGCCAAAATAGGGCCACTTCATCACATTACTTCATCACATCTCTTGGTGTTCCGACTTCCATAATTTTTAATTAAAGATGGTATCAGCATGCGGTTTTCACATCAGTAATGCCAAGATTGTGCTCTTTTCAAATCTGTAATAAACAAAAAATTGACCAGGGTCGACAAACGACTCACGTAGCTTGATCGCATCACAAATACTGTTCACCATCAACCTAAAAACGACAAGCATGTTTCACTTTGCAAAGAGACCTTGGCATCTGTGAATTTAACAGAAATGAAATCACATCTTCCGATAGGAAGCTGACAAGGAGGAGATGCCGCAGCTGACCACCATCCAGGTGATATCTAGGGAGAACTTTGAGGCAGCCTTGAGAGAGGTGTTCACCGTCAAGCCCGATGAGAACATCGAGGCGTTGATGACCACGCTGATGGAAGATTTGAAACCGGAGGAGGGAGCAGAGACGTTGAAGTATCAGGATCTGTTTTTGGAGGTCGGTCTTTATATCATTTGTTTAGAAGAAATTTGACAGAACATGTAGTTGTAATAACAATCGTAATACTATGATACCCATGCTGACTCGTGAGCAGAAACTTGGCAATTCAAGCATTATTTAATTTCAGTGACAAAGATTTTAAGAGCTCAGTGGATAAACCTGAAAGTGTATTTTTCAAATCTGGTACATGTGCATCATTCATCTAGTAGTGGACAAGGAGATTACAGACTAGGAGTTTTGGACCATTTCTCTGAATCATTATTAGATATCATGGTTAATTGGCTCTGTCACAGACATTACACTAATACACTTCCATTCATAGCGCTGAAATTGCCCATAATAGTTCTGCGGTCTACTCAAGATAGCCAGTGTTGATTTGTTGATTTTTTACTCCATTAATAACTTATTCCATCATGAGTCTTTACACTAAAAATAGACGAACCTTGGTCTTCAGCATATGACCAAACAGTACTGAGAGCTCAAATTTTACAGACATACTTGTACAATTTCAAAATGGTATGATCGCGACATTGATTTTCAACCCAGGATGAAGATGGCGGCGCTCGTCCATTTATCAATTTGATCCGGCAACAGGACAAGGAGGAACGTCTGAAGTACGTGGAGCAAATCAAACTGGAGCTGGGCGATAGAGAGTAAGTGCCGCATTCAACTACGAAGAGTAGTTTTATTCTCCCTGGATAGAATGCCATTCAGTTGCAGATTACTCCTCAGCTAATGACAGTAGGCCTACCCATTTATACTCCTTGGAGAGACAAGTAGAGATAAAACTGCTTGAGTAGCTGGATTTGAACCCCTGACCCTTTGATCATGAGCCAGTAGGCCTATCCATATATAATCCTAGGAGAGACAAGTAGGGATAAAATGGCTTGCCCAGGGACACATTTATTTGGTACCAGGATTCAGACCGCTGAACTTCCGATCACAAATCACAAACCCCAACCACCAGGCTTGGATCTCATACCAACTAACTAACTCACAAGTAAGAGTAAAGTGGCTGGCCTAGGGACACAACATTTAGCCAGCAGCTGGAATTGAACCCTTGACCCTCTGATGACAAGTCAAAAAATCTAACCACCAGACCACAATCCCTATACGACTGTTACTGGATCTCATGCCAGACCACAATCCCTATATGACTGTTACTGGATCTCATGCCAACTGACTTGCACAAGTGAGGGTGAAGTGGCTTGCCCAAGGACATAACATGTAGCCAGCAGCTGGAGTCAATCCCTGAACCTCACAAGTCAAAAAATCTAACCATCAGACCACAATCCCTACACATGACTGTTACTGGATCTCATGCCAACTGACTTGCACAAGTAAGAGTGAAGTGGCTTGCCCAAGGAGGCAAGGACACAACATGTAGCCAGCAGCTGGAGTCAATCCCTGACCCTCGAATCATGAGATCTCAAACCAAGTAACACACAAGTAAGAGCAAAGTGGCTTGCCCAAGGACATAACATGCATAGCCAGCAGCTGGAATCGAACCCCTGACTCTCTGATCACGAGTCAAAAAATCTAACCACCAGATGACAATCCCTTCATATGACTGTATACGGGATCTCAAAACCAAATGACTTGGGATTCAACCAAAACCGAATTCCGACATGCTAAAAACTCTCATTTCATTTCCATATGTGTTTGCATTGTTGTTTGTTTTGTTTGTTGCAGAGAAGTACCGCTTCCCGAGCTGCGAATGGCCATCAACGTCGTGGATGCCGAGATAGACAAGAACCACATGATTGAGTATCTGGCCCGCTCTTACGACGTTCCAAACGACCAGCTGAATACGGCCACGCCCCAAGCTGTGGAGACGGTGATACAGCGGCTTCTGAAGGCTGGAGTGAGACGAATTGGCTTGCTTAATAGCTCAGAGCTATAATGGTGTTGTTGCAGTCTGGGGCCAATTTAAATGAATCCCTAAGCATACAGTGTTGTGCATTTCTGAATAATTAGTATTCGATAATTCAAAGTTGGATTCAGTCAAAAATACGAGTATTCGCAATGCGCCAATGAAATTTTACATGCCATTTGGCAGCCTAATTGAATGTGCATGTCATAAATTTAATGGTCTGCTAGGGTGGTATCGAAAATGAAGACCCCTAAAACGAAGACTGAAGACCCACGTTTCCGAATGGGTCTTCATTTTCGTGGGTCTTGTTTTAGGGTGGGTCCTCGTTTTCGAGCGGGTCTTCGTTTTTGTGGGTCTTCGTTTTCGAGTGGGTCTTCATTTCACGTGGGTCCTCGTTTTCGAGTGGGTCTTCGTTTTCGAGTGGGTCTTCGTTTTCAAGTGGGTCCTTGTTTTCGAGCGGGTCTTCATTTTCGAGTGGGTCTTCGTTTTCGTGGGTCTTCGTTTTTCGAGTGGGTCTTCGTTTTCGAGTGGGTCCTTGTTTTCGAGCGGGTCTTCATTTTCGAGTGGGTCTTCATTTTCGAGTGGGTCTTCATTTTCGTGGGTCAAAATTGAGAATGAGCTTATTAAAATATTAAGAACATCGTCTATGCATTGATCAATTTTTGTTCTACATTGCTGACTGGCTGATCTTTGAAAGATTATAAAGATGTAATAAGACCCAATGTTCCTCACAGAAGCTCTCCACTTATGCGTGTATAAAAGTGACTGTATTTGACAACCATAGAACAACGCAGCTTTCAAGATTATATAACATTGTTTTTTTTGCAAATACTGGAAAAATATTCGGATATTTGGTGGCCGATGAAATATTGGAATATTTGGTATATTCGGAATGGCCCTAGACATTTATTTTTCTTTCTGTCACTATTTCAACTGTTTTGTGCACTGTGGTTATTCCCTGTATCTGTATAAAGAAATTCTGGTATTCTTATATTAAAGCTTACTTCAACGGATACAAAATATTCCCAAATTTGTTAGATTCGGAAAAGTGTAAAAATTGTGGTTTGTTGTAAATACATATTTTTGTAATTATTGTAGGAGAGGATAACCCTGATCTCATCCGTCCAATGTTTCTGAAACTTTCAGATTTATTCCAGAATATTCCGTCCACAAATCCATATGTATGTGTTTTTTACACTTCAATTTACCCTGTACATATTGTAGCAGTCAGTGTGTACAAACCCGATGTACATAAATGTGTAAATAAAGCATGCGGTGCCTTGGCCCTTGGCTCGTGAAATATTTCAAAATTTTGAAATTTAAAGTACCTGTATTTATGAAGTTAATTAGTCAACTGAATTCAAAACATTAACAGATACGGTGAAAATGTACAAACTTACACCTTCTTGAGAACAGCGTTGAAAATGTAAGAATTTAGTTACTGACATTGTACACAATTAAACTGCTTTGATGTTCGCCATCTTTTAAAAAGACTCCAAACAGAGTTCACACTTTAATACAAAGTTTCTAAAACCCAAAGTTTCCCGAACAAATTGGACTTCGGTTAATAGTTTCTGACAAACAAGGTTGTAAGTTGTTTAATGTGTTGCATTCATGGGGTGGGTGGGAGGGGTGTGGTTGAGGGTGGGGGAAATGCGCGTTCAAAATCACATCCCGACAATGTTCATTATGAACAAGCAGTTTGTAATAAAGGGTAATACGGGAACCAGGTACCCTATTGAAGTAAAACACGGGTACTCGACTACTGGTAAAGGAAACCAAAACCCCCAAATTCAAATCCTGGAATTTGCTGTTCAAACTTCAAATAAAGGTGCGCACAATATCACTACCACATTGGTGCGTCAATGCAGCAAGATACAAGTGTGTACAGTGCAGGCTAAAGAATTTGCAACTTTAAAATACACATAAATGTGAACTCTATTTTAGTTTTCCAAGTAGCTTGGTATTCATTTTGAGAATTCCCCACAAATGACATTCAAAACCCTTTTCCTTTTTTCATTGTCTACGAAGTTGCCAAGTTGGTTACGGGTACCTGATCCCATAATCTGGAACCAGTTCCTGACATCAGCAGTCGAGTTCTCAGGTACCCAGTAAGTGCACGACCTTATCTTGACCGCCTCCCCCCCCCCCCAGCTCCCAGAATGCATTGTGGCAAACAGCATCTAGCCTTGTGATGTCTCAGAGCTATTTTTTTTTTTTTACATAAACAGAAAATATACAGCTGATTCAAAAACCAGACTAGCAGTAAAAAAAATCAGGAATGACATTTGGTATTTTAAAAAAGTCTATAATTTAAATATATAGTGTATTAAATATAAAGGTATCAGATGCATCTGAAAATACAAGAAATTCAAATAGAGGTGCAATTGTAAGAGAACTTACATCCCTTATTCAGATCACCAGCAGCTGATTTTACGAAAAAGTGCTCAGTTTGAGCCATGCGTAAGGCTTTCTGCGCAATAAAATTACGCGGTATAAAATTGCGGTATCGAATCGGGATACAGGAAGAAAGTTTCCTATCCAGGTTTACTATTGGAAACCGTGTTGGAAATAAAGTAAGCACTGGGGACGAGGTTGACAAGTTGCGGACTTACGCACTATCCATTTTTTGTGAAATGTGTCATAAGTGAAATGTTTAAGGTTTCGTGAAATCGGCTGCAGGTACAATATAGGTTTATTGATGAACCTCACAACATATTCAGAATACCAACTTTCAGGCATGTAGTCGAGTCCATCACAAGTCCAGTAACAAAAGAAACAATGAATGATTAACAAAGGAATACCTTTGTCAAAGTTTGTTTGAATAGCTTGTGAGTTGAATAGCTTGCGAGTTGAATTGCGACTGGTGGACTTGTGATTGACTTATACATTCCTGCCAACTTTTTCATTCTACTTGACAAACCCATAATTAAGAAATATTTAGATACCTTTTTGGAATCAAAAATATTGCAGCGACATAGCTTTCGGTGTCATCGCGACATCTTCATCATATTTAGAATTCCAAACAGGGATGTAGTCAAGTGTGATGGCCCAAAAGGTGGTCACATGACCGGAGTATGCTGAATGAAGATGTCGCTACATCGCTGCAAATTTTTTTATTTCAAAATGTATCTAAATATTTCTTATCAACGTGATGGAATCCAATATTAATATACATGCTACAAACCCATAATTAAGTATAAAACAACAAGTCCCAGACCATAATAGATCAAAAAGCTAAATACCATTTAAAATAGTTCCAAAATTATTTCTTCAGTGTTCAAGTCATCGCTTAATGATAATGATCATATGAATTGTTAAAAAGGCAAATTTTTGTAAAAGCTTAAGTTCAAAGAGATTTCAGTGCATTAAATAAAAGTAATCCAGGAATTAAATTATAAAGTCTCTGCACCCAAAAGAAAGCATGTCTTTGCACCCAAAAGAAAGTATATACAATATTACTATAGCATTTTCATTATTATATTTTCCATTAGCTGCATTTTAGCATCTCTCACCGACTGCTACCTCAAAATTATTAAGGGAATAAATGTGTGCTTTGTAGGTTTTAATCACTCTGTTTAAGACCGCTTTGAGTCTGGGTGCTTTCGACAAGGGTAATTATCACCACCCAGACTCCAAGCGGTCTTAAACAGAGTGATAAATACCGACAAAGCACATATTTATTCCCATTCATAAATACCTTTCCGGTAAAAAAAAATCAAAACTTTTCGGTCAAAAACCCAGATTTTGTTCAACAAGTTCACTTCATGTTTTATGAAACACCCCTCTAGCTTAACAATGGAGTGTCCAGCTCTCGAATGAGATGTAAACAACTCCTTCTATGGAGATTGGGGCGCGTACTGCCTGATGTCGAGCAGAATGCACCTGGGGCGTTGCGTTGTGAATTTGGGACTATAAAATACTGACTCACTGGTAGTATTGCGCATGCCTACGTGAGGATTGTGAACGTTCAACCGATAAAACGGTAAGAGGTACTGGATTTTTTGGAGTCCAAATTTCATTTGACACTGGAAAAGTGTTTTAGACCAGCTAGCCATGTCTTTATCATCTGTTTAAGACCAGCCACCTGATGGGCTCTCGACCAATAGGAATGGGTAAACTGTTTAAAGTATTTATGAATAACAGATTAAAGCTTTACATTCCTCATGATGTCATCGAATATTGGTAAAGGCCCATCGTACCCGTTGTGCTCAATGGAGTCCAGAAATCGGCGGTATTCAACAGGCAGACCGTGCTGCAGTGCACCCGTCTGTAACACTTTGAGATAGTAGGGGGAAGGTTTAACGAAGAGGGGCTCCATGAACTGGTAGCTGATGCATTCCAAAATGGATTGGTCCGTTGCCGTGGTGACTTGGAGGGTATCCAGGCGACGGTACACACGTGTATGCACACCCTCCTGACTGTATAATTGGATATATCAAATATAAGGGAATAAATGTGTGCTTGGTCTGTATTAAACACTATGTTTAAGACTGGTTGGAGTCTGGTGGATGATAATTACATGAGCCAAAGGCTCATACCCTTTCGGTCAAAAAAATTAAAACTTTTCAGTCCAAAAGTCAAAACAAGTCCAAAATTAAAAATTTCCAACATTTTGTTCCACAATTTTACCTCATGTTTTTTTAAACGCCCCTTTAGCCATATAATGGAGTGTCAAGCTCGCGAGTAAGACGTAAACAACTCCTGCTTGCCTTCTTCACATTTCACCTCACCTCCTGTTTTAGCTGCATTTTTATATATGTGTTATGATTTTAAATCAGTTTATTGTAGAAAGAAATGTATCATCGTCCTAGTCTGGTTCCCAGACCTGACAATTATTCCTGACGCTCATGTGTAAATTGTAGGTCAGGCAGCCTCCGTGGCCAAAAATAAACATGACGACATTGATGGCCCTTTTAAAAACTCGGCTTTGTTTCCGATTTCGCTTTATCACTTATAGCTTTTAATGTTCCGATCAAATTTTTAAATAAATCTCCTCTTGCTTCATAATATCATACAGTTATGATAATACAGTTTGATATTTCTGTAAGAAAACATTGACTAATGTTGACCTGAAATCTTCAAAGTTAGGCACCCAAATAGCACTGTTAGCAGGCGGAGCCGAATGAAGACCACACCAAGTTTTGGAAAATGCCGCTAACAGGCGTAAAATTCAAAACAGTACAAAATCGTTGTACAAAATTTTCTAACTAAAAGCAATGACTATTAATTATCATCTCGTTTTTTTAAGTTTTTAATAAGCAATTAGCAGTTAATAAAACCTATATTATACTCGGAAATACTTGGGCGCTATCCGATTGTCGACGAAATGAATTCGGCAAACTTCAGAAATTTTCGGAAAAAGGAAGAATTCCTCCCGTTTTGGTCACGTGACATTATTTGTAATACAATGCATTACCGGAGGCTACCGGACCTAAGATTCATCAGGAATAGTCAGAATCTTTTGGTCTGGGAACCAGACTATCAGCGTCCCAACAATAGCTGTGACTGTTCCAACTATAGGTAGGACTGTCCCATCTATAGCTGGGGTCATTTCTATACTTGGGGCCATTGCTATAGTTCGGGCATGACATTTTCATACTCACACATCCAGACTCTTAAGGTCCGACTTCTCCAGTTTCCAGACCACACCCCAGACAGAGTCCCCCTCGGATTGCTCAATGGTCGCCGCACCACCCTTCCATCGTGTGTTATTGTTCCATTGTCCCTTGACGCAGAATTGCAGCCTGTAGTTCTGAAAAAGAAGAAAAAAATCCATTCATTGTAACCCTGCACCTTTAGGAAAGAATGTTGCAACCTGACGCTACTTCAGCGGTTATGTACAAAGTCTATGGAGAGTCAAAACATTTTCAAAGTATTTCTAACAAAAGTTGGAAATGTTTCCCAGTCCCAGATTAAAGGCATAGTCCATCATTTGTAATTTGTGCATTTTGTTCGTTTGAAGCAACAAAAGTGCTCAAGATCTACAGAAGGGTGCTGAACAACTAACCTGATGAAGTTTCAGCTCAGCTTTAGCTGTATATTTCGAGAAAAACAACATTCTAGGATATCTTGATTCAAATCAAAAGTTGTTGAAACATGTTTTGAATTGGGCCTGAATTCAGCGTCCGAGACACGTTCTCACTGAGCCGATTGCAGCTACGCGATGTCGCGCACTGATCCGACGAATTATAGCAACCGCGTTGAGCCAATGCTTGCGTGCGCTTCGATGAATAACAAAATGAACTACTAATTTGAATTTCCTATGGTGCTTCTTAAGAAGCACCGTTGGAAAGGCCTTCTTTTGTTGATTTCTTCAAAATGACAGCTTGCCAGAAAGAATAACTTCACAGGGAGTTTAGTCCCCTTACTATCTTTCAACCAAGTATGTTTTTCAACAATAATTACGCTAGTTACTTTTTGGATAGCTGCAAATGATGGCTTTAATGTCTTATCATCATTTTTGCAATGACTGACCTTCATTGAGATGATATATGAAGAAAAAAGCAGCATCAGGTTGCAACATTCTTTCCCAGCTTTATTTTTGTGTTGCGTTTTTTTGTCATCTTCATCATTGTTTCCCCCTAAATCCCGGCCCCCCCCCCACCCAAAAAAATGTAAAACCATACCCTCTCTCAATGTATTAATAAACTGTGAGTCCAAGGGAAAAAAAATTGCAACCTGACGCCACTTCCGCGATTGTGTACAAAATCTATTGAGAGTCAAGAAAAGTATTTCCAAACAAAATTGGAAATGTTTCTCAGTCATGTCTTATCATCATTTTTGCAATGACTGACCTCCACGGAGATGATATATGAAAAAAAACTAGCTTGAGTATAAACTCCAGCTAACATGCTCATCAGGAATTCACATGTAACATGTAAATTCCTAGCCCAGGTTGGACGACGTCTTCATTGCATTCGACTGACGTCCAGGGTATAAATTCTACCATCATAGCAAAAAAAATTATAACACATTTTTTTCATATTTTTACCTGACGGAGGAGGGCTGAAATTTCGCTTACATATTCCTTGGGTCCAGAATTATACCTGCGCTGGGTTTAGAAAAGGCAACTATGTCCGTGGGCAGCGTGTTTACCGTAAATAAACCGCAAGTTCTACACTTTCGTTGAAAACATTTTCAGTACGAACTCCCCGCGTGAAGACGTACATGCGCATGCATGCTGTTTGCTGCCGCTTGCTGCTGTGGCGGCAGCGTGCTAGGTGTGCATGAACGCACGCGCGTAATCTTCACACAGGGAGTTCGTACTGAAAATGTTTTCAACGAAAGCTTGGGATTGCGGTTTATTTTCGGTAAACACGCCGCCCACAGACATATTTGCCATTCCTAAACCCAGCGCAGGTACAATTCTGGACACAAGGAATATGTAAGCGAAATTTCAGCTTCCTCCGGCAGGTAAAAATATGCAAAAAATGTGTTATAGTTTTTTTCGCTATGGCAGGAGAGATTCATACCCTGGACTCCATTGCGTGTACACAACGGAGTCCAACCTCAGGAATTCACATGTAACATGTGAATTCCTGATGTTGAGCATGTTAGCAGGTTAGCTGGAGTGAGTCAAGCTAAAGAAAAACGTGGCGTCAGGTTGCAACATTCTTTCCTGACCGAGCCTTTTTCCAGTCCAAAATGTTCTCTCGAATTCTATAGCGTTTACACGTAACTATGCAAGAAGACGGCGTCAAAATTGCTTCGTCATTGCATTCCTCCATGGTCATTATGGCATTACAAATATCAACACAGCCTGACAGTCACTGCCCGACACTGAGCGTTTCACTAGGGCCTACAGTTGCATTCATGACTCAGTGACTGAACAAAATATGCTCACATTTAACTTGGCTGCAGCTACAAAAACCGCGTTTGACTAGGGCCTACAGTTGCATTCATGACTCAGCTCAGTGACTGAACAAAATATGCTCACATTTAACTTGGCTGCAGCTACAAAAACCGCAGACGGATTGTTCACATGAAGCCTCTCACGGAGTAGATTACTTCCGTATGCAAAGTATAGAAATGACATTTTCTAAATAAAATAAAAAAATGTTGTTCAGCAATTCAATGTGTTCAGCAGCACCCGTCATTCCCGTGTCGTCTGCAGATATTACGCGGCGCTAGCGCTTAACCCTTAAAGCTATAGTCCATCATTTAATTTGTGCATTTTGTTCGTTTGAAGCAACAAAAGAGTTCAAAATCTAATAAAGGATACTAAGCAACTAACCTGATAAAGTTTCAGCTAAGCTTCAGCTGTACATTCCGAGAAAAACAGCATTCTAAGATCTCAATTTCAAATCAAAAGTAACTGAATCATGTTTTGAATTGCAGCTATACGCGACGTCGCGCACTGATCCGACGAATTATAACAACCGCGCGCGCGTGTGCGTCGTTTCAATACTTGCGCGCGCTGCGCTGAATAATTAACAAAACGAACTACTAATTTAAATTTTCCTACGGTGCTTCTTAAGAATCACCGTTAGAAATGCCTTCTTTCGTTGATTACTTCAAAATGACAGCTTCCCAGAAAGAATAATTTCACAGGGAGTTTAGTTCCCTTACTATCTTTCAACTAAAGTTTGTTTTTCAACAATAATTACGCCAGTTACTTTTCGGATGGCTGCAAATGATGGACTACAGCTAGCTTTAACCAATATATTTTTGACACAGACCGGTCGAAAGAGGGCGCTATTCCTTATCTACAATCACTCGACTCGGCGGATGATCGGAGCCATGATAAAGTTTCATTTCAAGTTTAGTAGTTACTGTTTTTCCTCATGTACATGAAGGCGTGAAGGGAATAAAGGGTGATTGAATCGGATTTTTAGAAGTTATGTCTTTCGCTAATTTTAGTCTTTAAAATATTATTACTAGTGTTTTAATTTTGTTTTTATATAAGAAAAATCAGGTTAACGACATAGGATCATTTGTATTCATAACCAAAAAATAACCTAGCGAATTATGGCAAAAAAAAGCTTATTTAAGTTATATGGATTAAAGAGTAAAGGTACTAAACGTGGTCCGTCTGACTTGCTGTCATTTAGAAGAAATCAAGAAATGTAGGTGATATTGAATGGTGAAGGTGATGATGAAATCCTATCATATCTCTATACCTAGCTCATAAGTAACTCTCAGTGAAAAGAAAAATGAATCAAAGTCAGTCAGTAAGAGGAGGGAGGAGTCGAGTGCCCCCTACCCCCACCACCAACACCGTGACGCCAACCTCGTTCCCATGGGCACGAGATCTTGCTACGCCATGTTGTTTCCCATCATGCCTTGCGCGATCTCAACCCCTGGAATTGTGTAATTTAAATGTGTCAAAATATGGCACATTATAATTAGGCTGCAGTTTATCCGTTTTACGTGTCGACGCCATCTTTAAAATGCTGAAAGTTGTGTTTTTAAAGAATCAATGCTTTTCAAACATTAGGTTTGGACGTTGCGTTATTTAGCAAAGATTTTTTATTAAATGCACGTACCCCTTTCGTCCCTTTACAACCGCAGAAACAGGGGGGTTTTTTTAGCGAAAAACGAGGCTGCCATAATCCATATCGTACAGGCATCGCGCAGGTTTGAATATTCGCACGTGACGTGACGTGCAAAGCACGCGAGCGCATTATGTGCGCGCCCAGCGTGCAATCTTCGAAAGGCCCGCGCAGTACGCACTGAATTTAGCCAGTCAGCTTCGTTTACGTGAATATCACGACCAGGGGTTAGTGAAGGAACGCGCACGCGCCCATGGAGTCGAGGCTGCCGTCACGCACACCCACTCTTTATTTAAAGCTATAGTCCATGATCATTTGCAGCCGTAAGTGGACTAAAATCCCTGTGAAATTAATCTTTCTAGCAAGCTATCATGTTGAAGTAATCAACGAAAGAAGGCCTTTCCAACGGTGCGTCTTAAGACACACCGTAGGAAAATTTAATTTAGTAGTTCGTTTTGTTATTCGGCGTAGCGCGCGCAAGCATTGGCACGACGCACAGGCGCCCTCGGTTGCTATAATTCGTCGGATCAGTGCGCGACATCGCGTATAGCTGCAATTCAAAACAATTCAAAACATGATTCAGCAACTTTTAATTTGAAATTGAGGTCCTAGAATGCTGTTTTTCTCGGAATATACAGCTGAAGCTGAGCTGAAACTTCATCAGGTTAGTTTTTCAGTATCCTTCATTAGATTTTGAGCACTTTTGTTGCTTCAAACGAACAAAATGCACAAATTACAAATGATGGACTATATCTTTAATATACTCCTGAGGAAATGCTTTGTGTTTCCCTTTGTCCCTGTAATGTAAACCTTTGATCTCCCATAGACTAAGCGCATGAAGCGCAAATAAAGAAATCTCGCAAAAGTCTTCATTTTTCAACCGGCGATTTGGACCAACAATATAAAAGTCTCCTGCACGTGTTTCATATGAAAATGAAGCGTAGTATACTATCCTCTATCTTTTGAATCTTGCCATTTCTTTCGGCCTTGAATCGAATGTACACCTAAAAACTATCGGCCCTCACTTTTAATGCTATAAAGTATCATATTTGTTTGACACGTAGTAACAACACTTTATTTTTGTCAAAAGCAGTTATATTTGGTATCAAAATAATGCACAAGATTTCAACTTTTCACTAACCTAGCCATCTTGGCCAAACAGTGCATGTATCCAGGTACTTTTCGTGTTTTTATGTAGTCTCGAATACAGTCTCGTAAAATCTCGCGTAGGCTTTTGGGCCTTGCGAGCATGACCTCGGGACAAGAAACTGAGGTCAAACAGGGCTCTGTGCGTGACTCGGCCACTGACTGAAGTTTCATCAAATTAAAGGACCCACTTTCTGTTTGCAAACTTTTTTAAGAAGAGAAAAATTATTTATATTCCCCTCATTTGGAAGCTTTGAGTGGCAGCATTACAACTGCGATATGTTTTAGCTGAAACCGTCTACCTTATTATTTTGAATATTGTTTTAAGAACCGATTCATGTTTTGTTGTTGCTCCATCCATTCCGTGAAAACCACCAATATCCCCAACGGCCCACCCGCTTCCTTTTTTGAGACTGTATCAAATTTGTATTCCTTTTTTTTTTTATAATTTCAGGCATAACATTTTTCAAAAGATGTTTCAGAAGTTCAGATGCTCCACCAGATAGACGCACTTGCTTGAAAACATGTTACCCTCGGCTGAGATAAGAGTTCACAAAATTATTCTGATCTGGGGTTTATCATACCAATCGGTGTTTATGTAGCTAATACATAACATTCGATCTTAAATTTAAAACTTGAGTTGGTCATTTCATGTTCGACAAAACTGTAACGAAGATATTTTGGCATCCCGATGAGAAATAATCTGGAATAAATCTGGAATATAACATGACAGAAGTATCATCTAGCATCTAGCAACTAGCAAGCACTCATCAAAGTGGCCGAGTTGGGGCGGGTCTTGTTCTTGACACGGGTATATCCTAACGGATAGGTAGTGTGAGATCCTTTTCCGAGTGCAGTGTTCGTGGGTCGTGTTCCCGCCGTTCGAGCGTGAGAACAATGAAAATACTCCGTCAAGAACAGCCAGCCCGCCCGAACTCGGACGGCCATTCATTGCGTGAGAAAAGGTTTCTGACTATGTCAATAGAGGGCGCTGTTTCTTTTTTTTCTTTTTTCTCATGTAGAATTTTCGGCGTTTTTATCCCAGATTTGCTCATTCTCAAACAAACTGTGGATCGGGGAACAAAGTTCTTTCGATATGGTACACCATAATCTACATGTCTGTGAAGTCTTATAAAATTCGGCCAACCACGCGTGTCGAGCGAAAAAAGGCCTCGTCCCACGGACTGTACTATCAGTTGTGTGTCTGTCCTGGTCTGTCCTCGAGGGTTTTATGTAGTAAAGCACAGCACACACGCACCCAAACAAACGTGTGTTCACCGTCGATCGTGGACGTCCTATTGTCCCTCTTGTGTTTGTACTCTTACCTTTTTAGGAAGACTCCCATAGGTTTTGTACACGACCTCAATCGCGGACGTATGCTGGGAATCGTGGACGATATTGTTCTCTTTTGTTGGTATTTTTCGTCCACGGTGTGAAAAGATGAATACGTACACACCCATGTTATCCTATACGTTATAATTATGAGGACCCCTTGTTCCCTTCTTTTGTTCCTATTGTTTGTACTATTAACTTTTTAATCTCCCATAAGGTTTGTACACGACTACCTCCCGAGGACATGGTTGAGGTCTTCGGGATTATTATTGTTATCGCAAATCCCCCATGATCAGGGTGACCGTAAGGTCATGGAAAAATTCTGCTAAATGCACCTCAAAATCTGTCAGATTTATTAAAAATCTGCAAAATTCCCCAGAATTACTCGAAATACAGTACAAACACTTAAATCACATGTAGATTTGTAGTATTGCCTTAATTATTATAAACAATCTATAGTCACATAAAGATGTTATGCAATTATTGCGTAAATTTCAGGCAAAATGCGGCTGCGTCACGACAAAGTTCGGTTCCCAGTGAACCTCAGTACCTAGAGTCTCTAGGACCTAGACCAACCAACCTGTCCCATTATGCAAGGGTTTGTTTGAAAAGATTGAAGGTTTTTTTTCCAAGTTACCATTTTTTTTTTAATTTGCTATGGTTTTCTGTCAACCATTTTTGCAGAATTCTGCCAGAAATCTGCCAAAATAATCCATTCTGTCAAATTTTCTGTCAAACTCGTTTTTTTAACAAAAAATCTGTCAAAGTTAGCTGAAAATTGGCTAAAACGGTCACCCTGCCCATGATTGTCCGATCTTAAGTTCTCAGATCAGTCGTAAACGGAGGATAACAAGATCATACACACACATTTGCAATAACTGATCGATCGAGGTGCCTCCCACAAAACAGCAATTATCCCCCCCCCCCAAAAAAAAATGTGTAATGCTAGCAGTACCGTTCAGATGAATGGCTAATATTAATACATTGTAATAATAATAAAAACTTATAAAGCGCTGGTATCTAGGAAAACCTATTCACTGTGCTGGTGTCCGAGACAATTAATGATAAGCTTGAATGGAGAGGTAAGTTTGAGACAAGATTTGAAAGAGTCAGCGTCAGGTTGTGATCTCATGGCTATTGGCAGACTGTTCCATAGGCGAGGGGCAGTGACATGAAAACGTCTCATGTGTCCATAAGTCTTCAACCTTGAAGATGGAGCCACAAGCAAGTGCGCATCACTAGAGCGTAGTTGGCGTACAGGCTTGTATGGCGATATAAGTTGTTGCATGATGGGGTGCTGTTCCGTTGATAGACTGGTAGGTGATGAGGAGTTTGAATATTATGCGTTGCTCAACAGGAAGCCAGTGTAATCCCCTTTCCCCTGCAGATTTGTGATACAGTGTATTTGAAAAAAGAGATAAGAAAAAGAGAAAAGAGCGCCCTCCGGCGTCAAATACCCCCCCCCCTGGCCCTTACGAATTTGCAGCTGTCGGCTGGACGGCCCCAAAAATTTGGTAAAGGATCCACCCTTGGTGCCCCCCCCCCCCCATCCCCATGTCTGTAAAGATCGTTTGCACTGCAGCAATCGTCGATGTGTACAAAACACGCCTCTAAGATGGCTGCTGAATGGAATCGGTCCTTGTGTCGGCACTGCGTGCCATCCCAGTGGCTTAACGCTTGGCTGTAACTTTGCTATATTAAGGGAATAAAATGTGTGCTCCGGAAGGTTTTTATCACTCTGTTTAAGACCACTTAGAGTCTGGGTGCTGATAATTACCCGAGCCGGAGGCGAGGGTAATTATCAGCACCCAGACTCTAAGTGGTCTTAAACAGAGTGATAAATACCGACGGAGCACGTATTTATTCCCATTCATAAATACCTTTTCGGTAAAAAAAATTCATATAATTCGTTCAAAACATCCCGATTTTGTTCAACAAATTCACTTTATGCTTTTTGAAACATCACTCTTGCAAAATAATGGAGTGTTCAGCTGGCGAGTAAGATGTAAACAACCCTTTTATGGAGATTGACGCGCGCATATCATGTTCTGCACGATGTCGCGCAGAACGCACCTGGCGAGTTGCATTTTGAATTTAGAACTATAAAATTCTGACTCCCTGGTAGTGTTGCGCATGCCTACGTGAGGATTGTGAACGTTCAACCAATGAAACGATAAGAGGCACTGGATTTTTAGGAGTCCACATTTTATTGTGACACTGGAAAAGTGTTTAAGACCAGGGGCCAATTTCACGGCGCTGCTAAGCACAAAAATTTGCTTAGCACAAAAAAAGTCTGGTTTATAAAAGCAGGTTACCAGCCAAAACTCCATGTGATTTTCATGCTAAGCAAACAACAGCTGAATTGACCGCTTGCAGACGCGATCGATAATTGACGCGCTAAGGTGAGCGACGCCATGTTCTGGGACAAAATGTGCGTGGATAGATATACGTCTGTCCCACAACATGGCGTCGCGCGCCTTCGCGCGTCGGTTATCGAACGCGTCTGCAAGCGGTCTATACTGATCACGAGCAATATACATCACGTAGAGTTTTGGCTGGTTACCTGCTTTTATAAGCCAGACTATTTTTGTGCTAAGAAAATTTTTGTGCTAAGCAGCGCCGTGAAATTGGGCCCTGCAGCTAGCCATGTCTTTATCATCCGTTTAAGACCGGCCACGTGACGGGCTCTCGACCAATAGGAATGCGTAAACTGTCTTAGGTATTTATGAATTATACTTAAAGCTATAGTCCATCATTTGTAATTAGTGCATTTTGTTCGTTTGAAGCAACAAAAGTGTTCAAAATCTAATGAAGGATACTGAACAGCTTACTTGATGAAGTTTCAGCTCAGCTTCAACTTTATATTCCGAGAAAAACAGCATTCTAGGACCTCAATTTCAAATCAAAAGTTGCTTAATCATGTTTCGAATTGTTTTGAATTGCAGCTATACGCGATGTCGCGCACTGATCCGACGAATAATAGCAACCGCGCGCGCCTGTGCATCGTTCCAATGCTTGTGCGCGCTGCGCCGAATAACAAAACGAATTACTAATTTAAATTTTCCTACGGTGCTTCTTAAGATGCACCGTTGGAAAGGCCTTCTTTCGTTGATTTCTTCAAAATGAGAGCTTGCCAGAAAGAATAATTTCACAGGGAGTTTAGTCCCCTTACTATCTTTCAACCAGTATGTTTTTCAACAATAATTACGCCAGTTACTTTTTGGATAGCTGCAAATGATGGACTCGGGCTTTAACTCATAATTACTGAGTTTTTCTGTATGTTATAATACGCAAATAAGGATTACTGAGTCATAACTAGTGAACGTTTTTCATAATCTCGTCGAACAATGGCAGCGGCCCGTCGTAGCCGTTGTGCTCCACGTCGGCCAGGGATTTCTGGTAGTCATCCGGTAGACATTTCTGCCTAGCTCCCGCAAGGATAACCTTCAGGTAGTGTGGCGAGGGTTTCTTTCCGAAGATCGGATCCACCATTTGCAGCGTGAAGCACCGCAGATCTTCTGGGACTGGTCCTGGGGACGTGATAGTGACGGGGTCCAAGCGACGGTAGAACCCTTTGTTAACGGTCTCTTGCCTGACATGGAGAGGAAATAATAGACCGACTCCCTTGAGTCAAATGCAATGGAATGTTGAACTCTTTACTTCTTTTAGTATCAAACCTCTTTTGGTTAAAGCTTAGTTGATTAAAGCTATACATGTGTATAGATCACAATTTTTAAAATCTTACTCATAGAGCAGCGGAAGATCAGCTTTGTTGATTTTGAGGACCACGCCCCATACAGAGTCCCCTTTTGATTGGTCAATAGTTGCCATGGCGCCCTTCCATGTCAACTCTGCCGGCCACTTGGGATGCTCAGCGAAACGTAACCTGTAATTCTTGAAGAGAGTATACGTAGAACGACCAGCAGCATTTTTAGAGTCTACAGAATAACAAATCCCTCAAACTCTTTCAATTAATGAGCGACTTTTGAAGCGCTTGGTGGTAGCACACATACATTTTTGGTCGTTTACGTAATTTTGACCATGCGCACATTAGCTTAACGCATTAATTGCAAACAATATTGAAAAGGACCAATGGGGCCGGCCGTGTCCGTTGGTTTCTTACAGAAATATCAAACTGTATGATAATGAACCAAGTGATTTTTTTTAACATTTGATCGGCTCTTAATGATGATGAAGCCAAACCGGAAATGAAGCCGAGCTTTGAGAAAGTGCTATGATAATCATGTTTGTTTTAAGCCGTGCGTGGCGGCTGCCCAACCACAACCTCGATCGTTCCACGGGCTTACCTTATTTCCATCCTCGTTTAATGAAATGATTTAGAAAGGATCAGCAGGCTAAGTCCGAATTATTGGCTATGGCTGTAGCCACTTCCCATAGACTCATTGTGTAGTAGTTAAGTTTCAAGCCGAAGCCAATAATTCGGAGACGGCCTAATCTTTTGGTGTGGGAACCCATGGAGGAATATCTCCCGACAAAAAAAATAATTCGACGGTGACCGTTTTTTTTAGCCGGCCCATTTTTGAAAGACACTTAATAAATGAATTAAAAGTAATCACTGTAAAAATGGTGTTTAGGATTTAAACACATTTCTAAACACTAATTCTGTACCCACTTTTTCCACACGTTTAGCACCATGACATGTTTAAATAAGGGAATAAATGTGTGCTCCGGAGGTTTTTATCACTCGTTTAATACCGCTTAGAGTCTGGGTGCTGATAATTACCCGAGCTGGAGGCGAGGGTAATTATCAGCACCCAGACTCTAAGTGGTATTAAACAGAGTGATAAATACCGACCGAGCACATATTTATTCCCATTCATAAATACCTTATCCGTAAAAAAATATCAAATAATTCGTTCAAAAAATCCCGATTTTGTTCAACAAGTTCACTTCATGCTTTTTGAAACATCCCTCTAGCAAAATAATGGAGTGTTCAGCTGGCGAGTAAGATGTAAACAACCCTTTTATGGAGATTGACGCGCGCGTAACATGTTCTGCGCGATGTCACGCAGAACGCACCTGGGGCGTTGCGTTTTGAATTTAGAACTATAAAATTCTGACTCGCTTGTAGTGTTGCGCTTGCCTACGTGAGGATTGTGAACGTTCAACCAATGAAACGGTAAGAGGCACTGGATTTTTAGGAGTCCACATTTTATTGTGACACTGGAAAAGTGTTTAAGACCAGCTAGCCATGTCTTTATCATCCGTTTAATACCGGCCACGTGACGGGCTCTCGACCAATAGGAATAGCTAAACTGTCTGAGGTATTTATGAATGTCCTTTTTCTGTGACACGCATTATCCGTTTGACATGTACAATGAATGTATAGCATTTAAACACCTTCCTAAGCGCATTTAGATATACAATCCTAAGCACATGTTCAAAACGTAAACACGTTTAGTTTCACAACATTAAAAAGTGGTAAACGTTTAGAATTGAAACACATTCCAAAACGTATTAAACTATAAACACGTTTCTGATGTGTTTAAATGCTAAACACTGTTTTTACAGTGTAATGTTACCAAAATAATGTAGTTTGTCAAAAGCGAACAATACAAGCAAATTGAAGCCAAATACAATTTTATTTTAAAAGAGGGTGCGCTTCACAAATAGTGGTCACCGCCGTAACCTGCCTAATTGAAGGAAACATTTACTGAAAACCTGCCTAACTATTGGAAAACAAAAATACATAGTGGGCCAAAATTTCTTTCTTTTTTGGTCATGTCCTAAATACGCTTCCGTAAGAAATACTTTTATTGATTTGAAATTTATGATGATAGGTTATGCAAAACCTCAAGTCACATCTAACTGGACTTGAAATGTACATGTCCACGGCGACACGATAGGCCTAATATGATCATATAGGGCTTTCACTTTTTACCAGTATCCTAAACCGGTCATAATTGGACTCCTATGAAATCTGGTCTTTTGGTTTTAATATATCTTCACGTAGGCATGCGCATATACAATGAGTCCAAATTTCACACATACCGAACCCTATACGGAACGGTAATGGCGATTAGTACCCAGCCTGTTGTTGATGTACCCTATGCGTGGCGCGACCCCTAACGTTGCGCACTTTGAATTTCGCAGAAAGTGACATTTCATCAAGTTCTAAACACTCTCGTTCATAAATCACGAGTTTATCTACCCATTACAAAGTCAAAAGAAACATTTATTTCGGCGTGATTTTTCGATGTTATTTCTAAGTGCACAGTGAACCCTTTGAAAATGTCCCCCCCCCCCCCCCCACAAAAAAGAAATAAGAAAATAATTTTCTGACAAACTTCTAGTTGGGTATGTAAGTAGAGATAATAATAGTTTATCAGAATTTATCAACTTTACAGAAATTCTTAAATGTTATCTTGGAATTTTCCGAGATTTCTTCAAGTGCGCCACGTTAGGCCAAAAAAAAAAAGTCTCCGGTTTCTGGTATGGAGCTTGCCCAAAAAGTGGTGCGGCGACGCGGCTGTTTTTTTTGCTTCAAATGTCGGTTGATGACTGCAAATGGTGCCCGACTAAACTTAGTGCAAATATTATGGGAGACCAGAGAGGCTACATAAAGCTTATTCTCGATCATAACCCCATCTAAAAACACGTTAAAATTGTGCAGCAGCAGGATTCCCGTCAAACTAGTGAGTTTGGCGGTTTTGAGACATCATCTTTTTCATTTTGCCGACGCGCATGGCTACGGCGACGCGCGCGCATACCAGAAACCGGAGACTTTTTTTTTGGCCTTAGGAAACTTACTGCCAGCTTGCCAATCGTGACGAATGCCAGTGATATATTATTCATGAGCAATCGTTCCCTCAACATGTTGCTTGCATACGTGAAATACAGACTCATCTTGGCTTGCTTTCGGTTGTTTCCGTCCGTCTGCGTCAGCTCGATAGCTCATAGAAAATCATAAATGTTTCGATAAATAATTAATTTAGTCCTCACAGAAACGTAAACGTGAACTGCAAGATTAGATGGCGACCAAAGTGCAATGTGATCACAACAACTGAAATTCAGCACTCGAAGTGATAATGATCCTGATTAACCTTTGCACGTTTATATTTTCCTATTCCAGGGTTCTGGAAGCACGCCACCATGCAGGTCACAGGCTCTATTGTTCAGTACAATACGCATCAACGGCGGTAGAAACTTTCTGAAAGTGGATGCATATGGGCATCCACAGTACGTGTAAGCTGGGTGTTAAAATTGTCAGGATTGTTTAAATGTTTCTAGGTAAAAAAAAAAACGAAATACAAAAAGAAGCGGGTACCCGGCATTTTCGATGGAGTATTGAGTACCCCTGTACTAGAATGTTCCTTAATTGTTCCCACTCTTAATAAATTTTCAACTATTCGTCCTCCCCCCCCCAAAAAAAAATAATAACCCGACCGCCCCCTTTTTTTTGGGGGGGGGGGGACGTCTGACCCTCTTAAAAAGTTCTTATCGGGCACAAACATGTCTCCATTGTCCTTCGGACCCATAATTTTACGGGGGCGGGGACAAGTATATATAGTCCGCTTTGCAGCGCCAACAGATATATGTCAATCCGAACATTATCGATACAGGTTGTGGGGTAGTCTATGTAATAGACCATGGACAAAGTATAACGGGTGATCTCAGGCTAGTTGTGGGGTGGGAACCAGCAAAATGACAACTGTCGGAAGGCAAAAAAAGATGTAAAGTAATGACTCAATAATTAAGTAAGATTTGAGGCTTTGCATGGTGGAGATACTAAATAATGAAAGGTTTGCGGAAACACCATGTGCGAATAATTTCTCAACTAAGAGAATGGTTCTGAAAAGAACCAGATGTATAAACTCGACGTTCCCGTCAGTATGCTCTGACCGTCTTCAGGAGAGTCTTCCTGAAGACGGTCAGAGCATACTGACCGGAACGTCGAGTTTATACCTCTGGTTCTTTTCAGAACCATTCTCTTAGTTGAGAAATGACTCAATAATTATTAAAGTCATGTCTCTTTCAAAAGTGATCGATGTCTCTTTCAAAAGTGATTAACTTTTGTATTAAAAAAAAACTATTTTGGAAAAGGAATCTGATTTTCGGGATGAAACTCCAAAAGAGGACGTGAGCTAAATATGCAAGTAAAAGTGCAAATTCTTCTTCTCAACAATTAAAGCCGATCCCTGAATTTAGCAACCTGGTTTAGCTGCTGTTGATATGCCAACATCTATCTGGTATTGTGCACGGAACAATCATTTTAAACAGAAGAATAATCTAATCTTCCTACACTTTGAAAATAATAAGTTACTGAAAAAACGTTTGGCTGTTTCAACGTGTTATTCACAAGGGTATTCACGAGCTAATAGCTATTTTAATAACAAAGAATTTGTGTTCACTTAAGTTTGGGCTATGTGAGGACAGCCCCTCTGGAAAAAGAACAGCATTTCCAACCGCGGGAATTTCAAGATGGCGACTCACTTGTCTGCTGTGGTTTCGTGCTTAGACGTCGAAGAACGAAACCCATTTTGAGTAAAAATTGACGTCATGATTGTTGCAAGTTTCTTTTAAAAGTTGGACTTTTCCACACCAATTATTTTGGTTTCGTTAGAAAATGAATTCTAGTGACAACAAGGAGTTCAGAAGTGAGTTTTATTTGTCGTAATGTCATTTTGGCATGTTTGGCGACCGAAAGCCAGAAAGCGTAAAGTGTTCAGGTGTTGAATGATGTAGGCCCTATGTAAGTTAAATCATGGAGCTAGAGGGCGCTAGTCAATAGCCATGATAATGTCATTTCACTCTAACTCTGTATAACCAAAAGGGGAATATTACGACCTGACATCCCAGGAATGTTATGTTTTGGATTGTTTACTTACCCTATAGCCTTGAAAGGTAGACCCGTGGCCGTGAACGTTGCGTTGTAATACAACGCCACGCGCCTCCCTCGGGTAAATACAAGCGAAATCATTCTTTTGATCCGCTACATAGGCCTATAACCATGTATAATTTTTCCATAGGTGAATCACTTGTTACGCTTCCTGTGAATTTACGCGAGTATTGGATCTGTCATTGCCAAGAAATTTGATGTAACGTACGGCACAAGTTTGTCACAACGAACGTTTTCAAAATGATCAGAAAATCAAAGACAGGCGACACTCTGGTACCCCGAGTTCCGCATGCGTAAAATGGTAGAAGTCCCACCAGTGGGTATCCGACTAACTGCTTACATGGCAGGATGACCGTAACACCATGTTAAAATTCTGCTAAATCACCTGTTCCATTGTGCAAGGGTATGTTTCAGGGATCTTTAAAAAAATGAAGGTTTTTCAAACCAAATGTGCCATATTTTCTATAATCTTTTTTCATTTTCCTTGATCTACATAATTCTGCCGATAAAAAAATGTTCTGCTAGATTTTCTGTACAACTCATCTTTGTATGCAAATATTCTGTCAAATGTAGCCGAAATTTGGCTAGAATGGTCACTCGATCACAGTCACTGCGGATAACAATAGAGTGTTTTTACTATAGATTGAAGTGTGGCTATGTATATATAGCCACGTTCACGGGTCTAGTTGAAAGGTAGCCCCATAAATGTAGACTTCCTCCGTAAATAAAGGCCACACATAGAACACGTACCCGAACATGGATAGCATGGATAGCCTATGTAGAACTTTGTCAAATTTTGATTTTCACGTTAAGGCTTTGTTTGTAATTTATTTTTGCTTTAGAAGTATACTCACCCTCGTAGGATATTAAAAAGTGCTGCCTTTTTGTATGTCTATTTTGCGTGTAATTTCCTGTTGAAATTTTGATACACAATTAATTGTGTTCAAACGAATCTTGAAATTACACAAAAAAATGGACATCTGAAAAAGGCAGCACTTTTTTAGCAAAAATAAACTACAAACAAATCCTTAATGTGAAAATCAAAATTTGACAAATTCTACATAGGCTATCCATGTTCGGGTACGTGTTCCATGTGTGGCCTTTATTTACGGAGGTAGTCTACATTTATGGGGCTACCTTTCAACTATTGTCAAAATTTGACAAAGTTCTACATGTTCGGGTACATGTTCCAAGTGTGGCCTTTATTTACGGAGGTAATCCAGTAAATTGGCCACATTTATGGGGCTAGTTGAAAGGAAGCTAATTTTTGGGGAGGAAATGTGGGAAAAATGTTGCAATGCAATTGTGCAACCTGACGCCACTTCCGCGATTGTGTACAAAGTCTATGGAGAGTGAAGTATTTCCTAACAAAATTGGAAATGTTCTCAGTCCCAGATTCATGTCTTAATAATCATTTTTGCAATGAACACCTTCATTGAGATGATGGAAATATGAAGAAAAAAGTGGCTTCGGGTTGCAACGTTTTTTCCAAAATTACTGCTCACCAATTTAGTAGGTACGCAAACAAATGGGACATTGTATTGGTAGGAATTTGCCGCAACATTTTGATTTAGTTCCTTGCAACAAGATCAACCTAAAGCCGGACTCGGGTCAGGAAGGTAATGCTCAGGTAACAAAACTGAGAAATTGTGAAATTCTCATGGAATAAGCGGCATCTCGACACAAAATAATTGCAACCATAATCATGTCACCCACGATGCGACGATGATTCCATGGCATAGACAGTCGCCTGACTTCTTCAACAATAGCGGTTAAAAAGCATTGGTAGGGTAAAATAAATAAAAAATGTGTTGAGCATCCCCGCCCGCGTCCTGTTTGGAGGCCCTCTCCCTTTTTATTCCTTTTTTTTTTTTTTTTAAATGAAAAATTATAAATTTTCAACAGTGACGTCATTTTGGCCTCTTATCTGTCCATCTTGCACATATAAAGCTGGTATGTTATTTCCCGAGTCCAATGGCGGCCATTTATAAAAAAATATGGTGGCCATCTTGAAAAATAGCCCGGTCGGACGGCCATTTTGGAGGGGGGGGGGGGAAAGGGCCTCCCGCTTCCTTTTTTTCAAAAAGGCTGGATGCTAAACATATTTTTGTTTTATTTGGCCTAACAATCAAACAACCTTCCACAACCACATCTATGCAATCAGCTGTTTTGTCGCATGCTGATTTGCTACACAATGAAGTAAGATGATCTTGATGCACACAGGACTTCACACAGGTCGACTGCCATGACTGTGATTGATTCCCCCCTGTCGGGAACACGTTGCATAAGTTGACATTTTTCTACTCTTGTGACTCTTGATTTTTTTTTAGCACTGACAGATGCCGATCGTCTTAATATCATCGCAGTTACACACGGGTTACAAAAATTTGGCGACTAATTTGTTCCCAACAGTCGTAGCTCAGGCGCAGCTTGATCCTGTACAGTCCATTGTTGACTGTTCTGTATCGTCCTGAAAGCAGCTTTAAAGCAACAAAAATAATAACTAGTATCAAATTGGTCATAGGATCAAGCCGTGCCTGAGCTACGACCGTCGGGAACAAATTAGTCGCCCAATTACTGTATGTTTAGAAAGCCCCTCCAGGCGTTTTCATACAGTTAAATTTCTGAAGGTTCTGGAGGTTCATAAGGGGATTTCTTGCTCTTTTGACAGGACTCCAGAAGGCCAAACTAAAGGCCCAAGCTAGTGGGAAACTGAAAGAGGAGGCAGAACTCTGCAATGTCTTGGGAGAACTTCTGTCCCGATATGGTAGGTTGTATTGTGTAAGCCCTAGTTATAGCAATATAGTCAGAATGAAGTGTGAAGCCTACTTATAATCCCTCGTACCCATCAGCTTGACATGTTCACTTGTTCATGTCGCCACCTCACCCAGTTTGAGGCGAGGCAAGGCAAAGTCTCATATCTTCTATCAGACACTATTTTTGACTATGAAGGTGTTTTATGAATTTCTTAAATTATGAATTATTCATTAGGTGAATACGAGGAAGCCATCAAAGAGCACCAACAGGAACTGCGGCTCTCGGATTCCCTGCAGGATGTCATCGGCGCGGCCGTCGCCAACCGCAAAATCGGTGAATGCTACAGCCAGCTCGGCCACTTCAAGAAAGCCCTCCGCCATCAAGGGCGCCACCTAGAGTTGGCTCGCGCCGTGGAGAGCCATGTGGAGGAACAGCGAGCGCGGGCGACTATCGGACGGACATTCCTGTTCCAGGGGGAGAGCATGAGACAGGATAATCCCGATGAGGCCGTCCACGCATTGCAGAAAGCCCGAGATTCATTCCTCAAGTATGGGCCTTAGCAGAAAGGCTTTGTATAGAATGTAGAATGATACAAGAAATCTGTATGTAAATGATATGTTTTGTAGGTCCCAGAGGGCCAACCTAGTGTCCTCTTTGGACCTGACTGTCCGAAAGACTGACTGACTGACTGACTCCCCGACTCCCCCAAGTTCTTTCTCCCCGACTGAGTGACTGACAGACTATCACTTTTGACTTAGTTGTTGGCGAGTGAAGAGTCGTGCCTTGTGATTTTTTTTAGGATTATCCTGCAATGGTCTAAATCCGACCCATTGTGTGCACCAGATGCATGAAAAGACTTCCAGTGAATAGCCTTTTTGAATGGATAGAAGTTTTGTGTGGCCCAGGACCAGCTTTGTCTAGTCTTGTTTTGAATCTCATGGTGTCCACAACAATACCCATAACCAATAACCAATAGGCTCATAACCAAAATGCAAAAACATGAACCTATTACCCCAGTCTTACAACAATTACATTGGTTACCAGTGAAGTCCAGAATCATTTTCAAACTTTTAGTTCTCACATATTAAATCATAAATGGACTGGCCCCAGATTATCTCCATGAATTAATAACTGAATACCGCCCCTCATGAAATCTTCACTCCAGCTCTCAACATCATCTAACTCCACGTACAATTCATACCAAATCTTATGGCCAACGGACATTCCATTATGCAGCACCAGAAGAATGGAATAAATTACCTTACCAAATAAAGATCAGCCCATCCTTGGAAAATTTCAAATCACAACTTAAGACACACTTGTTTAATGCTTTCAGAAGCGCATAGAGACCTTTTTTGTGTATATTGCGCAATATAAGAATTGTTTATTATTATTATTACCCTTTATTGTTTTGATTCATTGTTCATTTCTGAAAAAAATATGGTAATGAAATAAGAATCTCACTCCAAAACAAACCACACCTATTCCCCTTGCCTGGATTTTGTGGTGTTGCTATAAAGAAAGCTTTCACAGAAAAGTTTCCAAACTCCAAGCAAGAAAACGTGTTGGCATGTAATTAAAGTTTTTTGAAATATAAAAGTAGTAGTAAATAAAGTCTGTCATCGGACAATATGGCCTATCGGGCCACATTTGTCTTTAATTTGCTTGGCATTAAACAACTGAGAATATTTCTTTTGCCCCCTGGATGGGATGCCAGTCTAGCGCAAGTTACTCCCCAGCTAATGCTGGTACCTATTGGTACTCTTGGGCAGAGAGAGGCAAGTGAAGGTAAAATGGCTTGCCCAAGGACACAACATATGACCAGCAGCTGGATTTGAACCCCTGACCTCTGATCGTGAGTTATGACCCCTATCCACTTGGCCACAATCCCCCTACTAAAATGTGAAATTTCCTGTCTCATTTCTTGAAGGAGTCTGGAAGTGTGCGGTCTCTTGAAGGGCATGGTCTCGGACAAAGAGCTGATGGAGATGAAGGCCAGGCTATATCTGAATATTGGTCTGGTCTATGACTATCAGGGGGACAATGCAAACTCAGCCAAGTTCATCAAACAGGCGATCTTCATTGCCGAGTAAGTCGAGGAACAGAAGACACAAATTGTAGGATATCAACAACAAAAAAACTGTTGCATGGGTGCAATGGAGTGTCATGGCCTAGCGGTTAAGAGCACCGGACTCATGCTCTGGTGTTTCAGAGGCAACAGTAGCGTGGGTTCGAGCCCGGGCCGGACACTTGTGCCCTTAAGCAAGGCACTCAACCATTATTGCTTCATCCTTCGGATGGGACGTAAAGCCGGAGGTCCCATGTGTTGTGTAATGCAATGCACGTAAAAGAACCCAGTAACACTTATTGCTGTAAAGAGAAGGGGTTTACCCCAGTGTTTCTGGCCTCCTAGTTAAACTCCCTTGTGGAAGTCCTATAGGAGAGGAGCCAACCAAGTACCAAATTAACCCTTTTTGTATTTGGGCAGTTTCAGCGTTATTTAATGTCTGTAACAGAGCTTTTAAGAGCTCAGTGAATAAACCTGAAAATGTATTTTTCAAATCCTACACATCCATCATCTAGAAGTGGTCAAGGAGATTACAGACTAGGAGTTTTGGATCATTTCTCTGCATCGTTAATAAGGTATCGTGGCTGACTGGCTCTGTTATTGACATACACTGCCTCTCACAGTGCTGGAATTGCCCATTTATTACCTGGATACTTTCCCAGCACAGTCAATTCTTTTTTAGTTTTTATTGGTTTATTTTCATTCAACTCGTGGCCCTCGGGCCAAATTGTAAGAATGTTACAATATAAAAACATTACAAAACAATATAGTCCAAATATGAACAAGAAAAATAGGCAAAAGTAATGGTCCAGCCAAAATAACAAAACATAAATTTAAAAAATATGCACACACTGGAATTAACTTAGATTAATTGATATCAAAGTGATAAAATTGACCTTAAAAAATGGCACAGCCATCAGGAATAAGGTATTGCACTAAGTACACAATAGGCCCATACAGATGTGACACCGGGAATCGGCGTCAAAAATAGGGAGACTTGGAATACGGCCAGTTGACTTTGACGTTAATTCTTTATTCTGTGAGAGAGTAAAACAGGGTGATGTTACTCGGTCGAATCAGTGTTTGAATGTGGCGTGGCGGGAAGGTTGCCTGATCTAGTTGAACTATTTTACGGTAGGTGGCGGAGTGATATTTGTTATGTAATCATGTTTAAAGGAACTAATACAGATTAAAGGAACTATTACATATTAAAGGAACTACTACATATTAAAGGAACTAATGAAAATTAAGGGGGGTATATTCTAACCCGTCACACAGACATAGCATGATATTTCATGAAGCGCACAGCAGACCCAGACATACATGTATTTTGAAAGTCAAGAAGTTAATAAGTCAATGTAGTGTGGAATCGGGCTCTTTCTGAATCGATTGGTCTTACAGGGTAGCAATGAGATGGAGTGAGAATAACGCAAATTTCTACCATGTGTGTTTTTCCTGGAAGGGGGATGAGGTTTTCTGTTTGCTTGCAATTGGCCAAAGTCTGAGCAAATTTGTGGCAATGGGCTTGCCTACAATCAGAAAGAGTTTCGATTCCACACTCATTAACTGCATCTTTATATGAAACATAATTTTAGCCTAACATGATTTTGCATGCTCTCTTGTGCACTTTCTCTAAAGTATGGACTTGAGCTTTAGTGAGCGAGGAATTCCACACAACATCCCCGTACTCCAACAAGGGTCTGACATATCCCTTATAAACCACTGACAGCTCATCTTTGTTGAAACCAAATTTCTTCAGTGTGCGCAACATATGTAAACAAGTTTTTAGGGTTTTTTAACGGATATCACTAACTTGCTCATCCCATTTCAAGTTATTCTGAATCTTGATGCCTAACATTTTTTAGGAAGTCACAAATGTGAGTGGATTATTGTCAATAGTTAAAGCCGGTTGAGAGGGGTCTCTCTTGAAACAGACTTGAAGGGCTTGACATTTTGAAGGATTCAACATTACATTATTGTCTTTTGTCAAATCAACAAAAGACAATAATTCACATCCAGTTAACAGAATTTTCTCCCACAGCTTGACCTCAGTGTTGCATTTTTCTTGTAGGAAAACCTACATTTTCTTCAAGTAATTTTTCCAGCAGAATTTAAATTTTGTTGGTAAACTGTGACACAATTTCCTGCAAAAGTTTGTAAATATATCAACAGATTTTTTTTTTTTTAGAGTGTCCTATTTGTGCATGTCTGTTGCTCACTGACTGTCACTTGTTGCTAACACTGGTCTTAGAGAAGCTTCACAAGGCTTACCCAGTATGTGATTAACAGCTACACCACATGTGCGTTAGTCTGGTGCCGCTTGTTTCATGTGCTGTCATGATGAATGTTGCAGGCAATAAGTCAAGTCTCCATGTGAAAGACACAAGTGAATTTTCCATTACCAATCACGTTACCACAGATTGAGTAGAATTCCATCTTGTCAAAGACCAGCTTTACTATACCAGATGCACCACAGTGCATCAGGTGTAAAGAACTGTGGGACCTTGCTACACTGAGCCAAACACCAGTGCATAAATTTCTAATTCCAAAAATGAGAGCTCGTCCCATTAACCCTCCTATGCAAACATACATTCTGTGCCAAGTTGTCCTTTCAGTCAAAATCAATCCAGTGACTGTTTTCAACAGTTAAGAATTCCCAGCCCACATAAAGCAGGATTGACTGGCCATGAATGCCCATGTAACTTGGTACAGCTTTGCTTTGACTGTGGGCAATTGATAAGCCAGTGTGTCCACAACTTGCCTGCTTTGTCTGTTCATGGTCTTTTGGCTAAGTTTGACTAGTCACAGCTTGCTTGACATAATGATCTGGCTGTTGGTGACTAGCCTGTGTTCAAAGTATAGCAGGGGGAGTGGATGGAACTTTTGACTGTTAAATAGCAGGAGGGTTAAACAATGTCACAGTTGAATCCTGCTGCATTTGGTGACGAAGGAGTCTGAGTCAGTTTGGCCTGGTATTTTTGTTACGTGATAGATCTTGCTACATCGAGCAGGCTTGTCATTTTGACAAGTGTTGTACGATGCTACGTTTAACAGGGTTTCTAGCCAAAATACCCAAGGGGGGTAGTGTTAAAAGGAAACTAGTCCACAAACCATTCATTAGGCAACTGACAAATGTGCAAAATGGCCAGCATCCATAATTACAGCCACTTCTGTTTCTATCTGGCTCTGTTTGCGTAGGAAGCACCAACTTCTAGAAGACCTGTACAGGAGTCATTGTTCCCAGGGAGATATCTACCTAAGGACGGGGGAAGGTACCAAGGCTTTGCGGTCCTTTGAGAACGCCATGAAGGTTGCCAAGCGACTGAAGGATAAGAGTCTGGAGAGCGATGCATTGTCCTCCTCGGCAAATGTAAGTGGCTCCCGCGCTCAGTTGCAAATGCTGGAAATGTTTTGCTGTAAATTATTTAGGGACTAAGTTATATTATACAGTAAACTCCAGCTAAACCAGCACTCTCAGGACCCGAGAATTTGTGACGACTTACGCGAATGCCAATATCTGCTGTAAGTCGTCATTTTGCTGACTTACATGAATGTCTTTTGCACACATGATTCATTGCACTAATTAGCTTCGATTTACCCTGGTTTATCTCCTTAATGCTTGAGCAAAATTAATCCTCGAATTGTATCATCACGCTTGGAGTATTGATAGTGGAGACCACGATATATATACGTGCACAGTAACGAATTAAATGCGTGCGTGGTCCGGTATATACCACGCACGCATTGACTGCAGTAGTAGTCATTCAATAGGACAACCCCCAAAATGGACAGAGTGCATGTGTACAGCCTAGAGGGGTTACTGGTATTGATATGCTCATGATGCATATGCGATGTTTGCAGTAGGACACCTTTTTTCGACAACGATGCACGCAGCGATCACGGGCCGTGCGAAACCACTTTTCACTCGACACTTTGCCAACTGCAGTAGGAAGTCAATGCCAATGCGTGATTTGTTGAATGCCGACTTACACAAAGGATTTTGTAATGGTTTTTATGGAAAGGGAACCGAGAGTAACAGGACGACTTGAGCAAAATGGCGACTTATAAAAGCTTAGAAATAAAAAATTCAGTGGAAATGCATTACGGACAATCGGGACTTTAGTCAGACGGCCGACTTGCGCAATTTGGCAAGTTGTACGATGTCGGTTTAGCGGGAGTTTACTGTAAATATTTACCCAAAAATTAATATCTGGAGTCTGCGCTTTAAACTTGCAGCGGATTCTTCTGGACTCCTGGTTGTACATCAAACTTCTCTTGGTTTGGTCGATATGGTAATAGAACGACAAAATTGCCTTAGCCACTGGGGCAGAACTCGGAACAAAAAAGGACTTAACTGACTTTTTATTTCTTCGGCCAGGGCTGCACAGGAATTTCACTACAATTATACCATTTGGGAGACACTTTAGCATCATAAGTTATACCTTTGGGAGACATGTGAAATTTGGGAGACATTTCAATGTCTCCCGAATGCCTCAGCTCCTATTTAGAGACAAAATTTCAGTGTCGCAAATAGGCTAGATCGATTGCACATGGTCCAATTAGTAAAAATACTCAAATTCCCGGGGGTAGGATAAGGTACAATTGGGGTTAGGGGTCAGCAAAGTCAGAATAAATGTTTTGCGCAAGTCTATGGGAATATCGCTCTAATGGTCCATTTTCAGTTATATTATAGCACTTTTAGCTAAGATCAAAGTGCTTTATATTATTATTACCCCTGATCATTGGGCCAATGAAACATTCCAAATACCATCTCAGCTCCCTGGGGAGTACACAGCTCGAAGCTGCAATTTTGCTAAATTCAACCACAATAACCATCTCTGCCCTCACAGGTACCCATTTACTCCTAGGTGGAGAGAAGCAATGAGTGACAAAGTGCCTTTACCCAAGAGCACAAGCACCATAACCCCAGGCTGGACTTGAACCCACAACCTGCAGAATTACCCGCAGACCACAAGTTCAATGCTCCAGACCACGACGCCACAGCACTCAATACGATACCATAGTTGAACAAATGCATTTTTTTCCCTCAGGTGTTCATTCAGTTGGGAGATTTCCACGCTGCCAAGAGGGCTCTCAAGAAAGCCTACAAACTGGGCTCCCAGAAACCGGAGGATAAAGAACTGGTCATCAGAACCCTCAAAGCAGGTCAGCACAAGTCCAGTCACAAGTAAATCACAGGTCCATTCACAAGTCCAGTCCCAAGAAACAGTGGATGAACACTGACAAAGGAATGCAAAGCTCACTTGAATATTATTCATAAGAAGGAATTTGCATCGGGGTGATGTAAATTCAATGTTGGGTTTTGCCCTTCACCGACACTGTATACTCAGTTTTGTCCCGAGTGATTGTGAGAAAAATTCCCAAACTACTCAGGTGGGACTCGAACCCACGACATCCTGCTTACTACTGAAGATGTCTTACCACTCGAGCTTGCCGGGGTCAGCTGGCTGGATTGAATCTGATAAGCAGCGGGTACTGCAACCAAACTACTCACTTGAATTAGCTTGTGAGTTGAATTGGGACTGGAGGACTTCACCATTTCACCTGGAGGTTTTAAAAGATTTTTGGAGGATTGAAGAATTTAGAGCCTAGCCAACATTACTTATAATAATACAAGGTGCTTTGTTGCAGCTCAAAAACACAAAGAATTTGCAGTTGGTTTACTGCAGAGTGGTGGATTTTGGAGGACATAGGAAGGTTCCCAATACAAATGCAGAGGGATTAAAGGTTAGGATAATACGCCCCAGAGTGAGAAATGGTCATATTTTTTTTTCAGCTGAAGGCCTGCAGCAACACTTGAGCAGCACACTATACAGTTTAATTTTGTGCGCGTAGCACGTATGATGCCCGTATGTTTACGGAGTTGGAGCTGATGACTGCTCAAAAAAGGCTTGGCGTCCAGCGGCCATCAGCATTGGATGTTCCTCATCGCACAACTGACTATAAACCGGCCTTTAGGGTTAAGTTGGGTCTTGTTATTTAAGTGTTTATCACAACTCAACATGCTGTGCTTGCTGAGAAAAGTTGAACTGTTGATTAGAAATAGTAAAAACAATCAAAATTTTACACTGACTGTGTTTTGTTTTCAGCGATCCGTGGTTGTCGTCTGCAAGAAGAACTTGAGGAAGTGGGAGACGTAGCCTACAGGGAGAGACTTCCGTTGTACGAGTCGCTCGGTGACCTCTGCTCAAAGGTCAGTGCCTTTGCCAGGGCTGCCGTCTACTACCAGAAACAGGTAGGTGTGGCATAATTGGTTTTTTTTGTTATGAAACCATCATCTTTTATGTTACAATTACCATTAGGGTGATGTAGGTATTGGCATTTTATGGTGGCAATAGGGAGAGTTTGGCCTATAGTGGTTGGAGTTCGTGACTCATGATCAGAGGGTCAGGGGTTCATATCCAGCTGCTGGCCATGTGTTGTGTCCTTGGGTAAGCCACGCCACCCCCCACTTGCCTCTCTCCACTTGCCTCTCTCCACCCAGGAGTATTATTGGGTATCGGCATTCACTGAGGAGTAACTTCCAATGGACTTGCATGTGATCCAGGGGGAATAGAAATATTCTCGGTTATTTCATGCCAAGGGAACTAGAGAAAATTGCCTATTGGCTTGTGACAGACTCCAGTTACGTTTAGGTAGTTGTATTTTGTGGTGGTAATATGTAAAATGACTTGTTTGTAGCATGGCTCATGAAAAATAGGATATGGAGAACAATTTCTTGTGTGAAAATTATTTTGTTTTATTGGATCAAGCTCTTTCTTTGCATTTATAAACATCTTTGCAGCTGTCTTGCGCCCTGGCCCTGAAGTGCAGCACCAAAGAACTGGCACCCATCTATGTGTCACTGGCGACCACTTACGCGGATGACGGTCGGCATGGCAAGGCCATTGAGATGTACCGCAAGGAGTTGGAGCTGAGAAAAGGTCACCCAAAGGAGGTATAAAAAATGTTTGTAACCTGGGAAAATCAGCCAGCTGGTCAAGTGGTCAGATGTCTGCACTTGAACGCAGGGAGTTGAGGGTTCGAGTCTAAAACTTTGAACTATTTTTTCTCACAAGATCCAGGAAGATATTGGGCAGACAGTGTACACATAACTCTACATGGGTGAATTGTGAAACTGAATATTTTGAAGTTGCAATTCCCTGACTTAGATGTGCACTCGGACATGTTTTACGTACACTGTGAGGACATTCCTTTGTTCTCGTTCAGTTAAGATGAAACATGTTCAAATGTTGCCAGTTGCCTGAACACTCTTTGAAACTGTATTTTTGACTGTGATTTCCTTGCATGTTCTACTTAAGTTTGTGACATAATCCTAACCCCAAAATGCCTGTAAGATTGTTTTTCAGAAATAAGAAAATGTTTATGTGAAGCTGTGCAAGTCCACATAACGTCTTAAGACCCTGCCTCATGTGGACATGCACTCAACCAAAAAAGAAAGTGCCCCCCCCCTTCCAATACTTTTTTGTCTACCTCAAAAACTACTGAGCACCTCTCGTTCAAATAATGACTAATCAGTACAGAAATTACTTAGCAATCCAGCCATACTCTTTATTTGGCCCAAAACAGTGATAATGTGTATGAATTTATACAATTTATGACAAATGATACGGAGTACAGTTGCACTTTTGTATACGTGCAAGTTGTGGTCCACACTCACCTTGCACATACAAAAGTGCAACTTGTTTCGGTACCATTTGTCATAAATTGCTTAATTTTGTACACATTATCACTGTTTTGGGTCAAACAAAGAGAATGGCTAGATTGCTAGGGAATTTCTGAACTGATCAGTTGCAATTTGAGCAAGATGTACCCAGTAGTATTTGAGTTAGACAAACAAGTATTAAGGGGGGACTTTCTTTTTTGGTTGAGTGTATTTTTTTTACAGGTCCTAATAGCGAATGCAATGCCTGTACATGCTGTCAAAAATTGGTTGTGCCCACTCGACAGTGATGTGTCTTCTCACTGGCCCTGCATCACTTTCTACAGTTCTTGCACAACGTCCATTGACCTTGGATTTTTTAATGGTGAAGTTAAGATGTTGATATTAACATAGACGTCGTTTTGTCTCATCTCTTCAGGAGGGCAAGACGTGGCTAAACATCGCTGATTATCAAGAGAGATCCAAGGAGCCGTTTGAGACCATCAATCAATCCTACAAGACAGCCCTGGAGTTTGCCAAGAAGGCTCAACATCCCAAGCTACAAGTAACAACCTCAGATTGGTTCTGCTTTGTGTAACCTCCCCCCCCCCCTCCTCCTCCTCTCACCCCCCCCCCCTCCTCCTCCTCTCACCCCCCCCCCCCCCCCCCCCCCTATCTAGTTTGTCCTTAACTTCACACTTCTCATGTTATTCCAGATATATTTAATTGTTTTCACTGACTTGGGAGCTCAACCAATTAGACTAGATGAATCGAAAAATAGTCACTGCTCATGGCAACCAGTAAAATTTCAGAAGTTCTGAAGGCCTTTCCTGTCCTCATTCCAATAAGGGAAGTCCGGTGTTCCAACTGCATCAAGATTTGACGATTTTCCTTTCGGGATAAACAATTTGCCACGTGCGTGCAAAATCATAGTGAGTACCAGCACTTTTTTGAAGTAAGCACAAAATTTCAAAAAGTTTGACAGCAAACTATGTTTAGGTGTTTTGCATGCCCCATCTTTTATGCAAACGAATGGGGCCTAAATTGATCTCTCTATTTTCAAAGACAGCAAGAGATTTTGACGCAGCCATACTACCTCGGAGGTAGTAAAGTTTGATCATTTTTTTTACATTACGAAGACCCTCAGTTTCACTGCCCAGGCCATTTAACAAAATTTGCAAGCCTGCATAACTTTCACCTGAAAAACTGAAGGAAAAAAAAACACCTTCCAATTTTCAGCTTTTGGCGCTGAAATCCATGGGCCTCCTCCAGCAAAAGCACAAGCAGGAGCTTCTGTACGGGAGCACGGTGGAGAAGATCCACCATCTCAAGGAGCAGCATGACATCGCATCGGAGGATGAGGATGAGATAAGTGACGAGGAAGGAGATGGAGAGGAGGAGGGGGAGGGGCTTAGTGAATCCTGGGAGGTGGATGAGTTAGAACTCTCCGAGTCAGGTAGTTGCAACAATTTTATAACATTTTGATCAATAGTTTGAAAGATTTTTGGAATTTGATCAAAGAAATTGATGGGAGTGGGATTTGAAACTGCAAGATTAGCGTACCGGTGCTCTACCAACTGAGCTTTAGGAAACCGCTAACATAGAGCCAGATGGCTTGTTTGTAGAGCACCGCAACGGTAATCCGGAGGTCGCAGGTTCAAAACCTGCTCCAGTCAGTCAGTTTCTTTGTTCAACTTTATAATTATTACGCATGCACCTAGTCAGTTTCCCTTTGGAAGCAGTGTGATTGATGGATTTTGGCGGACTTGGTCCAATACTTAGTAAAAGACAGTAGGCAGTTAGGGTTAATCACAAATCAAGCCACAAGAAATTGGAAATGAGAGTGCCTTTGAGTAAGCTCTTTTTGATAAATTGTGATGTGACTAATAACTGGATGACTTGTGGTTGACTTCCAATAACTTGTGAGGACTGACTGCAAGTTTGCCAGCCTGCCTTGTTGTTACGACATTACACCACATCTTTTTGTGCACACTCAGCATGCTGTATCATGCATCATATTAATCGCACATTTGTGAGGCCTTCAGGCAAAATGAGACAGAACTAAGCAGAGGTTGGAATGAGGGTCTGCAGGTATAAGGAAAGTGAATAAAATTCTCCTTACAGTACTGTTTTGTTGCACTTCAATCGGACATTACGTTGACAAGTTATGGCTGTTTAAATTTTTCATTTAATAACATGTCAAAAAAGCAAAATACTGGGAAAAGGCCTTTAAAGTTTATAGTTTAGTAGTCGTGAAAATCAAAGATACCAATTGTTTTTCCTGAAAGGCACTTCTTCTCCACAATTTTTATACTCCTTTTTTTTAAAAGTGTATTAGACATATCAAAGATTACAAATATCAAATCTAAAAATCAAAGAAAAAAAAATTCACACCATTCATTTTTTTGCTTTTTCTCCACTACGGCCTGTGGTCAGTTCCATGTCATATTGCCAGAATGCTTCACTTTTGTGAAAACTAGAATTGAAATCTCTTCACTATTTCATGTTATGAATTTAAATCTCTACACTGTCTCATGGTATCGTCCTTTTCCATGCACAGATGAGTCAGAGGTTGAGGAGGAATATGACAGATCTTCAGCTGCCCAAAGAGCCAGAAAAACCAAGGTAAAACTGAATGGATTCCCATTGTAAAGTCTCCGGTCAGATGGACATTTGGAACGTTTCAAATACTATAAAAATCCCCTTTTTTTTCACAATGTAAAGCACAGGTTAGATGTTCGAAAGGTCCCCAATTCACATAATTTTCAGTAAAACTTGCATTTTAAAGGAATCGTTTTGATATTTTGTGTTATGTGCGTGTCGTCTTTGTAGTTTGCTAAAAGGAATGAGAAGGGAGAGACATTGCTGCACAGAGCCTGCATCGACGGAAACGTCAGACAAGTCAAGAAATTACTGCAACAGGTGATTACCTACTTGCCGTTATCATTTGCAATAGTCATCGGCCCTTCATTGTTAAAGGCATAAAGGATCATTTGCATTATCCCAAGAGTAACCTAGTGAATCATCATCAAAAGGCTTAGTTGGATTCAAGATCGTACTGTACTAAACACCCTGTGAAATTGTTCCACCTGGCTGGCTGTCATTTAGAAGAAATCAAGAAATGCAGGTGATTTCCATCGATCAGTCAATTGATGAATCGTTGGAACTAAAGATTTCTATTGACAAAAATCGTGTTTCGTGATCAAAAGGTTGGCATATTTTTTCACTGTCAATTTAAAGGCATATAGGATCATTTACATTTGTCATAATGTCATGAAATGGACTGATTTAAGGGTTAGTAAGTTATAGCAGACATCGTTCCACTGAGCTGTTAGATGTTTTGTGTCCAATTATTGTTGAAAAAACACAAGAAGAAAAAGCTATTTAGTTTCAACCGTCAAACTGCAGCTCGCAAAACCTGTCTTGCATAGAACCCATAGGTCACAGGGGGAGTGCCTGAGAGCTGGCGCTGTCGTGGGAAAGTAATACGTACATCAGAGATGCCACTTTTCAGGTTTTAACCTGAATTCAGGGGGATTTTTTCTTCAAAAAATGTGACAAATTAAAAGTGCTGGTTTTGGTCTGAAACATCCAGAAAGCACACTTTAGAAAGGGGGTAAGGGTAGTTTCAGGTTTTGTAGTAGTGTTCCAGGCTTTTTATTGATATATTGGTGGCATCTCTGATACATAAACCTAGCTTACCCGAGCATACGCATGAAATCAACAGCTGGCTTGCGACCATTTAACGGATGTAGTATTTGAGAAAGCCGTTTGTTCTCAGCAATGGTTAGGTCCTAACCATCGTTAGTCCTGATACAAATTCCTCTTTTCTTGAGAATGATGACAGCATACCAGGCTCAACGATTTCACAGGATGTTTCCTACTATTATTTTACTTACAATCAAGTGGGCTATTTCATAATATTTTGGCAGTTTCGTTTTTTAGTGTTTGCAAATGATCCTAATAAGTTGAATCGAAGTTATTTTTTCTCCCTCGCTTTCAGGGTCACCCAGTCAACCCACGTGACTACTGCGGATGGATCCCGCTCCATGAGGCCTGTAACTTTGGCCACGTGGACATCGTGGAAGCGCTGATTGACCACGGTGCTGACATCAATGACCGGGGAGGGGACGGCTGCAGCGGGATCACGCCCCTCCACGACGCCATCAATGGGGGCAACTTTGAGGTGGCGGAGCTACTGGTGGCGAAGGGAGCCAACATTCATGCCAAAGATGACAAGGTTAGAATCTTGTGTTGGGCAGAAAATTGCTGGGACTGAAGTTAAACCTCCCTGTCTGGCTGACAAATTCAGCTAAGCCATCACAGCAGTCAAAATCAATCAAGTGGCTGTTTTTTTTAACAGTTAAGAATTCCTTTGTTAATTTGATATAGCCCTGCTTTGTAAAAAAAGGTAAAGGGGACGAACCTGTTTTCCCCATCTCTCTTTCAAAGCGATTGGGCCAGACTCATATGCTGCTGTGGGGGGATCGCCACACCTCCTCCACAGCGAGTCTGTTACCTTCCCAGCATTGAATAATGCCAGTACCCATTTAACACCTGGGTTGAGAGGAGTAATTGAGGTAAAGCGCCTTACTCAAGGGCACAACACGCATGTCCACGATGGGGCTCGAACCCACAACCCCACGATCATTAATCCTGTGCTCCATAGCTAGACCACACATGCCCACTTTTGCCATCTGTACCTACCAGTTTCTTCATTTGTCCGTTGATGGAATTTGACTAGTCACAGTGTTAACATGAATGTCGCCCGACTGTCTTATACTAGTTTGCATACCTATGCATGGCAGAGGAAGTGAAAGAAAGTTTTGACTGTCTCTGACTGATCAAACAAGGGTTTTTAATATGATTTTGAATGTCCCATTGGGTACTTGCAAAATTAATTGTTATTGAGGACACGGGAAAGTTCTCAGCAAAAATGCCCTGAGAATTTGTTAAGATATTTACTGGTTTACGCTCGGATCACTTTGTCTATTTAGGGATAGAGCCAGATATAATTTACATATTGTCTTCTGTCTAAGCGATTTTTGTAATGATGTTATGTAGGGTATGAATGCAGCCAACACTCTATCACAGTGGATGGAAACGTACGCCAGTGATCTTGATCAGGCTACCAGGCAAGACGCAGAGCGAATGGCCACGACGTTGCAGCAAGCCACGAGAAAAGGTAATGACAAATATTGTAGAAAAATCAAACAGTGATTAGTGTTTTATGAGAAGTACAGACTGAAAACTTGAATGGATAGACGGTTACCTGGATCCCAAACTTGAAGATTTCAACTGATGATTGTAATAATTTACATCGGATCAAAAAATTGTCGGTCACTATCCTTGTCAAACCGAGTCCTAATCTCTACTATTTTGACACTCATTGTCAGCAAATCAGATTATCTGCGTAGACTTTGTGACATTTTCCTACGCACTGAATATTCAGATCTGGAATTTTAGGATCAACTTTTAGCCAATAGGTGAACACTTTGCAAGATCGCACTTACCACTGTCACTTTTTTAGGTGGTGGGTCGGTTCTGGAGACAGTTTTTGTAAAGAGCGATCTGATTATATGAAAATTATGTCAGTCCATTTTGGGAATTGTTCATGAATAATTGATCTCACAAGGTCAAAAATAGGAAAGATATGGACTCAGTGTTTTAGAGTACAATCTTACAAAGTACGGCAGCTAGACTATCCTGGCTAGCTAGGATGGGAATAACTGAATGTCTTAGATTGTTCTAAAAATGCTCGTATGCTCTGTGTATTTAGGAAACCCCAAATCCTCGCAGCCAAGACCGAGACCAGCCTTGGATAACACCGACCTGTTTGATAGGGATGATGGACCCAGTCAGGTTGCTGCCTCACGTCCCCACCAACTAGCAGGAACCAGTGGCAGTTTCAACAGTTTCGAGACTGGTTCCGGAAGGAATACTGCATCTGCCAGAGACAGCCGGAGGTCTCTTGATGGGAGAGGTCCTACCCCCTCAAGAAGCAGACAAAGAACATCTCTGCTTAGGAGGAATGTAGGGAGGATCAGTAGATATGATGTGGAGGATGATGGAGATTGCTTTGAGACGCTTGCAGGCGCCGAGCGAGAAGAGGACTCTGATGAGGCTATGGAGATATCTCAGGATGCAATGCCTGTCATGACATCACACTCCCGGGCCCGAGGGATGCCAGGGCAGCATCAAACATCTACTAGGACAGGGGAGGCATCCGATATCAAAGTTGGCAGGGATGCCACTCATGTGACAAACTCAGGAAACGACACTGTAAGAAGTAAACATGGTGACCATGTATCAGATGAGGATTCTTATGATATTGAAGATGATGACGTCAACATCTGCCCTTTGCAAAACAATCGTAGTGCGCCAGAAGTAGATGTGGCAGATGCCCGGCACGCATACATGAGTGCGATGTCTAGCATCGGTAGTGCAGCAACAAGAATTTCTCATTGCCCAGCGGCAGCAAACTTGTCCAAATCGAAACCCGCCAACGACGGGCCAGCTTTGATACCAGAGGAGGAATACACCGGAGGCGATGATTGGCTGGTCCAGGACGTCACGACCCAACCCAGCAAGCGCAAACGTATGGACGTGGACTACATGTTCAGGAAAGCTGACGCCTCCCTCCCAGGTACATCCTCGCCAGGTCCTAGCACAAGTCAGTTGAGGGCCTCCCAGAAGCCCTCGTCGCTGAGTCGCAGGTCCAAGAGATCAAGGCAACTGAAGTTGACCAACATGGGAACTGCTGTGGTGTCCAGGCATTCCAGAGAGGAGAGACGGGTACCCTCACCTCTCCTAGAGGAGGAAGATAGTAGACCTGATTCAGAAATGGAATTCAGTCAAATGCAGGTTGGTGTTAATACTCCCTGAATTCAGTTTATGAATATGACTTAACTGATTAAGATCCTCATCTGTTCAAATCTCATGTGCCCTAGTTTCAAAAGGCTCTGGAAAGTCATTTTGATAGAAGTTTCCTACTAATTTTCTTTTAATTAAACAGTAAAACACTCCAAACTATAAGAATTTACTTGAAAAGGCTGTAAGATGTGTACTTGTAAATGAAGTATGTGTGCAAGCTAAATTTCTCTTGTGAGGAGAAAAAAAAAATCAAGTTAAAGCCAACATACTTGAAATCGCCATTATCTCGACGCTAGGATCTGGACGAGGCAAGATCAACTTCCAGACACCCAGAACCTTCCCAGGACCCCACTCCAAGAGGAGACAACTGTCCGACGATAGACCAGCATCCTCCCACAGCAGGAGCAGTCATGAGGGTCCGAGTCAAGATACAGGATAAGACGTTCCTGATTCCGGTCAGGTAAGAGATACATTCTCTACCTTTACCCTATCCTTCCCAAATCCTCCAAAATCCTCTTTGCATAAGTGGAGGATTTTGAAGGATTGAGGCGATGTATGGCAATTATGTGTTGGTTGATTTTGGGGGATGCATCGCGTGAAGTCTGTATTGTTTAAGCTTAGACATGCATTCATTTAGGCTTAGATTATACTTGAAATCATCGGCACTGCCTCAACGTATTAATGACGACTGTTGGAGGATTTTGAAGGATTGAGGCAGTGGTCACGTCTCCAATGAACAAACTCAAGAAATAACAGATGATTTTTGAGGATTGAGGCTGTATCCATTTTTGACAGTGACAATTGGAGGATTTTGAAGGATTGAAAACTAACTGTTCTCAGCGAACATCAGGTCCAAACCATTCTTAGTAATGATTCAAAATTACTCTTTTCTTGGGAAAGACAGCAAACCAGGCCCAACAATTTCACAGGATGTTTCATACTATTATGTTACTTACTATCAAGTGGGTCATTTCATAATATATTGGCAGTTTTGTTTTTGAGTGTCTGCAAATGATCCTATATGCCTTTAAAGTTTAAACAGTGCTGACAGGTGTTAAAGCGGTGGTTGAAGACCACCCACGTGACAGGCTCTCAACCAATTAGAATGGGTAAACTGTCTCATATTTATAAATTTTGGTTGAAGGAAAAATACCAAGAGAGAAAGAGTTACATTGCCTTGATGTAATAATAGTATAGTAAGGCAGATTGGTGCACAATATGATGGTGTTGTTCATTTAATGATAAAAGCATGGAATTTGGCACACAGTCGGAGTATGTCATCGAGATATTTGGCTGTAGGGCCATCGCAGATTTGTCCTCTGAAAAAAGTCATACAATAACATGCAATGGCCGCCATCTTGAAAACTTCTTGTTATCCTATGATATTTTTTTCAAAGGACAAATCTGGAATAGCCCTATAGCCAAATATCTTTCCCTTGACACACTGACTGTTTGCCATTATTTCATGTTGAATTTCATGCCTTTGTCATCAAACTGAACAATCTTAATTATCACCAATCTGCAGTACTATAATGGCTTTGATGTCTTCCGTCCCTTAATATTCAGAGAAGTCAGAGATATGAGTTGGTTGTGCGAGGAAGCCTCCAAGCGATACTTCACCTCCTGCGGCCTGCGACCCAAGCTGGTCCTATGCACAGGGGAAGGGGCCATGTTCTCACCCGAAGACAGCATCACAGACCTACTGAATAATAATGAGGAGGTCGGTTTATTCTTGCATATTCAACAGATCTTTTGAGTAATTGTGATGCAGTTCTCCATGAACATTCAACAAAGAGCATCTGACTAGGCGCATTATAATAACGTCAAAGTAACACAAAGTATCGACTAGAGCAGGCTTTGAACCAGTGACCTCTGAATTACCGTTCTGGTGCTCTACCAGCTGAGCTATCCAGCCCTATGTTGGCGGCTCCCCAGTTTTTCAATGTCTTTGTTCAAGGGGGCTAGTCAGAAGCCATAAACCCGTATATGCCATGTAGCCAGGGATCACGCCCAAAGTCATGATGCAAGCAACATTAGCAATGCTGCAAAGCTGGGAAATAGCAAACAGGGATCACTCAGAAGAGATAGGTGTGTTAGTCCAAAAGGTCGCAGGTTCAAACGCTAGTGCAGTCAATTCCGTTCAACTTTTTATTAAGGGTTTAAGGGTAAATGAACATTGTCTTGATGAGCAAAGAATTATCCGATTGAACCAAGATTTGAGTCTAAGGCCTCTTGTTATGTTGTGTAAATTGAGTTACATCAGAATCCCTCTCTGAACCAATGACCTGCCATCGTTGTAGGACAGGCCATATAACCCATAAGCGTGCCCAAATTTTGAGAAGGCACTGTCTGGTTTTTTTTGCAGGTGATTGGTAAGGTGGAGTCCTGGGATCTCCCTCCACTCACAGAGCGGTACAAACGGGCCTGCCAAACTGCTAAAACTGGTTAAGTATTGCTTTCTTTAAGTTTCTACAAAGATAAAAGGGAGAGAAACACCATGCCTACTTTTTAATTAGAGCGAAGGCTACCACCCTGCAACGAATAGCACAATTGAAATGGAAAGAGTATATAACACAGATACAAACGGACTTAAAAGGTCACAGTGCAAAAATAATAAAACTCTTTAAAAAAAAATTATTCTGGGTTTTGAAAGACACAAGCCAAGTATTAAAATTTGCATCACCCTGCTGCGTGAGATTCAAACCGGTCAGCTGACCTTAGCAAGCACATTGGTCAAATGGAAGGACGTGTGTCCCATCCAAATAATCTTGTCAAGTTTTAAAGGAAATGTACAACATTTGCTTTTTCTGTAATTTTCAAGAATAAATGGATTCAGAGAAATAGTATGTTAAAGCAAACATTGTTTATACACTGACTTGTTTCAGGTTTTGGGTTCGTAGATGCTGGAAAAACCAAAAAACACCAATAAGTTTCTTTTAGTCTGGTTCCCTGACCCCACTTGAGATGAAACTAAGCAATCTATAGACGTTGGGGAATTATAAGGTCATAGAATCAGTCTAGCTGGCTTGTACCCCTTCACAGGTGTGTTCTCTAATGCAAATGAAAAATTAGGAGCAATTTTTGAAAAAATCCAGTTTTCTCCAACGCTGGTCGGCCGACCAGCGTTGGAAATTGATACAAAAATACTACTTTACTTAAAACTATCCTCGTTATTTAAGAAATTAGGAAGTGCCATTTTTTTATTAAGTCTGTGGTAGTGTGTGTTGGATGTTTGGTATTTTCAACAATCCAATGATATGTTTAGAAACATTAATTACATTTCTTTATTTTTGTGACATGCACCTTCCATAGCTTTCCAACACGTGGTTGGCAATAAGTGCCAACCATTGATTGACAAAGAAAAGTCTATTGACTACAAGGAAATTCTATTGTTTTCTGAATATCTTATCAGGTGAGCATCCCAAGATCCGCGGCTGCCTTCAACTCACCCAGTCCACCCCAGGCATCCTGGACCTATCCAACGCTGCCCTCTCCCCTACCCATCTCACCCCGCTCTTCCTAGCCCTCCAGTGCCAGTACTCGCTGCGCAAGCTCCTGCTGCCCGGCAACCGCTTCGCCGACTCCGCCGTGCCCCCGCTGGTCGCCGCGTTGGAGAGCCTGCCCAACCTGGCTGTGCTGGATCTGAGCTGCAACGGGATCAGCCCCGAGGGATTAAAGCTAATCCAGGAGGGATTAAGTCAACGGTCTGGAGGGATGGAGGCTTTGCAAGGATTGGGTAATCCCAAACCACTACAGGTGTGATGATTTTTGGGTTTTTAAAAACTATTTGGACAGTATTTCCATGAGTATGAGTACTTGTCATGAGTACCAGTATAAGGCAATTATTTTCTATGAGTACGAGTATGAGTACCAAAAAGATGTACTCGAGTAGGAGTATGAGTACAAGTACATCTACAACTACAAGTACGAGTACTACAATACTGTGTTGGGATCATCAGGGGGCGGTAGGCTTCTGCAGATTTCAGGTCTTAGTTTCTGAAACCACTTGTCGCTTTGTTCCGAAGCTTAATCTTTGCTCTTCCAGACCCTCCGATATGCTTCAGTCATATCATCAGATATTGTTCAGTGTTTATCAGATTTACAGTACAATGGTGAACAGCCACTCACTCTAAGAATGCTAAGCCAAATGTGTTTTTTTTTTCAGAAATGAAGCAGAATACTACAACTGAAAAAATTCAAACAGCTTTTTTTTTTCAAGCTTTCATGTGCAGAATCAACATGTTTGTCTTTGCAGTCAATTGGTTGATATAGACATGAACCCATTAGCACTTGTATTACATTGTACTACACTGTATTTACTCCTTGATGAAACCTTTACACCATGGAGTGCCAGGGCAGATTTGGGGCGATACAAGGAGTAACGGGCAGGGCTACGGGGACTCATGTGTTAAAGAATCAAACGCACAAATGCAGAAAGAATGTTTAAATGAAAGTTGCGTTCCCCATGCTATTTTCAAGTTTTATCCTGAAAAATACATTCCTTAAAATGAGTACAAACGTTATTCACCTTTGAATAAAACATCAACCAAAATAATTGGCCCAGAGGTTTAGTTACTGAATTATTGCATTACCATTTCAGAATTTGTGGCTGCCTGACAACATAATTCCATATGGACCAGGAGCCAGTCTGGTTGAAGCGGATCTGTTTGTGCCTATTAAAACAAAATACGTTCTTTTTCAGATGGTTGCAGACGTCCAAAAAAGGAAAAAGAGTGATTTTGTTGGTTGTTATAAAACATACAAGTTGAAAATTTATTATTTAATAGGGGGAAAATTTGTTTGCATTTGTTGAGAAGCACGTGGATGGCAACTTCAAAATGAAAAAGTTTCTCAACTGTTTTACTAGCTTCTGGAGATGCTAAATCTGAGCTACAATCCACTGACGGATGCCAGCGCCCCCTACCTCGCAGCCCTCATCAGCCACTGCAGCCTATTGGCCGAGCTGTCCCTGACCTCATGTGACCTGACAGCTAAGCTCTTCCAGCTGCACCGACGAGCGTTGACTGAGGCTTTCCAGGGTGCGTTGTGTTTCCTGATACACACTTTGAAATATGAATGGTTGATTGCAGCGCTCGCTGCCGTACCCAATTCAAACCAGCCAGTTGACCCTGGCAAGGGCAGCGGTCCGGTGATATTAAAACGTCTGCACTTATCCGCTCCGTTCACAAGTACCCAAAGAAAGTACAGTTGGGGGTGACCGATCGACGCCATCTTGCCCGACTGCAATATTTTTCCGCGAAGCGTAGCCACTGCGTGTACATACTACAAAATTAATCCCCTGGTGTACATGCGACACACACAAGGAACGGTGCGCGTGTCAACCAGCGAAATGTATGTGTCCCGTCCATGGGATGTCGTTGCTAGGTAAAAGGGCGCCCTCTTATGTTGGCGTTCGGAACTTATGGGCAGGACAGGTATGCAATTGCAAGAATTCCGGATTTTTTCCTAATTTGAGAAAACAAATCTGGGAATTCATCCCTTTGCAGGCCATAAAAATAGTTGCAGACAAGAAGAAAAATAAAAGAAAAAAGAAAAATGGCCATGTCATTTTTCAGCTATGGAAAAAGCGGTTACGCGTTGTTTGATCATCGCTCATGAGCCAATAGGAAAATTGGTTATGCGCTACTTGCTGTCGTCGTGGTAATATAAATTTGTAGTATATTTGATAGTTGCCCATCGTCTGATTGTAATTTCCTGCTGTCACGTCCTAAATCTTGTATATGTCCACAGGGTCAAGTAACCTGCGCACACTCCGCGTCTCCCACAATGCACTGGGCTCGACGGGAGTGGAGCTTTTCCTGCGCTGCTTGACCCCTGACCTCGTCTCGTCTCTGGATCTTTCCTGTGTCATCTCCTCAGCCGTAGGCAGCAATCTTACCAAGCATCTGTCATCTTACTTGTCACAGGTTGGATTATAACTGGGTGCCTACTCAGACAAGAAGTTTTTGTTGGGGGGGGGTGGGCGGGAGTTGCAACCAATGATTTTCTGCTTGAAAAATGTCCATTTTCCATTTGCTAAAGTCCTGAAATCTGTTTCAACCTTTAACAGTTAATAACGGTTTTACCTTCATTTCTTGTTTCGTGTAGTTAGTGTCAACCTGGTTGAAGTGACAAAAAATTTCCAAACAACAATAATAAAGTTATTTCTGGAATTTCAACTTTTACTACATTAAAAGGCATGTTTTTCTTCAAAAGCAAGATTTTCCACCTAAATCTCCACACACAAAAATGGATTTCAATTTCAGAATTAGAAATAGACTGTGGTTTTAAAAGTTCTGTCTGATCTGGCAGTATTTCATGCCCGTATGAATTTTTTTTGTTGATTTTTCTATGTCGAGTTTAACATTTTTTGTTTAACTCTTTTTTTTTTTTTCAGCCTGATTGTTCACTGAAGGATCTTCATCTGTCGGGCTGTCATCTTAGTGACAATGACATCCTGGACATGACAAGGTACGAATTACAATGAATTATAGTGCACTTCTCTCACGTGATTTTGCGGAAGAAATTTGTCCTCACCTACACCTGTTGGAAGGGGCAATCTGGCTGCGATCTTTGCTAGTCCGTCATTCCACTGCTGGGCCAACAACCCTACTTGCGTAATTAATTTCATGGTGAAATTGGATTCGTAATTATTCATATTTGTATTATCGATGTTCACTTTCATTTGCGTCTCTTTAAAAAATTATCAGCTTTCCTTTCTAATTAAAAACTTTCCCATACATTTTTTGTTTACCTACCATTGACCTACCGCTGTAGAATCTCATTAGAATCGCGTCAACACAGCTTGTGAAATATTGTCCAATTTAGGCACGCAACTGGGAATTTAGAAAAAACGAGGAAATTCCAAGCCACACAAGACTTTGTACAGTGTTTTTCAATTTGTAATGGCATTCATGAGTATTGAAAAATAAACGAGGAAATTAGCAGATCCGAGGAAAACTTGCATGCCTGCCAATTACATGATATACAAATGAATGCGGAACGTGCAAAATATGAGACAAACAAAACTTATACAAAAACTCCATATGGTTGTCTAGGGGACATGGCTATCTCGCAAACGGCGATAGGTCAATTGTAATTCTTGGCTCAAATTTAAAGCTTATTATAATGCACTTAATGACTTCTGTTTGGGGTAGGAGCTCTCATTTGGTGCATTTTTTCCAGAATGCCCCACATTAAATAGAGCACTGAAACGGGTCGCAGGTTCAAATCCAGCGCCAGTCCATTTCTTTGTTCAACTTTGACAAACAATTCTAATTGACTGTTTGCTATTCAGGTGTTTGTCAGTCAGAAACCCCCTAGCCTCCCTCGACCTCTCAGCCAACCCACACCTCACCGAAGTCAGCATCTGTCCCCTCCTCCAAACCATCGCCAACTCGTCATCATCGCCCGCCCCGCTGGAGTCCCTCGACCTCTCAGGCTGCGGGTTCCAGACGCCCCTCTCCACCGACTTTCTGGCCAGGCTGTCCCTCCACCTGGTCAAGGACAGTCACAAGAGGGCGGGCTTGAAGAGACTACGGATGTGTGGGAACCAGCTGAGTAAGACGGATTTCGAGTTACTGATCGCAGTGTGGGAGGACGCTCACGGGGACGCTGCTATGCACAATGTGGATTCCGTTCGCTGTGAATTTGACGTCCGAGAATAGCTTGTCCTCCAGTCAGTTCCTCAAAGTTTGCATACCCTATTGGCTCTGTGCGCCAACAAAGAGGGCGCTTTTGAGAGCTGTGGATGGGACACACAGCGTGTGTCTACTGTACTGTACTGGTTCGCGTGCAAAGTATGCACGACTACCTGAATGTGTCACAGCGTCTCCACGAGAGCGTCAGGCGTCGTGCGAATACGTTCGAATTTAACTTGCAATGGTCTCCTAGACTAATCCCTGCCCCCAATAACTTTGGATCATTCGAAATATGCAGTGGATGGACCAGGAACCAGTCTAGGTCTCCCCAAACTCTCCTTTTCCGGCGTTGAAGGGGTACTTGTGCACAACGCCCATTGTAATAATTATTTACTTCATCTTGCTTAAAGACACGTAGAAACATTGGTAATTACTCGGTTATGGGGAGTCAGGTTAGCATAAGCGGTACTTTCCTCGCCTTCCACTGCTGTGACCCGGGTTCGAATCCCACCCTGGTCTACATGTGGATTGGGTTTTCAGTCCCTACCTGATTATGTGGGTTCCCCCAGAATATTCTTCTGGGCTTTTCCTCCCACCTCTAAAACTGTAATTTCTTCTTATTGTCTTCTCTCCACAGGTTTGCGAGCTACAGTGCCTAGGGCGCTTTTGAGGAATCCTTGCTTTCATTACCAGAAATAATTAATAATAATAATTGAAAGAAAATCGCTGAAAGGTAATCGCTGAAGAGGTATTACAGAAAACACCTTTAATACCTCAGTGTACCTTTAATCCTAACCCTCCAAAATCAACCAGTTTTGGTATTATGCAAGAGGAGCAAAGCAATAGACCTTTATAATTCTGCCACCATTTCAGTCATGTTCCCTGTATCCAATAACAGTACTGAATGATAATGGTTTTTGTGCAAAAAGGAACCAGACTATTTTTTCTTACCGCCTCATTTTGGTTACGTTGATTTGAATGGGAAAAAAATCAAGATGGTCGCAACATGGTGATGGTCTATTCGACACAGGGCTTGATGCCTCTTGAAAATCACACCACAGAGAAATGTGACGTTCCTGTCCAGCGGTTAAATTGTTGAACCTTTGAAAAGGTTCCTGGCAAAAGGAAATTGAAAGTTTTGAATAAAGTAAATTTTGCACTGCCATCAAACTAATGTGTCTGTCACATTATACCAGTAATGCATTCTTTCTAATTAACACTCCTCTTTTTAATTATATTTTAGAAAGTACTGATACTTGGCATTGCAGAGATAATTATGTTGCACTGATCCAAAAAGGTCAACAGCAATATATAATGTTGAGCTTTGTCAGCGTTCCACAGAGTGTTCAAATTTAAGTATTCAGTATCCCTATTTTTTTTTCAATTTATGGATTGTTTTATATACATATAGGAAAATACAAGCAAGGACTAACTCCTAATTTGCATTTCTAATGCAATTGTTTTTATTTATACTAAAATATTCATGCACGAAAAGTAGTTTCTCTTTCAAAATTTAGAAATTGTAAATTAACCTGTTATCAATAAATTCTTCCATTAGAACAATGACCACCCTTTTTGTATCTTCTTTTAAAATAATGTTTGACCTAGAAAACTGCAGCTGGCCACTCAATGGAAGTACATGATACATGTAGGAATACTCATTGTGTGGCATTAATAAAAATTTCAGACTAGGTTTCTTCCATTTTAGGAAGAAATTCTAAGGACATATTAAAAGAAAAACTTCTGCATATAGATAAATTTAGCACTTTCAACCCTGATAATTAAAACCAAAATTAAGCTCAAAAAAAGAATTAAAACAAACCACAAGCCCACGGAGGCCCCCTTCAATGGCGAAAACATTGTGTTTGCTATTGTTCAGATAATCCAACTCAGGGGGCGTATTCAAAACCTTGTTCTCGTGTTGAATGAACACAAGAGCAGTGTTCCGAATAACAGGAATCAACACATTGTGTTCACGAACAAGATTCTCACTCCCCACTTATTGGGGAGTAGATGAAGAACGTCAAGGACCAAGATACCGGAACTTTCGTTAAAATTGGTGTATAAAATTGAAAGCATTCAATCAATGCAGGAGCAGTAACGATAAAAAAAAATTGTTCGTGGTTATATAGAGTGGGCTTGTCGGCCTTGTCTTCGCCAATTTTCAGAGCTGCTTCGAGATTTAGATTATTTTCAAATTAATTCAATTAATTGTCCCTTCTTTTCATTCTGCGTTTTGATACGGCAGCTGTCATATAGAATTTTCACCCAGCTGCAATCCACTCCGCGTTTGTAATTGGCAACCTGAAAACACTGTGCGTGGGTCACTGGAGAACAAGGGTTTCGAATACGCCCAGGAGTTACTTTGTACAATAGCGTTCACAAAGTTTTCTCCATTGACGGGGGCCCTCATGAGTGAGTGCACACTGCTCATTTGCCTGGATATTTAACTGGGATGCAGGATTTCAAACCAAATGCTTATAATAATTTGGGAGGCTAATCATCCTTACTCGTAGCTGGTATGCTGAATTGCGAAGGACGCGGCTACAACGTGGTCAGGCCGCTGGCACGTAAAGGCGCCTATGGCGGCCGGCCACATCGACCCATATATGACCACGGAGCACAGCCTGAGATCAAAAGTGTTTGATTTTTCTTATGAACTCATTAGTCTCTGAACCGCCCAAGACCGCCCTGCCCATTACTCCCTCTACCGCCCTAAACCGCCCGAACACTCAGTGGTTTTTATGGATTCTTCAGTGATAGAATACAATGTAAAAAAAAAAATGTAAAAATAATCAAATTCTAATAATCAAAATTTTTTAAAAAATTGTCAGTTGGATTTTTTTTTTTTTTTTTTAGCCACTCTGGGGTTCTTAAGAATACTCTCATAATTCAAAATTTTGCATACCAAGGCTATATGGAAGTCAATATTTTTTCTGACTATGTCAGAAGCAGTGATTACAACAAACTGTTTTGATTGGCTGAGGAGTCCAGGAAGATTTCGGCGTGTCGGTTGAATTCCTCAGCGTATCGCATGTGTAAGTTGTGCTTCCCTTCCGGCATCATCAGAACCCTGAGAAGGAGGTTAAGATACCAACAGATAAAGATCAATCAGCCAATTCCATGGAGCCATGTTAATTGTTTTTCGTTTTGCAGGAAGAAAACTTACCTTATTGGTGATCCGTGGACAGAACTTCAAAATGGTGTTTGTGTTTAAATTCCGTAACTTGAAAAGTAGATGAGTAATTTGAATGAGTCTTGTACTAAAAGAAAGCTCATTGATTGGGCTTTCATATCCTAGATTTTGATAGTGCTATATGCAGATCTTTATTAAGAAAATGGTCCTGCCATTTGGAATTCATTGTTTTTTTACTCGTCCTGTATGGACACAAAGATGCTTGAATGTGCATGGAGATTTATATTTTGGCATGCCTTCAGACCATTCTCGCTTTGAACATGAGCCCTGCCCACCATTGGTTTGTGTATTTCTTCAGTGTATATGACTAATTTATTGGGGGTTTTTTTTGGGGGGGGGTGAGTTTGATGTCGACAGATCAGGGTTTTTGTCTGCATTTATTTATAATTGTCCAAGCCCTTGAACTGAATAAAAGGGCATTGCTGAAGTTTTATAGTTTTACATAAAAATAGCTTACAATGGGTACAAAACATGCCCAAGCCAAGATACTGAAGAATAGTCTTCAACAGGCAACCTACTAGTCTATGAATGACAAAATCTTGAATGACAAAAGCATGGCAGCTATTGACCAATCAACAGGTGCAGCCAAATGTCTGCTCTAAATGACATCACAATTTCTAAAGGCGGCTCTGATTGGCTGGCACGTGAGGTCGCATCAAATTTACATGCACAGATACATCAGATGTTCGTAGCGTGGCTCTGCACACGTGAAGGTCTGATCCTGGGACTAGCAACCTACCTGGATCCTCTGATGTGCTGGTTCAGGAAATATGGGTGTTCTATAGGCACCATGGCATCCTTCTCGCCGTGGACGATCAAGGTCGGGCACGTTATCCTGCGGCAATCCGCCATGCATATATCGGTGCGGTTCTCAGTGCAGATGGTTCGGATGCCGTCGATCCAACCACTCCATAGCTTCTGGAAGTACTCTGCGCCGTACATCTCCACCATTGGAGCGCGCATTCTCTCGCTCCATTTGGAGATGTCTCGAGTTGCTGAAAAGTTTGGAGAAAAAAAATTCAATCCAAATCATTTTTGTGCTCACAAACATGGTGAACTGTTGATAGGATTAGTTTTGTAGTTGAGTCTATCGCAATAACAATGTATGGTGCTTATATAGCGCTTTCCACCAAAGGTAAGTTTCAAAGGACTTCACAATTATCACCCCTGTTCATCAGGCCACGAGGCCACTTTTCTGCAGCCGAGATCAGCAATCTGGTCTCTTCCCTCACAGATACCCATTTATACTCCTGGGTGGGGAGAGACAAGTGTTGTAAAGTGCCTTGCCCAGGAACACAAGCACCATGTTCCCCGTCGGGGTTTGAACCCGTGTACCATGGCACGACAAGTCCTCTCTAAAGCAAATCACAAGTATCGAGGATGAACAATAACAAAGGAATGCCTTTGTCATAGTTCATCTGAATAACTTGCGACTTGAATTTAGACTAACGGACTAGTGATTGACTTGCAATTGACTTGTGATACACTTGTGAGGACTTGAGAGGACATGCGAGGACTTACAGGGACCTGTGAGGACTTGCAAGGACTTTCAAGAGCTTGCAAGGACTTACATGGACTTGTGAGGACTTGCGAGGACTTGTGGGGACACAACTACAACACTGGATAGAATATAATGAGGGACAAATGAGGACATCAAAGAAGTGACTAAACTGACAGTAGAGCCAGGCACATGTTAGCAAAAGTTCTATTGGCAATTTTTCCTGGCTAAAAACATTGGTATAACTTTATGCTATAAGTATTACTGATCTTCTTGCTAAAAAAAACAAATGTTAACTTTTGATTTTCAAAGACAACGTCCTTAACAGGCCGTATTAAAAACATGTATGAAATGACACAAATTTCAGACCAAGCAAAAATGCAGGTAGACACTGAATTTCATGATAGTTAAGAAAAATCAAAAAGAATTCAGTGTTATTAGATCTGTACCTTCATAAGCCTCTATGTCCTTTTCCGTTACATATGCATTTCCTCCCCATACTAGCAGTTTCTGCACGTGATCAGGGTAGGTTGCCGCCATGATGATGCCTATGATACCACCGTCACTCCAACCCAGCACCGAGTAACGATCATGTCCAAGAACCTACAACCATAAAGTGGTCAACATGAGTCAAATGCTGATTTGCCAATACGCAGTCTAACGGTTGCCTAGGCTTTGTATCGTACGTTGATAGGCAAAGTTAATCCAATTACGTAACTGGACACCAGTGGCTTATTTCCGGACCATTGACAATGGGCACACGCTTGCGAATGCGTGCACAGGGTTACACATTTCTATGAATCTTAACAGCAAAGAAAATAAACCATAATTAATCTACTTGTTGATACATTTTTGGGAGAAAACAGGGGGGGGGGGGGGGGCAAGGAAAAACCTACCCAAGCAAGCAAATGCCCAGCCTACATAAGCAAGCAAATGCCCCCCGTAGCGCCACCACTGCCACTGGCTAAGGGCAGCCCACTACATACACCAGGTCTAAATGGATGCTGGGGCTAAGACTTGATCAAATGCAACGAGTTAATGATGAAACTAGCTGATATACCACGCCTGACACCTTTGTTTTTAATGTCAACAACCTAATTTATCCGTATGTCTCAATAACAAAGACACTAGTCTTAACTGGGCAGTCAAAAGGGCATTAACGTAGACGTCAGTTGAGTGAAAGGGAGCTGCTCTAAATCCTATTCTATGTCAATCATTTGCGGGAAAGGAAATGAGCTCCATTTAAAGTCAAACTTGAAGTTGATCTTTACACAAAAGGAGAGATGAAGACAGCAATAACAACTGCATTATCGTTGACGGAGGCTGTTTGCTGGTGTTGTCCCAATGACGGGCTGATCACTAACTTAGTCTTAATATAAGGCCATCAGATGTGTATCTACGTGCTCACGTTGAGTTTGCTATCCAGGGCACACACTGGCAGTGCATCGTCGGCGCAGAGGATACATGTATGCATTCCAATATTGTTATCAATATTGTTATCTTGACATGAGCATTCACCGCAGACCTACTTGGTGTGTGAGAAGCTTCATATCTTGTAACTGCCATCTCCAAGCACTAACACTGAATATACCCAAATAATTGTGTAAATTACTGGGAAAATGCTTCCTGTCAGCTTGGAGCTCATACCCATTAATATATTTGATGTACTAGTTATATCATCAATCTGAAGCAAATTTCAACTGCAATTTGTTTGGAAGGATTCTCTCTTCAGAAAATGAATGCTTCATCGACAGATCCTTTGGCCGTGTCCCCACTCTTTGTTGCTTTCCGTACTTGTTTCATCAGCTTCCTTGGATTGCTGATCATAGCTGGAAACATTCTTTCCATTGTCGTGACTTGTCGCATACCAGACTTGGCAGACAGTACTAAGATCTTGATGACATCTTTGGCAGTAGCTGACCTCACAGTTGGCTGTTTGACAGTATTTAGTGTCATAGCTTCGGCTATGAACCGCTGGCCCTTCGGCGATGTTGCTTGCCATGTTTTCACCATTGTGACAATGACAGGTTTTTTTGTGTCAATATTTTCCCTCATCGGTTTGAACGTTGAGCGCTACATTGCCGTCACCCGACCCTACAAGTTTCCTGTGTGGTGCTCCCGGCGTCGTGTTATTATCAGCGTCATTTTATCAACAACTCTCTCTCTGTGTTCAATCATTTCAACAAGCCTATTTGGAGTACATGCCCAGTATTTCCAAGCTTCAGCTGTATGTTCTGTCGCAAATAATTCTCCAGTTTTAAACATTTTGGTCCTTCTATTCTTTTGCATAATTCCGGAGTTTATCATGACGTGTACATACTATCGCATCATTAAGATCAGCCGAGAGCATGAGAAGCGAATCAACCAAAACGATCTCAACAACAAAAACAACATTCGGGACAACAAAGCTCTGAAGATGTTCGTTGTCGTCACTCTGACTTTTGCAGTTTGTTTCACCCCACAAATGATTACCAGAACCATTGTGGCTCACACCAATGTGGAGATTGCATATTGGCTTCAATTTATGGTGACGTGGCTAGTTACATGCAACAGTATCTGCAATGTTTTCATCTACTGTCTGTTCAATCGCACCTACCGTCAGAAAGCCAAGAAAATCATCATGAACAGATTACTCTTTTGCAAAAGTTCAGTGGAGCCTGTGAACATTCCAGTTTAAGGGGAAAGGTAGCATCGCAGACCCCCCTCCCCCAACTTCAATTTGTTTACATTCCCTCAACAGGACTCCTGACAATGACAATGGCTTATGGGGCAGAGACATGGGCAACAACCAAAGAGATGGAACAAAAATTGATAACACCACAGAAAGGAGAATGCTCAATCTATCATTACGGGCCAAAATCAAAAACACCTTCATAAGACAAAAAACAACGGTCAAAGATGTCATAGAGAAGATCAAGGAAATGAAATAGAGATGGGCAGGGCACCTAGAAAGAAGACAAGACAACAGATGGACCAAGAGACTCACAGAATGGCAAACAAGGACAGGCAGAAGAAGAGGTAGACAATAAAGAAGATGGAGAAATGAAATCACCACATATATGAACACGGCAACATGGAGTAGAATGACAAACAGAAGAGAATGGAAACTGCTTGAGGAGAGCTTCATCCAACAATGGATGATCACAGCCTGATGATGATGAATGTGGACAGGACTCCTGAAGGCCTGCTTTTTGGAAAAGTTAAACAAGTGTCCGTCGAGAATCACGTGTTTTACACCTTTGATCTCACTCTTGCACCAGTATAAGAGGTTGAAGAAAACTCTGTTTAACATATCACAAGATATTAGATTGTGCCATATTGAGTGTTTTGCTGGTGAAATACTCAGGTTATTATGAGAGAGAAAATTGACGGCTTTTCCCATTTCGAGATGCCTATCTTGCAGACTGATCATTGCTAGTTTACATGTTTGAGAATATATCTTAAAATATTCAGTGTTGAGTCATTAGGTACATAGTTCGAGGCATTGAGCCTCGTTTTGGGTAGACATAGTGAGGGTTTCTCATCGATGTATATTTTTTTGATGAAAGCCAATGTGCCAAGACTAGTTGGTTGGACAATCAATCAATCAATCAATCAATCAAAAGACATTTGTAAAGCACCAAAATCATTTTATTTTCCATTCAATTCACTGTACCTACAGGGGTAGGCCTATCCCTATTTCCTTCCATTTGCGGACTCATCAGTTGCTGGATTCAGGTGGCCTCAAAGGAGCAGCAGGTAAGTGAATTGAATGGGACATAAACAATTTTCATTTTATATAGACTTACAAGCCTCATTTGGATGGGAGTTGTTGCTCTAACCCTAAAACAAGTATATCAATGATGTCGTAGGATTTCTCCCTTGATAAAAACTTGGAACCATTTTTTCTTTATGATAAGCGGGGGAGGCATTTTAAATTCAAGTAAAAATAAACTTCAACTGCCACCCACGCCCAACATTATATGGTTGCAATATCGTGTGTCAGTACAGTAATTAATGACAAGTAGTGTACACAATTGCACAGAATATTGTCAATGTTCAATCAAAAACTATTATCGATCCATCTCAATAAAAAGGGACTAAATTAAACGGGGCAATCAAAATTGCATTACAGTGGGTGGCATACGACAATTTCACATCTCATTTTGTCAATTACTTCAGGACAGGAATTGTGCTGCATTTGAAGCCAAACTTGAAGTTGATCTTTACACAATAGCAGATGTCAATGCAGCAATCAAAATTGCATTATCAGCGACGTGCAAATGACAGGCTGATTACTTTCGTAATTTTTAATATAAGGCCATTAGATCCAGCGTTTTGCAGTTGAGTTGATGAAACACTCAATCATGTATGACACAAGGGAATCTTGTTCCAACAAAACAGAATCATAACGCTTCTGCAAATGAGTATTCAACACAGACCTAGATGGTGTGAGAGAAGCTTTCGCAGTCTTGTTACTGCCATGGACATGAATTGATGGTGACTCTACCCAAGTAATTTCTGTAAACAAAAACCCAATTTTCCTTTCAGCTTGGAGTAAGAGCAGTTAGCCATTCAACTATTTGGTATACTGTTTCTATATTGCATCTGAAATCAATTTTAACTGCAATTTGGTTGAAAGGATTCACTCTAGAAAAGGGAACAATTGAAAAGGGGAAAATGAATGCTTCATCAACAGAGCCCTATTTTGCCAAGGTCACCCCAGACTACTGTTTGGTGAACGCTGTTGTAGAACAGCCAAGTAGAACACGTAAATGAAACCCCTACGTTGAAGCCGCTGACCTCGCACAGTCTTGCCTCGCAGAATAGCCAACACAGAGGGCGGCCAGGTAGTCAACGTGAAAGCGCACACGACGGCGATTCCTGTGCAAAAACGCAGTCATGAAAAATCGACGAAACGGATCGCCGGTCCGTACGGAAAAATTAGGACGACTCGAAGTGTCCGACCCAAAAGGACAATTTCTATAGATCAATACGTCTCCACAAGATTTTCACGAAATAGATATATGGATTTTACTCAAAAACTAGGAATTTCCAAGGTGGGTTGATCTGTCGCAAATGGAAGAGTTTTAGAAAAGGGATATTTAGTCCGAATTTCAGCCAAGGAAATTAATTCTGGTTAAAATAAGAGCATTTTGAAACTTCACTTTCAACCTCGAAAACTTTACTACACGAGAACAAAGAAATGTCTCCACAAGAATACAAATTTCAGTATGTGTGCACACACACACACACACACACACACACACGGACGGACAAGGCGGAAACAGTATGCCCATTCGGCTTTGCCGGCAGGGCATAAAAAATTGAAGTTCTAGTTTTAGCAAAGACCTACTTCGACTAAGGCATGATTGTTGATTGTTTAAAGCTGCGTCCTTAGCGCGTGCTCTTCAACAAATTTAGTTGTTTTAGGCCAAAAAAAATATAAGTCGGTCTCTGGTCAACGCGCGCGTCGATTTTAATCATGCGCGTCGATTTTTTTTTTCCAAAATGTTCCGCGGTAGCTCCAACAGCGCCCTCTATTTCCGCACCTCCTCAATTTTTTTTACCAAAGAGCACCAAGGAATGGGAAATTGCACCAAGGCAAATGATCGAAAGCACCCGAGGCAAATTATGGAGAACACCAATGTACATGAGGACACCCAAAAAGCAAAATAGTACCCCACCTTTTCTGTACAATCCAAGCTTGAAGAAAAAAAAAAAAAAGAAGCCGCGTCAATTCCGGAACTTTGGTCTGACCAGAGACCGAATATATTTTTTTTTTGGCCTTATTCCTTTTGATAAATCTTAAACTTGTATGCTTCATTCCAACCACAAAAGCTCCTGTTTTTTTTCTTTTTTGACATTAGTAACCCTCTGAAAAGACGGTTTTTGTTTTGGGCACAAACAGATCTGATTTGCGAGCAAACTAACTCCTGATGCCTATATTATCGCTATTGATTTTATGGCGGGGACCAGACTACCCTGCGAGAAGGGAATTATTGTCTGGCAGCCAATAATTCGAAATTGTAAAGTAATAATTCAATAACTAAACATGGGCAAATTTTAGATTTTTAGATGTATCATACAAAAGTAAAATTGACATGACTGCGTGTGGAGGCGAGTTCAGATGTGCCTTTCCTGTTCGACCAATGTTTGTCAATATTCAGAAAAACAAGGGTGACGAAATGGGGGCAATAATACATGTAGTCCTTCACTCACGGACATGAGACTGGCTGCGTCTTTTGAATCTCGCTGGAAGAAATCCAGTGGGAAGTCTCTATCCGGAGGTCTGGACTTGCCGTAACCTCTAGGATCGTACGTCACCAGCGTGTACTTGTCCTTGCTCAAGCCCTCAAACTGTGGCCCCATATCTTTCTGGCCCGATCCTACAGGAACAAATATAGGTTTTACAAATCAGGAACTCGAAATCCCTTGGTATTTCACAGGGTTGCCTAATCAGGATTTTTCACTTTTTATTCTGTGGGGAAGAGTTAAAACAAAAAGTTCAGCATGAAACCCTTACAATGGGCGATTCCTTTCAGGGCTTTTGTTTTCCTTCTCTTTTTTTTGGGGGGGGGGGGTTAATTCTATTTTTTCAAAAATTGTTTTCATGCTTTCTTTTGCCAGGCTTTCTTTTGCAAGGCCACACACGACTGGTAATGTGGATATGATTTACAGGTTATGGGTAGGTTTTATACATTTAATGTACCCACAAAGAAAAGATTACATCAAATGCCAATAAAAAGCTTAACTTGTAACAGCATCATGAACGAGAGATTCCAATGGAGTTTTCACAATTTTGTACTTTATTGCACATTTCCGCCTTGCAGAGCTCCAGATCACATAAAAGGTTAAACCTTCTTTGCATGGGCGTCAATCGGTGGGGGACTGGGGAGACAAGTCCCCCCTCAACCCCCCCCCCCCCCCCCCCCCAGTTTTTGAAGTGGGGGGATATCACATTGTTTGTCCCCCCCCCCCACTTTTTTCGTCCCCGAATAAAAATTGTAGCCTACTCTACCGATTCTATAGCTCAGAATAGCTGATTCAATAACTCCAATAACTTGAAAATGATGTTTAAAGATATTTTACTTAAAAAAAATTGGTTTTAGTGGTCAGAAATTGCCTCAGATCACACCACAGTGTCTAGAATCCAAAATCTTTTGGGGCCCTTAAGCGGGCCATGAACCCACACCGTTAGGACTTCGCGCTCACATTAGTCCTGATCAAGGTATATCCCCTCCACTTTTGTGAAGCAATTGACGCCCTTGATTCTTTTTAAAATCTGAGAGTGCATACCCACCGAGAGCTCCAGGCAGCAGCAGCACTGCATGGTTCCCCTTGCCTGTCTGGTCATAGTGCAGCTCAACACCATTCACTGCTACTTTACTTCCCTCACTGCACACACACAAAAATACGATTGAGACAATGGTTATAAAATATTAATTCTAAAGCCATTTACAAATTTTTCCAATTGGGTGAATTCCTGAATTGGGTCATTCCTTGTCAAGTTAGGCTATGATGAAATTGAAGCCCATTAGTTCATCTTTGACATTTGGAGGTTGTCTTTTTATTCCTCTGGACATGGGAGAAGCCAGTAGGTATTTTTGTCAAGTGTTTTGCGTACTTTGGGCAACTTCTGAGGTGAATGGTCTGCAAAACTAAGTTTTGTTCGTTACTTTGGTTTGTTGCAATTGAATGCTGGGTAGCACATGTGGTGTAAATCAGGTCAATCTTTGTAATTTTTATTGAATATTTAGGCCCATGAAGAGATCGAGGTCATCCAAGAGCTATGATCTAAAAATAACTAAAGAATTCATGAAATCATTGTCGCTTGAACAAGTGGCGCTGCTAGATTGAGCACTGGTCCCAGACCTATGGATGGCTAAATATGCTAAATATTAAAATAAAAAACATGTCAAATGGTTCTTAAAGTTTTGCTGAACGTTTACAAAATTAAATGCAAGCTGGCCTGTATCTAGCCCAGGTTGGACTCCATTGTGTACACGCAGCGGAGTCAAGGGTATGAATCTCTCCTGCCACAGCGTAAAAAAACCCACATTTTTTGCATATTTTTACTTAACGGAGGAAGCTGAAATTTCGCTTACATATTCCTTTTGTCCAGAATTGTGCCTGCGCTGGGTTTAGGAAAGGCAAATATGTCCGCGGGCGGCGTGTTTACCTAAAATAAACTACAATCCCACACTTTCGTTGAAAACAATTTCAGTACGAACTCCCCGTGTGAAGATTACGTGCGCGTGTGCATGCACACCTAGCACGCTGCCGCCATGGCACGCACGTGTACGTCTTCACGCGGGGAGTTCATACTGAAAATGTTTTCAACGAAAGCGTAGACTTGCAGTTTATTTTCGGTAAACACGCTGCCCATGGACATATTTGCCTTTTATAAACCCACCGTACCGCATGCACAATTCTGGACACAAGGAATATGTAAGCGAAATTTCAGCTTCATCCCTCAGGTAAAAATATGAAAAAAAAATGTGTGGATCATATGCGAGAGCGCGTGCTCGTTTCAAGTGTTAGGTTGGCTCAGTGCGGAAAGGGCATATTTTTCATCATTTTTGCCGAAAACAGACAGAATCCACCGATGTTTGTTGGGTGCACATAACGTGAGTATGTCATGAGGTATTGCACGGAGTTTAGGGGCAAACTGTGCAGCGGTTCTGTGGGAAAAAGCTTGGTTGGGATGGACGTTTTTGTACTTAATTGGCAGTGTATATTTTGCCGGAGACGGCAAACCTTTAGTAAACGTTAGTTTGCCGGATATGCACTTGTAGCGGGACATTCCATGTCACTACATTGTCGTATTGGGTTCACCATACATTGTATACTGAGAAATGCATTGTGGGTAAACTATTTATAGATTGGGCTCTTGTGCATGTGCCTTCGGCCATGTTGGCCATGTTTCGGTCTCGTCATGTAGATACTTGTAAATAAACCAATGAAGATGTAATCCAGAGTCTGCGATGAACAATTAATCCCTTTCCCCCTTCCATCCGAACCTGGTAATGATCTTCGGATCGTTACACTGGCGTAGTCGGCAGGATGGAGGGGGATATTTTGGATTGGAAATGTTCTGCCGATGTTCACAAATCATCGATCTGAGCTGTGCTGTGTGTAGCCTGTACAACGTGTACTGTAATTGACTTTCGTCAGTTTCGTGTTCGTTCGACCCCGTTCGTTCGACATTCTGCGTGTTATTGCATGTTGGAACATGTCAGCATGTCTTCCATCATGTACATCGTCGTCGTTGCGTAGCTGTAAATACTACCTGTGTATTTCTGCTGATCCTGATGTTTTTGAGTCAACCCCGATTGACTTTCGTATCGTCCGTCGTTAGGCCGTTAACCGCAGAGCTGATGGGAGGATTTCCTGATGATCTCCTTGGCCGTGCTTACCCAAGAGTACTGGCGTTAACCTGATGTTTGCGGGGGAGTACCCAAAGTCTCCCGAAGCCTTCCCGACTTCTGTCTGATCCACACCCCGTGGAGCAACCCGTCCCTCCGGACTGTCTGTCATCAGTTTGGCGATAACCCTTCGCCCAGGGGAGGAGCTGCCTCCTTGAGCATAGCTGCAGCAACCTTGGCCTCACCAAGTTTGGTCCGGGGAAGAGTGCTGATCTCTTCGTGCACAATTGCGTTAACCCTTCGCCCAGGGGAAGAGTGCTGATCTCTTTGAGCCATCTGTTTGATCGTCATGATCGTCTGTCGTTAATCGTCTGACTGTTTTTGCAAGTTCAAGTTCAAGTCTTCAAATTGATCGTCATGATCGTCTGCCGTCACTCGTCTGACTCCGTGACTGTTTTTGTTTTCAACTAGTCTTCAGTTCAAGTGTGACTGTCATGACTGTATACAACAAGTGTCAACTGTGAACGTTGAGTGACTGTCAATGTAAACTGTGACTGTATTGCCTATTGTTCTTGTTAACCATGTTAACTCAGAGCTGTAATGATTCACATGTCATTTGCTGATTGTACTAAAATTGTTTTGTGCCATTTTGAAGCATGTAAGGTGATTAAGTCTGCTACTCTGCTTAACTATTTTAAGTTCAGGTACATGTAATTTATCTCGCTAGGTGAATTATTTTGTGTTTGATCATCTCGTGTAATTTGACACAAATTAGAGTTTTTTAGAACTGGATTATCATTATCGTGAATATCATTTCTCAACGTCAGTGAAGCACCCTGTTTTGATCGAGTCTATCTCGTCGGTTGGCAGTAAACCCGAGTGGAGGGGAGGAGTACCCAAAGTCTCCTTGTGCCTTACCAGGAGTATGGCGATAACCCAAAGCCGCGGGGGGAGTACCCAAAGTCTCCTGTAGCCTACTTTGCAGTGTCTGACCCAAGTTATGGAGTAACCTTCTGACTGACTGCGAACTGTTAATTGATCTATCCTTGTCTTTGATCAGTCATCATGATTTGATCTGTATTTGCATAATTTCAAAATTTGCAAGTGTTTGCTGATTGCATAACTTTATCATTCTGATGATAATTTTACTGTGTATGCAAGTTGCTATTGTTAGCCAAGTAACGATTTACTATTGTTGAGGTTAAACCTGTTGTTTACAGCTGATTCCAAGTTTACTTGATTGAGCTAGTACATATCCTAGACTGAGGAAACTGAATTTTGGAACACCTGTGACTGTGTGATTTAAGACTGCTAATTCTTTATTCATCCACCTTCTTTACTGTTAAGCCATAGCTAAGGAGGGGGGAGTGTAGCGGGACATTCCATGTCACTACATTGTCGTATTGGGTTCACCATACATTGTATACTGAGAAATGCATTGTGGGTAAACTATTTATAGATTGGGCTCTTGTGCATGTGCCTTCGGCCATGTTGGCCATGTTTCGGTCTCGTCATGTAGATACTTGTAAATAAACCAATGAAGATGTAATCCAGAGTCTGCGATGAACAATTAATCCCTTTCCCCCTTCCATCCGAACCTGGTAATGATCTTCGGACCGTTACACACTGAACATGCGCAGTTACTGTTTTTTTGTACTTTAACAATTTCCGGTGACAAGTTTTAGTCTGGCTCCATGCCAAAATTATCGTTGTTACCTCGTATTCACAAGATGGGATTCAGACCATTTTATAATTTCGGACTTTATTTCCCTTTTAAAAAAAATCCTCCAGAGCCACAAATCTGAAAAAGAAAATGTAAAACTCTGCAAAAAATGTTTGAGACATGTTAAAATAATAAAAGAAGAATATTCTTATTTATTTGGGGATGAGAAAAAAAAACCTTAAAAATGTGGTGCGGTCGGAATCGAACGCAAGTCATCCCGCTTACTAGAGCCTTTGCTTAACCATGTTAACCACTACACCAAACGTGCTACACAACTTTTGGTGGGAATTAATACATCTTATAATTCAGCCCTATTTTAAAGAGTACAGCGCCCTCTGTTGATATGGATTGCCGCCGGCAAACCTTTAGTAATCGTTAGTTTGCCGTCATTACCTCCGGCAAAATATCCACTACATACTTAATTAGTGTTTTGTGCTGACAACAATTTTGCGGGGTTCTGAACCTATGAGGCTCTACTACGTGGAGCCTCATAGTTCTAGGAGTATGTGAAGGCATGGAAGGCCGGATTCAGACATGTCACTTTGTCAGAATTTCTTTTCATCACAAAATACCTGAATTTACCTGGACATGTTTCTGGCAACTACTCTTCGCAAACTCACACCAACAGCTTTAGCAACAGTGGACACATTCCCGCACTTTGACGAGAAACGAAGCACAAATGCCATTTTCTTGTAAAAATTAACAACGACCACTGGCACGACAACCGATCCCCAACGACCGACTTCGGCCGGCCTTCTTTCTGTTTCACCACAGCGCCCTCAAGAGTCTTCTCACGATCCAGCTATGCGCTCGTCGCGTCGACGAAAAACCAGGTGACACTGACTGTAGCAAGTTGTCAGTTGTAGGATTAATTGACAGTTTTACGTACTTTTTAGCAAATTGCCATGGCTGATAGCGATCTTGAGGAAATACGTGCGAGGCGACTTGCTGAATTACAGCAGCAATATGGGGTATGAAAGTTTCAGCAATTTTATAACATTCTTTTGTGTTGTCCGGAAACTGGCAATGGCTACCGTCCGTGGCGTATGCGCTACTCGGCGCCGCACAGCCCCGCCCCATATGGGGGGGGGGGGGCTGGGTGACCGTTTTAGCCGATTTTCGGCTAACTTTGACAGATTTTTTGTTAAAAAATGAGTTTGACAGAAAATTTGACAGAATCGAATTGGGGGCAGATTTCTGGCCGAACATGCCGAATGCTGCAAAAATGGTTAAAAAAAAAATTGACAGAAAAACACGTCAAATTTGACAAAAATGGTAGGCCCTACATTTGTTTAAAAAAGCTTCAATCTTTTCAAACAAACCTTGGCTGGTCTAGGTCGAGGTTCACTGGGAGTGGGAACCGGACTTCATCGTGAAGCAACCGCGTTTAGCCTGAAATTTACGCAATTTCATAACATCTTTCAGACAGGGCTCCGGAGTGCTCTGAAACGTGCCCACTTTACTCACAGTTTCCAGCAAATTTCTCCAAAAATTCCACTGGAGCAAAGAAAATGTCCTCAGTATTTCACCAACCAAGTTTGCAGACTGAATTCAATTTTTAAAGGAGACTTTTCTTCAATATTTTGCACATGCATGACATGAGAGGGAATACCCCTAGAACTATGAGGCTCACTACGTGGAGCCTCATAGTTCTAGGAGTAGAGAAGGAAGTCAAGTGATTTCTAAATGGGGCTAAATACTAGACTGGTACATGTCGTTGTTGTTGTTGATGTGATGTAATGGCACGTTCGGCAAACTAGTGCCCTTTGTGCCATAAGCAATACTTCTGCGTTACATGAACAGTAGGCTAATCAGCAAAAAAAAGTCATACGACATGAAAAACAAAGACACTTCGTGAGAGCTGCGAGAGACAAAAAGAAAGAAATGCCAAAAAACAACCAAGCAGTGACAGTTCGGTAAAGCATGGAGGCAGGAGTGGGGGGAGCACCAATGATCCGCCGAACATGCAGTGTCGCTGGTGTCCTGCAAGGCCGGACCGTTCACCATGCAATTTAAGGGCCCGGGCCCCGCCGGGTTCGTCGCAGGTCCGCAACGCCTTCAGGTGATGAGGGCAACACTGTGTCCAGCCAACCATCGACGCTCCCCTCTCCCGCACATGTGCAAAATCTACAATATCAAGGAGGTGTGGCTAAGCAGAATAGATTAGAGTTGTAATGGAGGCGTGGCAAAACAATTAGATGTTAATGTTGCATAATTTGTGGATATATCGTAGAATTTCGTCACAGTTATGTTTCTGACCTAGAAGTTGTTTGAGTGTCATTTGAGCATCAGAGTATCCAAGTGCCTTCTGGAGTGACTGTCTTTGGACTTTGTAATTTTTGCACTTAACCATGAAGTGTTCGACGTCATCCGTGCATCCACATGTAACGCAGAGTTTGTCGGGGTGTTGACCAATGTTATGCAGGAAGGTATTAAGTCCTTTGCAAGTTCCCAGCCGAAGTCTGTGAAGGGGGATTTCTTGTTGGCGTCTTTTACCCCAATTGGTGAAGGTGAAAGAGGGTTTAAGTTTGAAATGTTTAGTCGGATCGAGGTTTGGGATAATTTTCGTCCATTGGTCTATAAGGTCATTTTTAAGTCATCATTTGATTTCGGTATCAGAAAAGGGGATATTGTGATCGACATTTGGCTTTTTTGTGCCCGATTTAGCAACTTTGTCAACTTTTTCGTTACCAGGAATTCCACAGTGGCTAGGGACCCATTCAAAGACAACAGTGTTGCCTTGGTGCTGTATATTTATGAGGGTATGGCGAATGTCACAGATAATTTTATTCTGAGGAATGGGGTTCGAGATGGCTTGAATTGCACTGAGACAGTCACTGAGCACACATGCATGAATGGGTTTGACATCTTCAATCAATTCTAGAGCTAGAAGGATGGCAAAAAGCTCAGCTGTGAATATGGAGATGCCATTATTAAGTCTGATGCTTTTGGAATACTTGAGTTGAGGAATATAAAGGCCACAGCCAACAGTATTGAAATCGGGGTTAAAGGAACCATCAGTATAGATTTGGAGTGAATTGTTCCAGACAGTGTTAATAATTTCTTTGCTAATACTGCCTCTGATGTTGATATCATTTATATGCGAGACCTGGGAGACAATTTCTGTAGATATACTAGGTTTATAATAATGCTAATATGGGAAAGGTTAAGGGTTGATTAAAGGAAACGTTTCAATAGGGTATTGAGTAATTCTAGCTTCAAAAGGGGTTTTATGAGCAGTTAGTCTCCATTTCTCTGTGAAGTAGTTTTTCTGCCAATTGTCCTGTTGGAGATGGTGGTTAGGATGTTTTTTATGGGCATTTATTTTGATATTGTGCAGATTACTTAGGAATTGGCGACGAAGATTCAGTGGGGGGTCGCCACATTCAAGTTGAAGTTTATACAAAGGTGAGCCTTGGAGGGCTCCAGTGCAGATTTTTAGTGACTGGTATTGGATACTATCCAACTTCTGTTTGATAGTGGCTGAAGCTGAATCAAAAGCTTCGCAACCATATTCAAGGATCGGTTTAATAAGTGCATTATATAACTGGAAAAGTGTCTTACAGTCAGCGCCCCATGTAGTTCCGCTAATGCATCGCAAAAGGTTGAGTTTTCTCTTACATTTAGTGACAATATTGTTAATGTGGTGCTTCCAGGTTAACTTGCTGTCAAAAGTGACACCTAGGAATTTAGCTGATTGGGGGATTTGGATATTATGGTCTTGAAGGAGGAGAGAAATATTAGTTTTCTGTTTGTTTGTGAAGAGGATCGCTATCGTTTTGGGTTGAGAGAGCTTGAATCCCCATTTTCCGCACCATGGTACATGTCCAACCATGGTCCTACTATTTGAAAAGACTGTTTTCTTCATTCAGTGTCAATAGTCTGGTGGCTTGACTATGGAGAAATGTGTAGTAAATTGAGACTAGTGCCCGCCTCATGCCACATGTTTTTTTAAATTCTTTTGGCATGGTTGATTGATGCAGTACTGAAGTAACTAAATGTTGTATCTTCCCTTTAATTAGGGCAATACTACAAATCTGCATGTGATTTTAAGTGTTTATAGTGTATTTCGAGTAATTCTGGGGAATTTGGCAGATTTTTGATAAGTCTGACAGCTATTTGAAGTGCATTTAGCAGAATTTGGCCATGACCTTACGGTCACCGGGGGGGGGGGGGGGGGGGGGGGCGAGGAGTTCTTCTTACCCGTGCAGTGCATGCAGTGCAGTGCTGGCCCCGGTTCAATAACGAAAACGATCGGTACCCAGTTTATATACAAATACACTGCCTTATTTTTATCTCTTGAATTTAGTCTTGGTTTGGAGTTCCTGTAGAGTAGGCCTGTAATTCTTTGAAGTTCTTTTCATTCAAAAATCATGTGGTTTTTTTCTTCTTTTTTGTGGATCTTCAAATATTATTAATTGGGAATGAATGTTGCAACCTGACGCTGCTTTTTTCTTCATAAATCATCTCAATGAAGGTCAGTCATTTCAAAAATGATGATAAGACATGAAGCTGGGACTGAGAAACATTTCCAATTTTGTTAGGAAACACTTAGAATTTTTTTTTGACTCTCCATAGACTTTGTACACAACCGCTGAAGTGGCGTCAGGCTGCAAGTGCAACATTCTTTCCATTAATTGGAATGCAACTCCTATGCTATGAAGTTGTCATGCATGATGTAAGGCCAAGTAAAAAAAAAAATGTTAAGCGTCCTGGTTTTTTTTTTTTTTTTTAAAGGAGGAGGAGGTGGGGCCTTTTATTTTATGTTAAATTAATTTTTTGTTTTCAAGATGGCCACCATTCTAATTTTTGTAATTTCTGACAACCGTTAGTTTTTACACAGATCAAAATTCAAAACACAAAAATGACATGAAACAGACATGACAAGAGAAATAAACATTTAGGCCTACAAAGTGGTTTTTATAGTTTTTGAAAAAAATTTGCAACCTGATGCTACTTCTTTCTTCATGTATGATCTCAATGAAGGTCATTCATTGCAAAAATGATGATAAGACATGAGAAACATTTCCAATTTTGTCAGGAAATACTTAGAAAATTTTCTTGACTCTCCATAGACTTTGTACACAATCGCACAAGTGGCGTCAGGTTGCAACCTTTTTTTCCGTAGTTTTGTTTAGTTTGCAGCACGGTTTTACAAGAATTTAAAAAACACAGCAGTACATGTAGATTTCTTTATTTTTAGTAAATGGTAAAGGCGTTGTAGGAACACAAATTCAACAAACTTTTGGTGGCATACCATGTCCCTAACCCACCCCAATCCTCCAAAATCATCATTGCGGTTTTGGAGGATTTTTCAGGATTGAGGATGAATAATGTGTTTGAGAAACATGAAAATTTCTGAGGATTGAGGATGAATGCATTTTGCGAGGCAGGACTGTCTGATGATTTTGAAGGACTGAGGCGCTGGGTATCCTTTATTTGAACATGAGTCACAATTTTGGGATGAGGAGGATTTGGGAGGGTTGACGATGAATGCATTTTGAGGCAGGACTGACGATTTTGAAGGATTTAGGCGTTGCTGCAAAATTTTGGAGGATTGAGGATGGTTCCTAGCAAAAAGGGCCTAGGGGGTTAGGGTTAGCTAAAGATTCATCTAGGTTTGCTGAGATTAAGAGCTTGTCTTTATGCATATTGACTTCTTTACCTTGACAAGAAAAAAAATAGAAAGAGGAAAGAGAGCAAGAGAAAGGAGAAATTAAATCGTGACACTTGATGTGACTTTTGATCAATAAATATCTGAATTGACTTCACGTCTGTGACCATAAATAATAATAATAATAATAAATACAATGTAATAATAATAACGGAGTCTTATATAGCGTACGTATCTACCAACAATTAGGTACTCAAGGCACTGGAAATTATGTCAATTATTAAAGAAAGGTAAATAAAGTTTATGAGAAATATGAGACCCAGTATGTAGCACCTTATAATGGTTTACAAGGTGCTGGGCGCACATTGCAGCCACTGCCAGAAACACCAGGGCAAACCCATTCTCTTAGCGATAAGTGTTACTGGGTTCTTTAACGTGCATTACACAACACACGGGACCTATGGCTTTACGTCCCATCCGAAGGACGAAGCAATAATGGTAAAGTGCCTTGCTCAAGAGCACGAGCACCATGTTCCCACGGTCAGGATTCGAACCCATGCACCACGGCACACGAGTTGAACACCGTAACCATTGGACCACAGCGCCCCACGAATCCATGCAACACAAACACAAACATTCATGACTGCCATGCATTGTCTTTCATTCAACTAATGACCCAATAAAAACATCAGGTAGGCTATGCAAGCCACCAGATAAGAGATCAAGGATTAAGATCGCACTACTTACATCAAAGTTACATGTACTCTGTAGATTTGCTTACGATCTTGAAGAAAATGAAATTTCTAGTGCTGAATTTCTTATTCTAGTTAACCCTCATTCAGTTGGGGTTCGGCTCCACAACATTTTTCCGAACATTGGCTTTGTTTAGGTTCGGCAGCATATTAGGACGTCAACACAATAATTGCTGCGGGAGTATACCTTTGTGCATAAGAAACACGTGGCCGCTTGGTCACTCAGTCCATGATCCACCGTCAAAGCTGGGTTGGATTTGAGATTGCAGAGTCGACTGCACGATGTGGAAAGTGACCAATAGAGTCTAAAATTAGGAGTTCTGACTCGCAAGTATTATATTTTCTGATGGATCGGTCGAAATTTTGCTCTCTTTTTTGTCAAAAATAGAAAATACAAAAAAATCCAAGCGGTCGGCAAAAAGGAAGCGGCCAGGCAGGGACGCTAAACTGTATTTTTGTTTATTTGGCCTATTAGGTACACGTAGGTGAAGAATTTGAGGGATTATTGTTATTCCTTTTTTTTTAATACAGGGTCAGGGACAGGATCCCAATGCCAGGAAGGACCAAGAAGAGGCTCAGAAAAGGTACGCTACACAAACTCAAAAACCCAAGGCACTTTCTGACATTGAACTGCTAGGCGCAATCGATGGATTTTGTATTGAACTATCACTCAATTGCACAGAAATACAAGTGCATGTCATCAGTGGATTCCATCGGAAATGTCAGACTTGACTTCCCTTCTTACAAACTATCTTCCAGTGGCGTGAATTTGACAGAAAAGGCGATCAACTGATGGCTGCGCGATTGACAAATGGTGCTACGATCAACTGATTGCGCAACGCAATTTGCCAATAGTGCAGCACAATGCAGGCAATAGCACAGATCCACTGATTGTACCCAACAGAACCATCTTTAAAATCCTTCAAAATGCTCCGCTCTTCCGAAAACTAATGCCACTTCCTCAGAATTTACCATTTCAAGAAGCATCAGGACCGATGTAAAAGAACATGTAGCTAGACACTGCCTTTTGTAATCCTGCCAAATCCTCCAATACCAGGTTGGCTTTGCAAGATCTGGAAGGATTACTGTTTTCTTTTAATTAAAGGGAACATACAACATTTGCAAACATCAAAAAACAAAACTAACAACTTATCACGAAATACCTTCCTGGAGAATGACAGTCTAAAGCATCCTGTAAAATAGTGGCACCTGGTGTGCTGACATTTTCAAGAAAGTGTTATTTTTGTTTCAATTTCCAGTGCTGGTCGGCTGACCAGCGTTGGGAAAAAACTGGCTTTTTTCAAATACTGCTCCCAATTTGTCATATTTAGTTAGTCCACATTTTCTTTGCAATCGATTACACACCTGTGAAGGGGTACAAGCCAGCTAGACTGATTCCCTGACCTTACAATTCCGCGACATCTATAAATTGCTCCATTTCATCTTAAGTGGGGTCAGAGAACCAGACTAGGAGAACATAATTGTTTTTCTTGGTTTTTCCAGCATCTACGAACCCAAAACTTCAAACAAGTCGGTGTAACAATATTGGCTATTTTTCCATTATGAAAATTACAGCATAAGCAAATGTTGTATATTCCCTTTAAGTTTCAAATAAACCACAATATTGAAATTGACTAGGTGCATTATAATACTTTTTGACTTATTTTTTTAAGTTGAACAAAGAAATTGACTGGAGCGGGGTTTGAACCTGCGACCTCTGGACTACCGGTCCATCGCTCTTCCAACAGAGCTATCCAGCTCTATGTTGGTGGTTCCCCATTTTGTCAACATCTTTGTTCAAGACGTGTGCTAGTCAGAAGCCGTAAAACCCAGATGCCGTGTACATGTAGCCAGGGATCTCGCCCAAAGTCACGATGCTAGCAACATTAGCAATGCTGCTAACCTGGGAAATAGCAAACAGGAATCACTCAATGAGGATACAGCTTTTAATTACAAATTTTCAAATAAACCACAATAATAATTTCACTAATTCTAAAGAATACAGTACTAGTATGCTACCAATGGTGTTTAACACCTTTAAACAAATGCTCATGTGTTTAGTATTTTTTTATTTTTTTTTATGAATACCGTACATGAAAGTGTAGTGTTCTCTTTTTAGTGTTAACTCCTCATTACATTTGTTTTTCTAACGATATACAATGTATCTTGCAGGCAGGAAGACATGATCAACTCTATTCTTTCTCAAGTGCTGGATCAGAATGCCCGAGCAAGATGTAAGTTTGGGCCAGGGCTTAGAACAATTGTTATTACACATATAATAATTGTTTATGAATGCAATGGTAAGAATAATTTCATTCAGTGACAGATGGAATGTTGCATTTGTCATAGAACATTCCATCTGCCACTGAATGAAATTATTCTGTCCATTGCACGAAAGTTAAACATTCATTATTTGGAATTACAATGCCAGAGTAAATCCTCGTCATCTGATTGATAATATTGTGAACATGTAATGAAACTTTTGTTTGACATGGAACAGAACTTTTGTTTTTTGGTGCGGCCAGGTCGTGGATTAGGACAAAAAATTCAATGACATGTGATCAACGACCCACCAATCAGATGATGGGGATTTATTCAGGGGTTGTATAAATGCCATTGTTGCACCGTTGGAGTGTTAGTCTTCATTCTAGTCCAACAAATTTCTTTTCTAAGTTTCTTTTCAAACGCGCTAGGGTTGCCATGTGCATAATTTTGAAGCTAGCGAGGGACCTGATAACACATAGTGGATTGTCGTATATATTTTATGCGGCGCTAGCCTTTTGTTGAAAACTTGGCCCCGAATGTGATGCTTGCAATACGCATGGACAAGGCCAAAAACTTTTGCTGATTCAGATGTAAACATGTGGTGTTTTTTTTTTAGTAGTGGGATTAAAATCCGGATATTTTAATATTTGGTTAGAATTCCACTATTCGCTTTAAATTTTGAAAACCAGAAATTCGAAACTAAAATAAAGCCTTCTGTTTTTCAGTGACACAGGCTAAAGAAAACGACTATGGAACATCCCCAAATTTGCTCCATGGTCTAGCAGTCTTCTTGGTTCATGAATAGCCTGCCCATTTGACTGATCACAGTTTGGTTTCCACCCAATTTGTTTCAACATTACAGTTCTGCACCCGATTTCACGAAACTCATCTTAAAATACGATGCATTGCAGCGCTGCGATGCATCGTATCCCTACGATGCGTCGCAGCTGCGACGCGTCCTGCGATCCATTTCACAAAACACATCGTAAGTGCGACGTGTCGTATGTGTATTTATAGCACAATACGGTGACTGTTGCATGTATTTATTCAGTATACAGTAAATAGTCGTCTGACAGTCAACAAACAGTCGTCGGATCTCCGCTCTAAAAGTTTTTAAAACGTAAAACAAAATGGCGAACGTGTGATACAGTTTTAACGGAAAATAAGCTCACGGTAAACTGATAGCTACTTTGGAATTTAAACTGCAATATACCAGGCTAGTTCATAATTATTCAGTGCATTTTCCTTTTGCAACTATACACACATTGTCTCGGTATTATAGTCTCGCTTATGTAACTTTTATGGCATAAAACTGGCCGAGAAAAGGACGCTTCTTATTCCGCAATGACCATCAGTCACGCCGTCACTTGCGACATGTTTTAAGCCGTTGCTAAGGAACTTACCACGTGTTCAACACATCGCAATGTGAGCTGAAATGGAATGTACAATGCAATGCGAGTTGCTACGTGTTACGTGTCGTAACTCGGGTTGCAACACGTCGTAGCGTTTCGTGAAATTGGGCCCTGAAGTGTTATTGTAAAGGCCCAGTGGTCATTGAATCCCGCAGATTGTACCCAATTGTCATGGAGGGCATTGCATGCAGCACCTCACTCGTCACCTTTTTTTTTTTTTGGTACGATGTGAGCTGAATGCATGGGAGCTTCTGGTGAAATCAGATAACCGTTATTAGTTTTTAAAAAAAGAAAGAAAAAAGGGTAACCGGATTTTGAAATCTCCGATTTATCCCTCTACAAATTTTTTATCTTTTTCACTTTTTTCACCGTAAATTTAAACGTGGACTTCTTGTCACTCATATCTTTGAAACTAGATCCAACAATCTAAAACATGAATTTTGGGCAAAATCTGGCTGTATGCACCTTCAACTATTCTCTTTGTGACAGTAAACAGCATTGCCTTAGTCAAACCAGAGAAAGCCAAGATGGTGGAGAGGATGTTAATACAAATGGCTCAGACGGGACAGCTACCAGGACGGGTGAGTAGCAATAGTCATATAATAGTAATATATGGCACTCTTCGAAAGGTACAGAGGATCATTTGCTTGTTCTGCAATTTTTTCACTTGAAGCGACAAAACTGCTCAAATAAGTAAGATTTGAGGCTTTGCATGGTGGAGATACTAAATAATGAAAGGTTTGCGGAAACACCATGTGCGAATAATTTCTCAACTAAGAGAATGGTTCTGAAAAGAACCAGAGGTATAAACTCGACGTTCTGGTCAGTATGCCCTGACCGTCTTCAGGAGAGTGCCTAAACTCTAAGAAAGTGAATGCTTAAGTAGCAAAAGGCGAAATCAATGAAGTGTGAAAACTGCTCAAAGGTACTACAGTGAAACGCCGCTATAATGAACACCGCTATAACAAACATTTGGCTATACGAACATTCCTTTGGCTCCCAAAATAGTAAATTTTATTATAATACACAATCACTATTACGAACGACCACTACAAGGAACATTTTTATGGACCCATGGCATGGTGTTCGTCGTAACAGCGTTCTACTGTGAACCTTCTTGAGAAAACAGAGTAAACATGTGCACAATTAATTTTTTGGTCTCATGGCTGAATTCTGTTGCTAAAGTATGCCCACAGGCACATTTTTCTTACAACCTCCTTTAAGTATTCTTTTCTTTTTGATCAAACTGATTCTGGCAGAATGATTTCACAGGGTATTTGGGACTACATGTAGTCCTATCTTCACTATGAACCAGGTTTTTTCTCAGTAAATCGGAAGGTGCATTTCCCACATGCCTTTCTTAATATTGCGTATTGAGAATTGCAAAATTTAGGTAGCGAAAAAATGCACACAAAAGTGCGAAACACGTCAGTCCAGTCTAATACTTCAAATTCGAATCAGTTGGTTTTCAATACAACTTGCAATCATTTGGTTTCCACTCAATTGTACATATGGCTGTTTAAAAACTCTTGTTAAATTTCAGTAAATCCATTAGTCGCTGTACCGCCCCAAAGCACCCTGCCTGTTACTCCAGATACCACCCCAAACAGCCACTGCACCCAATACAGTGACATGTAGGACAATGTAATCAGGGGCGTAAATCCCGGGGAGGATGGGGGGTATAATCCTCCCCCTCCCTCCCCCCCCCCCCCACACTTTTTGACCAGGGGGAAATGGGCTATTGAATCATCCCTTCCCCCCCCTCCCCCCCCCCCCTTTTTTGTGATGAGAAAAAAAATGCGGATTTTGAGGTATTTTCCGACTGTCCCAACAACTAAAATATAATCAATAGCACTGAAAAGTGGAGAAACAAAGTACAAAAGCTGTAATTCATATACATCTTTATCCTGAAGAGCGCCCCTAGTATAATGTGGTGTCCATCCCCCCCCCCCCCCCCTCCCCACCCCCGCTTTTCGAATTTCCACGGCCCCCACTCGCCGTCAAGGATTTACGCCACTGAATGTAATAATACTCCTCAAGCTTTGCATGTAGAAATTTTGTTTGTTGAGGGCCAGGAAAAGCTGGCCCTTTTTTTTTGGGTTAGGTTTCCCATTGAAGGTTTGCTTTTAATAGTGAATGCTCTGTGTTCCCCAAACTGGAGTTTTACTTCTAAATTTGGAAAGAATGTTGCAACCTGACGCTGCATTTTTCTTCATATATCATCTCAATGAAGGTCAGTCATTGCAAAAATGATGAAAAGACATGAATCTGGGACTAAGAAACATTTCCAATTTTGTTAGGAAATACTTTCCTAACATAGACTTTGTACACAACCGCTGAAATAGCGTCAGGTTGCAACATTCTTTCCCTATATTCTAATTCTGGATATGAGTCACTTCATCTTGGACTGAAATGTTGAAAGACTCAATTTTCTCTTTCTATATTTAGATTGGAGAGGATCAACTTAAGGGCCTGCTGGAGAAAGTCAGCATGCAGACACAGAGAAAAACTAAAATCAATGTAAGTAGTAGACAATTACAACCGAGAAGTAGTGCGAAACTGCTGGTCCCTCGGTGTGGGCTGATTTGCCTACCTGACCCAACCTGAAGCTAGCAGAGGGAGGAAGTCAAAATCAGCCAATACCGAGCACCAGTAATGTTGCACTTCTTCCCCGAAAAACCATAATCTATTTGTTTTGTAACACCTCGTACATATTTTAGTTTCATTCTCAAAAACGGGGAAAAATCCATAGACAATTCATCTAATTGTTCGTCTATCGTACGGATTGTAGTATGGAACCACAAGCAACAAAACGTATCTTGGGGTACTACTTCCCTGGTAGTACTGTCAAAAGGTAAAGGTTAAGGTCCCATAGCCGTTACCGGCTGTAGGAGCAGTGGGATGTTAGCCGTCCACTGTGTCTTGGGCGTGGCATATACCTTCCCTGAACGAATCAGGTACCCATTTTACTGTTGGGTTATCTGAGAGAATTTTCCAGTTTTTGATCCGAATGGGATTCGAACTGCAAACCTTCCACTCCGTAGCTCCATGCTCTAACCGCTCGGCTACGAGGCCCCTCTGGTAGTACTGACTGGGGCCCAATTTCATGGATTGTGTTTACTGTTGGCAAGAAAACTCCACGCTTATGGTCAGCATGTTTCAGGGGTTAGCGAGGAATTTTGGCTTATGCACATGCATACATCACATAGCTAGGGATTATGTGCTTACAGGGTTAGCACCCTTACTTGAATTTGGAACAAACTGCTTGTCCAGTATTAAGAGTTCAAATGATATTGTAAAGCAGACAGTAACACAAAAGTAATGACTTACTTTCTGTTGTGTCGATTATTCCTAGTTTGACCGAAGGCGAGTGATGGACTCTGATGACGATGACTACTGAGCCAAGTCCCATTGCTGTGGATTTTCTATCCTTCAAAAAACCTTCCGATTCCAAAACTTTGCAAATGTAAAATATGAGGTTTTTTTGTTTTAACATGACAACCCAAAGTATGCAGTAGTATTCCCAGTGGCATCGCCAGACAGATTTTTAGGGGGGCGGGGACATTAATATGCAGTCTCATGCTGAAAGGTAGCAAGGATTGTTTTCCCGCGAGCTGGCCTTTGCAAAATGAAAGGGGGTTAGACACCATCTGACTACCGGGCGCGCTGTTCAAAGCGGACATTCTTGGACACTATTGGACAATAGGTGGCTCTGTTCGTTGCAGCATATTTGGCCAAGTTCACACAAGAACTATTGTTAACCATAGTTTGACTTACTTAGTCCATACTCTGTCTAGTCGACTATTTGGAACCAGCCTACTTGGCCTGGTTGCATCGCTGGTTAGCAATAGCCTCATTTCGTTACTTAAGTGCAGCGGGAACCATTGACAAGAGATTAAACATAGCGAGTTGTACTACCCGCTGGTGGGCCTCGGAGATATCTTCCAACAGGTCAAAGAACATAAACAATCCAAACATACTCGTGACCAAAAAATGTTGACAATGGTTCGACTAGAGTCATTCGCACTTTAATGTTACAGCGCATGCGCACTATTTGACGCCAACCAACCATTGGTTGACTAATGCCCTTTGCTTATGGACACATAATTTTGCCAATGGTAGGATGATGTTGCCTACAAAAACGATTAATCAGTAATGATGAAATACTCAGAAATAAAAAGGAAAAAGGGGGAAAAAAGAGGTGCGAAGCCATATTGCCGTTAATTTGATGGGGGGGGGGTAGGGCAAATGCTCCACCACTCACGCTCGGAAAAATGATAAATTTAAGTTAAGAAAAAAGTTAAGGAATTTTGGGGAAAAATTTGCTTTGCCCGACCCCCCCCCCCCCCAAAAAAAATCCTGGCGACGCCCATGCAGACCTTTGAAATATGGTTAGTTATTTAACACATTTTGGCAATCTTTGAACGAAAGTGCACCTTAATGAATGGCAAGAAGGTGACTTCGCAGTTGAGGACAGCTTGTTAAAACTGACCAATGCATACCGTTGTGATTCTAGCTTGTTACAGACGCTGAAGTAGGTTTTGACAAATACGGGCACGTGATCACTTGACACTCACACGGCCCCCTTTGATGGACAAACCATTGTCCATGCTATATTGTACAAAGCAATGGCCCTGTGACTGATTACCTGAACAATAGCTAGTACAATGCCTTTGCCATTGAAGGGGCCCTTCATGATAGAATTGATAGGATGCCCGGATTGGTCGATACCTTTGAACGACTGTTGTGAAGGTAATAGTCAATTCCATCCGAATAGCGGAGATGTCTAGTATATTAGTGATGTGTAACATTGCCAAGGTAATGTGCTTGTATCCTGTCTGATTAGTTATTACTCAAGTTGTCTTTGACAAATGCTAATTGGCTTTTGTTTCTTTACGTTCAAAATCTCTTTTTGAGTGTGAGCATGTAGAGTTAGGGTGTGTTCTCAATGCAGTGTTTTATATAAATGTAATATATGTAAGAATAAAAAAGTCATTTTTATGCAAATGACTGAAATGTTAAGAGCACATCTAGAGGATACTTATTGCATCATTTATTGCAAAGGAAGTTTTCTCACATGCCTGATTAAAAATGAAATCCCTCTAAAAACAATGACCATATCTAGAACAGATATTTCCGCATAAACAATTTGACATAGCTAATAGAACTCTAAATAGATAATGCAGTTCAATTTAAAAAAAAAAAGTAATACATCTGTAAATCTGTAAATTACAAATGAGTTTGTCTTACAGTCACTATGTGGACATGTGAACAAAAGATGTCCACATAATGCAGGTTGTGTTGACGTTATGTGGACTAAGCCGTGTCCACATAACGTTTTGCCCTCTCTGGAAAACAGGTTTAGAGGCATTTTCAGGTTAGGGTTATCAGTCGCAGAATGAAGAGAAACATTCAAGGAAATCCAAAAAAAAATTCATGGTTGAAAGATTTTTCACAGTGTAAGTAAAGTTATTTTTGTACTGAGTTTTCTTAACTACACGAAACCAAAGGAATGTCCACAAAGGTGTTATCACCCTTTTTTTTCAAAATGTCCATCAAAATGCTTGTTACCACTCTAGGGGCGTTATACCTTGCGCATGCTCACTATAATCATTTATGCCCTGATTTGATACTGACCAAACCCCCAGGCTGATGGCCTAAAACAAACATGCCTGTTCTGACAGGGCTAAATTTTAAAAATAACTAAAAGCCCTGAGCAACGGTTTGTGATTTTGTTAGGATGAAACTTCCAGCCGAATTTTAACTAAATATATATACATCAGTTGCAATCCATTACTCCTTTTAGCGATGGTCCAATCCAACTATAAAGTCATATATGTTTTCCGGCAAGCTGCACAACTTCCACCAAAATGGGGAAAAGCGAACCTTATCAAACCACTTACATGCACATAAGATAATTTGCTTTTCATGCGTTTTGTTCGTTTCCAATGATAACACCACTCAAATTCCAAAGAGGAATGTTCAAAACCTACCCTGTTGAAGTTTCATCTCAGTGGATATATTTTTACACTTTTTTCAAGCAAACAGTGAAAACCATGCATGACCTTATGATCACGAAACACGATTTCGTTCATAGCACCCTCGACTTAAAAAAAATCAGTCAACTGCAGACTGAATGTTGGAATCTCCTACATTTTTATTTTTCCAAATGAACAAAGTTACTAGTACAATCTTTAATCCAAGTAAACTTTTTGATAATAATTTGGGGGCCCCTGAAGAGTAACTTGGCGGCTGCTAGATTTTTGACTGCCCCCACCCCCAACCCACAAGCAAAACCCTGCGGTATCCACTGACCATCATCATTATCAGATGCCATGTTTATCATTCTGAAAGGCACGTTGTATTTCAGATCCTAGGAGTTTTCATGGCCTTAATCCGTGTGTTCCTTTGCATCGTTCACGTTTCCCGTCACTGCGTCTTTTTCTTTCTCAAACGACATGCCGTACTCGTTGACTCTGCTCTTGTCAACCGGATACAACCTGAGAACAATCAAAGAAGCAAGATGTTGATTTACTGTAAAAAGGTCATTCTTGAAAAAAATTTCAAATTAAACATAACTTGTAATGCTTATATAGTGCTTTCTTTCATATCAACAATCTCAAAGCAATTTACAATTATTCCCCATTCATCAGGCCCTCACAGGTGCTCAGTGGACCGTGGGCCCCCACTGGCTCCATAGGAAAGTGCACGTGTAAACAAAGTGTTGACGTCATCAGTACAGAGGTTTATTGTAGTTAAGTGGCTTGCCCAAGGGCACAAACACCATGTTCCTGGCAGGGTTTGAGCCCACACACCATCGTACATGAGTCAAACACCGTAACCACTGTAGGGTTCAATATCTGGTGTGATTCAAATGTGCATTTTTTTAGGGAAAACTTTAAAGCTGGACAAATATCTTTCCCTGCTAGGAAGGTCAAGCAAGGTGTAATTGACACCTGCCTGTCAATCAAACGGTGCATATTGACCAATCAGATCACAACATTTGGTCAGGTGACCCCAGACTCATTCACAAGCCCTATGAGAGAGAGGTGGGTGTGGCTTATGGCCAAATCCAGATCAGTTCTACTGGCACAAATTGATTTGTTTAAGTCCTGTGTAATTTAGCTTTTTCCTACTTTACTTTGACGAATTACTTTTCCTCCATTTTAAAATCTTACCATCGTTGGTACAGGTACAGGACAAATACAATATCGTCACGGAAACAGGCCAGACGATGAGCCGTTGGCATGGTGATGATAAAGGCAAAGACGTCGTCAATAAACGTATTGAAGGCCTGAAAGTATATTGGAAATTGCAAAAGAAAGTTATCAGATATGTGTGATGTGTTTGTCACAACAAATTGTTCTGGTCAAAAACAGATCTGTTTAATTGCTGTTAAAATATAGATCTAGAATTCTTTTTTTTTTTTGAAAAGGGACTTTTCTTGGCAAAATTATACCTATTTGCTGTTCCCGACTAATAGATGACAACAGACCAACTGCCTGTTAAATAAGTTTTTGAGTTATGCATTTCATGAGCTGATACACCTCAACAATCATACAAAAAGAAAAAATTACAGATTAAAACTATCACAGTATCTTTACATTATGTAGGATTGTAAATTTCCAAATATATATATTTTTTTAAATATCACCCCATTTTTTTCTTTTAAAGGGGGGGAGGGGTGTATCTCTATTCTCACTGGAGAAATTTAAATCTGTGGAAATGATGTAATGCCAGATGCAAGGGGTCTTTGACCAAAACAACATTATATAAATCAAACATCACACAAGTGCCACCCAAAAAAAATACCTTCCAAAAGGAAAAGGTTTGGCCCAAAAAATAAAAATGTCTCCGGTTTCTGGTATGCGCGCGCGTCGCCGTAGCCATGCGCGTCGGCAAAATGAAAAAAAAAAAATTTTCAATGAAAGATGATGTCTCAAACCGCCAAACTCACTGGTTTGACTGGAATCCTGCTGCTGCACAATTTCAACGTGTTTTTAGATGGGGTTATGGTCGAGAATAAGCTTTATGTGGCCTCTCTGGACTCCCATATATTTGCACGAAGTTTAGTCGGGCACCATTTGCAGTCATCAGCCGACATTTGGAGCCAAAAAAAACAGGTAAAAAAAAAAAAGCCGCGTCACCGCACCACTTTTTAGGCAAGCTCCATACCAGAAACCGGAGACTTATTTTTTTTTTGCCTTTAATTTTGTAAAAGTCAAAGTTTTCACGTCATTAAAAGTCAGTCATTCTCACCTTGTACATAAATGCCCTCCATGGTAAATGAGCCACAGATTTAAACTGTAAACAGAAGAAATGAAACGACAATGAATAAAATTGCTGCAAAACTGCTTATTGACTGGATCGACCTGAAGATAAGATTTGAAGGTTTGTCAGGTGAAGTCATAAATAAAAATAAATGTGCAGTTGTACTATGTGAAGAGAGATCTCGTGTTCCCTGAATTTTTTTTTGAGAACCACACACACTCACAAAAAGAAATTTCTCGTGAGTTGGTGCAACCAGGAACTTCAATATTAGGTTTTGCCCTTCACTGACATATAAACACTGTATAATCAGTGTGTTATCTCCCGAGTGAAAGTTGGGGGCGAAAAACAGGAACTTACAACAAATTTCCCAGTGGAACAACAAATTTCGAAGTGTTACCACAAATTTCCCAGGAAAAGTAGATTTTTTTTAATTGCTATTCTTCCAGCAATACAAAAGTTATTCACTTTTGAATGAGACATGGTAAAAAAAATCGGCCCATGTTTAGTTTTTTGAAATATTATTTAACTGTAGGCTGGTACCTACCCAACAATCAGTATCGATAATGTATGGACCGGGAGCCAGTCTGCTTGCAAAGTAAATCTGTTTGTGCCCCAAGGAAAAAAAAACACCTTTTTCTTCAGAGGGTTGCAGACCCACCCCAAATGGCTTTTTTTTTGGTTGAAATAAAACATACAAGTGGAGCAGAACCGTGAAGCGTTTTGAATGTGAGAATGATCTTGTAAATGACTTATACTTCAGATTCATAAATACCTGAGACAGTTTACCCATTCCTATTGGTCAAGAGCCAGTCACATGGGTGATTTCAAACCGCCGGTAAAACACTGGCTGGTTTTGAACACAATTCCTGTGTTCTGCGCCACAATGTGCATTACATGCCATGTGCGCCAATTTCCATATAAGGAGATTTTTAGCATTACACGCGAGGCACATACCATAGACATGGCAAGAGGGGTGTTTCACAAGACATGCAGTAAATTGTTGAACAACATGGTTTTATATTTGTGAATTTTGGACTTGCTTTGACTTTCTGACCGAAAGGTACTTATGCGTTCAGCTAGGGCCATCATCGGCGACCAGGTCCCTAGCCGGTTTTAAACATACTTGTCCTGGCCAAGCACATATTTATTCCCTTATTTAAAGAGGAACTTCTTGCTTAACCTCACCTTGTAGTTGACAAATAACTGTGGTAGCATGAAGAGAAAGCCGAATGCATAAACACCGTTGACTAGACTCTTAATGACCCATGAATACCAGCTACAAGAGAAAAAATGATCAAATTTTGGGAAAATTGATTAATACACACATGAACATCTACCAAAAACTTTGTTACACTGACATAGAAATTGACAAAAAAACATTAAAAAGGAAAATTCTGCAAAGGTTTTTGAATAGCTATGATAATTTTTTTTGGAGTATTTGTGCGTGCTTCGGCGACATGCAACTATAAAGCATGATGATCGAGGGTAAATTTTTCAGTCGAGAGACCACTGCGCGACCGACTACAGACCAGCCTTTACACAAGTGAAACTTCTACCTCTTGTGGGGCACGTAGAGAAGGGAGTACACAGCACCGGCCAAACACAGCGGGTACAGGACATAGGACAGGTATTGCATGGCCTGTGAATCTATCTGTTCAGTCGCCTTCTCGGAATCTGTCGTTGTGCCAAACGATATGCTGGGTTTGATACCGGTGAAGGACAGTTGGACTTTGAATGCCTTTTTAACTTTCCACATCTGTGGAAGTCACAAAACAAGAAGACAAGAAAAGACTTATTATTTATTTTATTTTTCAATTAAAAGAACATACCATCAGTTCAACATGATTCTTTTAGGCCGGGTGGTGGAATATTGCTCCTTCCTAAAGGTAATATACAGCATTTGCTTGTGCTGTAATTTTCAGAAATGGACGGATTTGGGGGTTAGCATTTTATAGCAAATATCGATCCACTGGCCTGTTTAAAGTTTTGTGTTCATGGATGCCGGAAAAAAAACAAGAAGAAATGCTGTTCTTGTAGTCTGATTCCCTAACCCTACACCTCAGACGAAAGGGGACAATTGATATACATCAGGCAATTGTCGGGTCAGAGATTCAGACTAGCTGGCTTATGGCCATTAGCGGGTATGTTGCAAACAAAATATGGAACCAGTACGCACACGCGGCATGTCCCAGCCGCAGGGCTTTTGAAAGTTGTAAATCTCTTGCTCCTGTACAGAGCCTTTCCTCCAATTTGCTGTTGTATTTCTACTTACTTCAATGACAGTACCTATACCAGCCGGTATGAGAATAAGCAGGCTTGTGTCCTGATCCAGTAGGTACAGAAATATGATGATCTGGCTCAAACCACGCCATACAACTATACAAACAAATGAGAAAGATAATACAACTTACAACCAATATCAAACCAGAGCTCACAGTAGTGTCAGTTGACGTTAACATTTTGGCAGACATCTCATTGTTGCCCCCAACTATAGCAATGCCCCCAACTGTAGATTGGGGAAAATGAAAAATCCAAAATAAAAATACTGCAAGTTAAACTTGCGCGATCCCCCTGGCATGCAGGCAGCATTTATACAGTCAGTTAGTAAGCACACTTTTCAGTTGACCTAACCAAAATCAACAATGACCTCATTTGATACCTAGATGACCTTTGACTCAAATGTCTCGAGTCATCTGAAGTCCCCCTACCCAAAGATTATTGTCACCAAGTTTGGTTGAGATTGAAGTCAGACTTTTCATATGACAGCACTTTCAGTTTATCTATAATCCAAAAACAACAATGACCTCATGTGATCCCTACATGACCTTTTACATCAAATGTCTCAAGTCATCTGAAGTCCCCCTACCCAAAGATTATTGTCACCAAGTTTGGTTGAGATTGAAGTCTGACTTTTCATATGACAGCACTAAACAGTTGACCTAACCAAAATGGAACACACAGACACACAGAAGGAATACACTATCGCAAGATCCCCCTTTCTTGGCTTACAGGCCAGGGGGACAAACCCGGCAGAGGATTTGAGGGTCGCCAAGGGCCCAGAGCAATGTAGGGTCAACTGAACCCTACAGCACAAATAAATGGGGTTAACTCGGCCCATTATGTAGGCCACATGCATGAAAAGACTCCCAGTGAATAGCCATTCTGAATCAACTGAACAGAATTTGGTGTTCTCTGTCTTGTTTTCTGTCAGTTTTGTTGACAAAACGTGTCAACATGTCACCTGTTCTTGTGGAGAGACCTGCCATGGTGTTTCGCTTTCTCCAATACGAGATGTCGTTCTTGAACGCCAGGAAATCAAACAGCAACTGCAAAAGTGATGACAGTCAATAAACTGTTAAAGTCTTTTGACACCTTGGGAGTCGGACGCCAGGGGCGTATCCGGGAATTTTTGCAAGGGGGGTTCAGGCCCGTCAGGTTTGTTGTCAGCACATTACTGATGCACTTACTGTTATAATATTTGTTTTTTTAGGTGTCGGGGGGGGGGGGGGGGGGAGGGGTTTCGACACCCAAACCACCCCCCCCCCCTGGACCCACGCCTGGACACTCTTCAAAATTGAAAAAAAAAATCCAAAATGACCGGAAAAAAAAAATTCCCACGGTTTCTGGATTATGCATCAGAATAGCAGTAAAACCCTCTCACATGTATTATTCACACATAGGGCTCACAAAGTGCCGCAAATAAATATTGAGTGAACCTTTCCCAAGGCCTGGCCAAAATTCCCCAGATCTTGGGGAAACCCCAAGGAGTTGCCACTCATTAGACGGGGACACTTGCAATATAAAAAACAACTTTTGGTTTCAAATGTTAAAGGTTTCATAACACTTGTACTCCCAACTTAAACAAGAGTAGCTCTGGTTGGATCACACACACACAATTCAAAACTCACATGAAACATTGATATAACAACCGTCAGTGCCAAAAGGTAGAGACCACTGTCTGTGAACAGGGACAAGACTTCTTCGGTGTCTTTCTCGCCAAAACCTGCAAGAAAAAGAAGAAATATTCATGAGTACTCGAAGGTTTGAACACTGCCTCAATCTTCTTCTGCTTCATACTGCAAGAAATCTAGCACTATCGGATATTTAAAGTTGCAAGCACGAGGTAGCTGGCAGACAAGAATTAGTAGTTCGCTTAGATTTTGAGTCAGGGACCGACCAGCTTGACTCTGTCTTAATGAACTCTGACATTAGTCAATTATGAGCAAGTTTGTGTAAAGACCATTTGTCGACTAGTGGTTGATTACTGTTGTGATTTACGCCATGCACTAGCAGCGATGTGTGAACGGCTCTAGTCAAAGGCTGGTCAAAACATCATCACGACACGTCTTTGTTCCTGTCTCCCAGCTGTGCTTCAACCTGAATTCTCCAGGGCATTTTGGCTAGAAACCCTGCCAAACCAGCAACATGCAACACTTGTCTATTAAGTGACAAGCCTGCCAAGTCACTGTAGCAATCCATCAGGCCAAACGTCTCAAGGACATTCTGCCTCAGAGTCTGTGGTCACCAAATGCAGCAGGATAGAACTGTGGCATTGTTCAATGGGACTGGCTCTCATTGTTTCCAGATCTAGCATTTATGCACTGGTGTTGGTAGCTGAATGCATCAAAGCGCACCAGACTTTTCCACCTGATGAACTGTGTTGCATTTGGCAGGGTTAGGTTAAGATGCAATGCAGTCGTGCCCTGAGCTCCTGTTCTCAACTAGAGTAGTCCAAGCATATTCGTTTTTGCCTGCCACTTGGTTAGTAATGCCAACTCAGGGCGCTCTAACTGATAATGGTGAGAGGACTGACCTAGGCCCTGCATCATCTTCACGGATTGCTCAAGGGTTGAGTAGAGTCTGAGCCAGCCGATGGAGATAGGGCTGTACAGGATACGCAGGGGCATCTCCACAGTGCTTGCATTAATGGGCTGAAAAGGATATACAACAAAATACATAATATTTACACAATTGTTGAGTCAGGTTGGCGCATTGGTTCTCTCCTCACTTTCCACCTTTATGGTCCGGGTTCGAATCCTGCCCTGGTCCACCAGTGGATTGAGTTTTCAATCCCTGCATGATTCCGTGGGTTCCCCCCAGAATATTCTTCTGGGGTTTTCCTCCCATGTCTTGAATTGCAATGTCTTCTGCATTGTCTCCTCTCTACAGGTTTCTTCAGGCTTGCTAGCTACAGTGCCTGGGGCACTTTTGATTGGTTTCATTACCAAAATCTGTTGCTAATGTAAAAATGTTGTGCCCGCGGGCATGTTATTTTGAAATCACCTTCAACGTTTGTTTTCTTTCTGATGCTCCGTTTCAGGCGGCATAATTTCACAGGGTATTTGATACCAGTCCCATCTTCACTTTGAGCAAGATTCCTATCTTCACTTTGAGCAAGATTCTGGCAGGTACTTTTCCGGATAATTGCAAAGGATCCTACGTGGTTTTTAATCATTATCTTCTGTCAACAGGTTTCATCATACAGTGTAATGAAATCGCTTGAGGAATCCTTGGTTCTCCACAACCAGAACTTTAAAACGATTATTTACAAAACAGATGTTCCCACAAAATTGGTTAACCACCACGGCCCACTGAATTAAGTTTCACACTATGAAAGTTTTCGAATCTTGAACTAGATGTATATACAAAAGCACTGAGCTCACCTTTAATTGTTTGCTTTTATGCACCAAGTTGTTGATAAATAAAATGGGTAGGTATTCCCCTCGCTGGGTTAATCTAAGATCAAAGAGAAATACAAGTTTTGTTAATAATCAAAATACCTCAAATCTTAAAAATATAGGAACACTGTTAATGACTAATGCAAATCGCATTCCCTACATTTGTGACTTGAAGATCTTAACTGCAAGTCTCTATAAATCAAATCAACATTACATACAATGACATTAACCTCAGTTGAATTCCTCTACTCCATTTAAACATTTTGAAAGATTTAATCAAACAGCAAAAATCAGGATTTTTCTGCTGGGTTTCTGCAAGAAAGGGCACTGACTATGCTATATTAACCCTAAACCTCCCCAATCCTCCATCGATCGAGCAAATTTTGAGGATTTTGGAGGATCGAGGCTAAATTCCTTGAAGAGCGAGATGATTCTGAAGGATGCACAAAATTGTGTCGAGGTCTTAGGCTGTACTTTTGCATTGTTTATGTTCAGCCATGTATATACGTAGGGCTAGGTTATACTGGATGTCTTCCGCACTACTTCTGGATATCATCCACACTGTTTCAATAGTTTGAAAGCTGGGGATTTTGAAGGATTTTGAGGGATTGAGGCGGTGATCACCTCCCACTGAACAAATTCAAGAAATAACAGATGATTTTGGAGGATTGAGGCAATATCCAATTTTTACATGGAGGCAGTGGATGATTTTGAAGAATTGACAATGCATCCTAGCAAAAAAAAGACCTAGGGGTTTATAGGGTTAAAAGACAGGACATTATAAAAAGGACATTAAACCCAGTAGAAGGATAGGGAGGGTACCAGACTTTACCCCGCCCCCAATGATCCCCACCCTCCGCCCCCCGCCCCGGCCCCGCCCCCTCCCCAAATAGATCTCCCTCCCAATATCTCAGTCTCAGCCCCTGGCCAAAACCGGGCCCAATATCTCTCGTATTGAAGATCTCTCTCTCACCAGCCGGTGAGTCTGATTGCTTATAAATCCAAAAGTCTGACCTCTTAAAAAAAATTTAAAAAATTATATTGATATATATAAATGATGAATATGATCAGGCCAATCGTTTTTCTAGATGGAATAAAGCCACGCTGCGCGATTACGTCCAGCGATATAATATACCGTACAATCAAAATGTTGCTATTACGCGTAAAGTCTACATCAACGGGATAAAAAACTACGAAGCTCGATTCAAAAACTTGAGGAAAAAGACGCTACATGAGCTCAAACAGATTGTAGACGATTACGATCTAGAATATAACCCGACGGGTTATAAAGGTCGATTTTTGAAAAAAGATTTATTCTCAGCGATTCAAAACTCTAGGCAACCCGAGGATTTTCAAGAGGCTGAGTTTAGAGCGACGAGGAGGTTTAGAAACAACTTTAGAAACTGGGAACTGATTCCTAGACTTTTTAACGACGATTTAGTCAGATTTTTTGATACGCACAAAGATCAAATTGTAAATAAAATCAAGTCAGAATTGAGAGAGCTAAGAGGTTTAAAAGTAGAACTCGCAATCAAAATAAAATACGAAAAAACCAAACCGGATGGTACGATCGAAACGATCGAAGCTACACATTTTACCGATCAGAGAGTCGTTTTAAATCAAAGTCAAATAAAACAGGTTTTAAAAGAAGACATCGACCAGCTATTTAAAAAGGATGAAAGGTATACGAATCAAGGATCGGGTTGGGTTTTAAAAAAGATAATGGCATTGTATATCAACATCAACAGGTTTAACCCCGTGAGGGTAGTTCTTATATTGACCTACCAAAATGTATCAAACAGAAAACGGCGATGATAAACATTAAAAACAAAGACGACGAGTGTTTGAGATGGTGTTTGAGAGCTGCTCTTGGCTTGTATACGGATAAAGTAAAAAATAACATAAAAACGATCCTAAATATAAAATTCATAAAGAAGAACCTGTTGTATACACCAAAGACGACGGACTCAAATTTAAAGGCGTAGACTTTCCAACACCGATCGACCAGATACCAAAGATAGAAAGACAAAATAATTTAACGATAAACGTATATACGGTTATGAGGGGGAAATATATCCGTTATACGTGTCTAAAAACTACAAAGCAGAGTCACGACCTATCGATCTGTTTTTGTTTTCTGAGGGCAACAAGCATCACTACTGCTGGATAAATAATTTTTCGAGATTGATTTACAACGTTACAAAACATAAAAGTAAGAAATATTTTTGTCGAAGGTGTCTGTGTCATTATAGAACGCAAGTACAATTAGATAGACACATGACCGATTGTAACGGTATAGATACACATCCGTCAAAGATTGTATTTCCTACCGCTAAGCGAAAATATGTAAATAACGAGTGGATAGTCGACGAAAACGATGTGCCAATGTTAGAATTTAAAAACTACAGGTTTAAACAAAAAGCACCGTTTGTAGTTTACGCCGACTTTGAATCGATATTAGAAAAAAACTTGGACGATAAAAAGGACAACACGCAAAAGACAAACATTCACAAAACAAGCGGTTACTCGTTGGTAGTAGTTAGATGCGACGGCACCAATGCGTATCAAGAGACTTATAGAGGTAAAGATGCCGCATCAAAGTTTGTAAATAAAATGTTAAAAATACAAAGCGACATAAATTGCATATTTAAAAAAAAAAACCCATGAAATTTAACGAGCGAGCTAAAGAACATCATGATAAAACAAACACGTGTTGGATTTGCGAGAAACCAATTTATCCCAATTACTCGAGCAACTGTCAGTGCCAGAAACCCCAAAAAACAAAAACAGAAAAACAAATAAAAGAACATCAATACGAAAACAAAAATGGATTTACAGAGTCTAAATGTCTCGAATGCAAAAAGAAAATCAACAAATTTAGAAAGGTGAGAGATCACTGCCACGTCACGGGTAGATATAGAGGTGCCGCGCACGCCTACTGTAATCTAAATTACAAGTTAAACCAGGTTTTACCCCCATACCGGTCGTCTTTCACAATCTACAAAATTACGACGCTCACTTGATCATGCAGAGTATTTCAGAATACGATGACGAAAAGGAAATACAAGTTATTGCTAAAAATTCGGAAAAGTATATTTCGTTTTCGATCGGAAATATGCGATTTATAGACTCGTTTAATTTTATGGCGTCTTCGTTGGATAGATTATCTAAAGCTTGTCCAAGAGAGTCGTTTAAACTACTCAGAGAACATTTTAATCGTCAAAACATCGACTCGTTGTTACAAAAAGGAATTTATCCGTACGAATACATGGACTCGTTTGACAGATTTCAAGAAACCAGTCTACCACCCATCGAAAAGTTTTACAGCAGCCTAAAAGACGAAAATATATCGCGAGAGGACTACGACAGAGCTAAACTGACGTGAAACGAGTTTAAAATTAAAAACATGGGGGAATATCACGATTTGTACGTCACTACCGATACGTTATTACTGGCTTGCGTATTTGAAAACTTTAGGCAAACGTGTATTACAAACTACGCGTTAGATCCGGCTAATTACTACACAGCACCAGGATTGTCGTGGGATGCCTTGTTAAAACACTCGGAGGTTAAACTCGAACTATTGCAAGACGTAGACAAACATTTATTTTTTGAAAAGGCAAAAAGAGGTGGTATCTCAAGCATGGGTGGTACGAGACACCACAAAGCCAACAACAAATACCTACCCGACCATAATCCAAACGAGCCGTCGAGTTACATCACCTACCTCGATGCAAACAATCTGTACGGCTGGGCCATGAGTCAATACCTGCCGTACAAAGACTTTAAATGGGCGTCTACAAAAACGTTTACCGAGTCCAAGATATTATCTCTCAGGAAAACGTCAAACACCGGTTACTGCTTCAAAGTAGACCTCGATTACCCGGACAATCTCCACGACCTGCACAACGATTACCCCCTAGCGCCAGAAAATATCGTCATACCAAAAGAATGGATGTCTGATTATCAAAACGAGTTATTGGATACCGAACCTAGTAGCAACGTGCAAAAATTAACGTGTACCCTTAATCCTAAACAAAATTATGTTTTGCACTACGTCACGTTGCAGTTGTATCTCAAACTCGGCTTGAAACTTAAAAAGGTGCATCGAGTGTTGCAATTTAAACAAGCGCCTTGGATGGCATCTTACATCAACAAAAACACGCAACTTAGAACAAAAGCGACCTCTGATTTTGAGAAAGACTTTTTTAAACTGATGAATAACAGCGTGTTTGGTAAGACGATGGAAAACGTCAGAAACCGGATTGACAGTTACCTACTCAGAGACAGTAACGATGACGATCGAGATAAATACGAAAAAATTATACAGAAACCAAGCTACAAAACAACAACGTCATTTCAGAATGCAAATTGTCATTTGTCGAAAAGTACAAGACTAAAACCGTGTTAAACAAACCAATCTATTGCGGAGTGAGTATCTTAGATCTATCTAAGACGCTGATGTACGATTTTTATTACAACCATTTGAAAGACAAAATCAGGTTGATGTACACAGATACAGACAGTTTGGTACTCATAGTGCACACAGACGACGTATACAAAGATATGCAGCAAAACGGGCAACAATACGACCTTTCGAATTATCCGACGGATCATCCTTTGTACGACCCAACCAATAAGAAAGTGATCGGTAAATTTAAAGACCAGTTTGGAGGTAAAATAATTCAAGAAGTAGTTTGTATAAGACCTAAAATGTACACCATTTTAACCGCTGACATCAACCTGAAAAAAGCCAAGGATTTCACAAAATCGGTCACCTCTAAGAAATTAAAACACCAACACTATTACGACTGCATCTTAAACAAGAAATCTCATTACGAAACCATGACTCACATTAGGTCGGAAAATCACATCCTTTACACCATATCTCAAAATAAACTATCGTTGAGTCCGTTGGACACAAAGAGGTACATTTTACCGGACGGTATAAACACGCTGGCTTTTGGTCACTACGGCGGTAATTGCGTGTCCTTGGGTACGACTTGAAGCTCTTGTCTAACAAAACTCCTTTTTGGGCCGCCTTGCAGGTAATACAGC